ATAAGTTTATTTTTTCAAATCTTTATTGATTTATTTTCCATAATAACGATTTCTGTTAGATTAGGAATAAAATCTTTATTTGGTAAAGATTTCAAGATTATTGTTTTCTGATAGATTTTATTATCTTTATAATCTAATGATCTATTTAAAATATTTGTTTTTATATTATCTTTTTTCTTGATATATTTGATTATCAAATCAAATTCTATTAATTCTTTAGTTTATCTAATTAATCTATAATTATTCAAAACCTTAATAATAATAAAAATTCGAAGATTTATATAATCAATATAGATGATTATTAAGAATTTAGTTTTTTAAAAATAGATCCTTTAATATTTCAATATTTTTATAATAATTATAAGTTCTTTCTTATAAATATTGTAATTCTACTCTATTTTGTTCATTTTGTTTGAATAATAGATAATAAAGTATAATTTCTTATTATTATCTCTTTATAGATAAACTTCTATTATATAAATATCAAAAATATTTGTTTCGATAATGCTTTCTCGATTATTATAATAATTATAAAGAATAGATTCTCTTATAAATCTATTTTTGATTTCTTAAAAAGTTTATTCTACTTTTTCATTTTATATAAAAGTTATTCTTTTTTTGATTATTTTGATAAAAGATTTTATTATTTTCAAAAAATCTTTTATAAATATTTGATAGAAATTGATAAATCCTAGTATAGATTATATATTCTTGATATTCCTAAATCTTTTCCAATTTCTTATTTTCTTTATTTTTTTAGAATTTATACTCATTTATTTTGATTAAATGATATATTCTAAGAATATTACCTTCTATATTCCAAACTTGTATTTCGATAATTTGAATCTTGAATTCATTCTTTTGAATACTTTGAGTACTTTTAATATATATTCTTTATATTTCTTTTTTTTTTAAGAAAAGATTAGGATATCATTTAAATAACAGATTATAAATAAATTGAATTCTTTGAATATCTTATTGTTTTATTATTGATATATAATTGATATATTAATTAATCCGAATGATATAATTATATATTCTTATAAACTTAATAATAAAATGAAAACTATTTTTTATTTGTAATCCTTTTTTATTTATATCAAGTTAAAAGTATTTTTTTGATTTAATTTTATATAGATTATTATTCTATTCAATTTATTTCTGAACTTTTAAACTTTCGATATTAAATATATATCTCTGATTGTTTTATTATTAATCCAATAATAATCTCTATAAGGTCGATCATTTAAATTGCCTTTTTTGAATATCAATAATATATTGAATATACAAAGGGATTTGAATTTTCTAATCTATTCTTTCTTCTCAATTTTAATTCTATATTCTTTTTATATTTGTATAATACTAAAGTTATATAATCTCAATTTCTTAGTAAAAGATATAAATCCTTTTTTGAAATTGATTTTATAATCCCAAAACTTATATTCTGATAAAACTTTCAAATCTTATAGATTTTCAAAAAGTTTAACGAATCTTTTATATTGTACTAGAATTTCTTTTTTATTAATTTTATCGATTAGTAAAGGATCTATTACTATTATAATATAATATTCAATTTCCTTAGAAATTTGTTCTTTTAGATTATATAGTTATTTGTTATTATAATTGTAATAATTGAATATTAAAGTATCTTTTATTCAATCGATATTTGAATTATATTTCTTAATTTATAGAATATCAAAGATAATTGTATATCTGTTTAATAATATTAAATTTATTTTGATTTGTTTGATATATCTATTTGATATAATCATCTTGATAATATTGGTTTCTCTATATACTCAATTATTAATTCTAATTTTCTTTCCTTCTAACAATATCAATTGATAAGGGTTCTGTTTTAATTCTATAGAAATTCTATTTTCTTTAATGAAATTGGAATCTATGAATATACTTATAATTCTGAAATTAATCAAGGCATTTGTTTATTGATTTTTTAGTTTGATTTTTATAATTAATTGTTCGATTCTTATAGTATTATTTAGTTTTAATGATAATAATTCGATGATTTGTTTTTTGATAAAGAGATTCAGTTATTTATATTAGTGTTTGTTTATATTCAATAATCGATAGAATATAATGAATAATAATCTTATTGATTCTATTTAGAAGTCTTAATAATAATCTCGATTTGATGTTTTTTTATTATTCTTATTGATCCTTTATTAGATATAATAAATCCCGGTTTGTAATAGAATCTTTTATATATCCTTAATTTCCAAATTACATTTGTTATATTTTTATACTTCATTGAAGGATAAAGAATTTATATCTATAATATATCTTTTAATATTGTTTACTTTAATATTTTCTTTAAATATTATATAATAAGTATTATTATATATTATTGTATGAAGTGTTAACAAAGTAGGATAATTATAAGTTTTATATTTCTTGATGAAATCAGATTTCTTTTTTTTATAATAGTATTATATTCATTTCTCATTTAGATAATTGATTAGATATTATAATTCATTTTTCTAAAGCAAATAATAGAATTCAACTAATTATTGATCCTTTTCGAATTCCTTAATTAATTCCTTATCTCTTGATTTGAAGTTTTCTAAAAGTTCTCTTTTATAATCGATATTGTTTTCAATATTAGTTTTAGAATTTTGATTATTGATATCTAATTCTTTTAATTATTCGAGATTAAATTAAAATAAATCTTTTTTCAATAATCCTATTTCCTTCGAGTTTTTTTCCAAGATCTTTGTTTTTTGAGAACTTTATCTTTTGTTTCCAAATTTCATTTATTTTCTATTCTTTACAAAAAATAATCTTTTCTTTTAAAAATAATCTTAGAATATATATCTGCTTTTTTTATAAGTAAAATATAAATTATTTTCTTTATATCTCTTTTTTTCGTTAGCATTTAGATTACTTAATTTTATATAATATTATTCAGTATTATCCAATTCTATTGGATTATTGATATTATGATATCTATTCTGATAATGAGGTTTTTGGAATTTCTTGTTTTCCTAAATGATTTTTTTCTTTTCTATTTATTGTTTATAGAATCGATTGTTAATAAGAATAAAAGTTTCGATTAATTCGAAAAGATTAGATAATTTCGAAGCTTTCGTTAATTTATCCTTGATGATATCTTTTAATCCTTTATAAAATTGTGATTTTAGATAATCATTATTCTAAATAATATATCCGGTGTATTATTGAAATTTGATAATATAGATTATAATTGATTTGGTTTGTTTGAATTATTATAATACTCTTTTAACTATATGATTAGAATCTATTTTTTTGAATACTTTATCGAATCTTTATTTGAACGATTTATAATTGAGGAATAGATAATGAATCTTAGATTTCATATTTTTGTTCAATTGATTATCGATAATCTTGATCATTAAATTATTGAAAAATGATTCAATCTAATTGAATATAATTCCTTAGAAAAAGAAGATCAATTATAAAATCCTTTGTATAAAAATTAAGAAAAGTTGTTCGTTAAAAATATAATAAAGATCAATTTGTATAACAAAAACTTGATATTTGTTATGATCTTTATAAAATAAATCAGAAATGAATATTTGAATTATTCGTTTATATTTTATAATAATAATGGCTTGAATAAAGACCTCGATTAAATTGAATAAAAACGATTCAGTGAATTGTTGATTGGAAACTATTATATTGTATATAATTTAATTATAATAGTGCTCAAAATGTAACGATCTGATCGAGATAACAGCTACCTCAAGTTTTCGTATAATTGGTAGTTATAAATTAAAGTTAATAATTATTGATTATCTATTTGAAGATAAATATATTATTAGATCAATTAGAATATAGGTAAACTAATTGATAATTAAATTGAATACAAAGCTTCTAAATTATAAAACTATTCTGATTATATATTAATCTATTTTAGGAGTCTTTAGAAATCTATATTTCTAAAGGTTTCAAGAAGCTTATAAAAGTCTATGCTCCTAGAGGCTTTATTATATAATTAGGATTAGACTATATGTCCGAGTTTGTTGAAGGTGGGGAGATTATATGAAGCAGTTGCTATACAAATTTGTATACAAGTTGCTTTGCTTTTCAACAAGGTCAAAGCTCATAGAGACAGGTTGACTGTTACCTTGTGACACTCTATAAAATGATTTCGTGACACAGGGGGGCATAAGTCTCTGGTTTCAATTGAGTTGAATTGAAAAAAGCTTTAAGTCAGATTTGTCTAAGGTTGTAAGGCTTATGCCAAGCTTTTTGTTAGATTTTTTACCGGGGTATTTTAGACCAATCAGATTGTCAGGATCGCGACTCATTTCTCGACCAATCACATCGCAACCTTAAGTGAACCTCATTTTCCATCACCCACCGGGTAAACCTCGCGTACAGCAAGGTTATGGAGTGACAATTATAAATAATAAAATCAAGAATATAAAAGATTATTAGAAAAAATAACACGTTTTATACTTTTTCGGCAAACAGCTGTGTATGGTTACTGTATGATATTAAAAAGTCGGGTGGTTAAGGTTCAAACTCTCCGCCCTCAATGCTCACTTGAGATTCAACACAATGAGTTCATTTGACACGAACATCCAAATTTTATATTGTAAGACTTACTATCAAAACAATGAAAAAATCTGCATGCGGACGGTTTGATAACATTTTCCTTCCCACCAAAATAAACGAAACCCATTATTACTAGATATCCATCAGTGAGTGATTTTAGTTGTCCCTCTTTGTGGCATCCATAACAGAGTGTATATATCCCATTATTACATTATTCATGTAGACAAAAGAGATCTCGTGCATACCCAAGACAGGGCTCCCATAAACTTTGATTTTATGTGACATTGAGTTTCCACATAATATGAATGTGTCACAATTCCTCACTGAAGGAAGGTCATACTTGCAACCACTGTTCGCAACTGCTCTATAAACCAAATAATCATATATAATAAATAATAGAAATGGAAATATTATAGAAAATGCTATGAATCCAAGTAGTGAATCCTCCATCAGACTACAAGATGCTCAGTCAAAAAGTATTTTGCCAATAGTGTTAATGGACTCGTACAGATTGAGCTAGCTCTATGATCGTGGCTGTGTATCAACTCTGAGAGGAGCAGATAAAATGCAATGATTGTTTCGATCTCTGACTGTTTTTATCATTTAACCTTATGAGTCTTGCAAAACAGAATGAGTGATTCGGTTGATTCATTTCGAAATATCTGACAACATTTAGAACTTTCCAGTACACCCAGGATGTATATTTAATCGTATAGATGCCCATTTCTATTTTCTCCATTTTCGATAACTTTAGTATTCTTTGAAGACAAAAAACAAAGTCTATCCAACGGTATCAAATCCCTCATTGAAAGTAGTGAGATTTCATGATTTGATGATATCTCCCTATTGAATATCAATCCTACTATTACTGTACCAGCAACCCATTTTCAAGCATAGCAAGAAGCCTCATACACACAAGAAAATGGCAGTAACGAAGCGTCGAAGCAATACTCAATATAACGATCCAAAATCAATCTCTACTGGACTTCCAGGTGCGGATTTGGATCAGAGTATGATTCGAACGAACTGGGCATTTCCAGAGCACCCTACCTCAACATATAGACCTACACAATATATGTCTGGGAAATTTCATCGCGATCATGGTACTCGTCGTCCTTGTCGCCCTCCTCCAGAACATCCTTGTATATATGATGCTATAAAGTGGGAGTGCGCACAATCGGACGCGCGTAATAAACATAAGGGATTTTGCGTCATTTTTCATGCAAAGCCATGCGCAAATTTTACAGAAACACAATCGAATTTGTTTGAATGTTGCCAGGGACATAAGATTATGGTTGTTGAGGAGAGAAAAGGGTTTTGTTATGGACCGCATTGTCCGGGTTTTGAGGAGTTGGACGGGAAGGGTAGACCAGTTCCGAATTCGCCCTACCGATTCAACACGTGGTTTTATTATGGGATTTTGCCGGAAAAGTTGTTTCCGGAAATAATGGAGGAGGAATGAAGGGAATGGTTCCGGCAGGATGAGAGGAGTAAAAGGGGGCGAGCAGTGATCTTTGGCTATGCGAGCCTAGGATTCTGATGGTAGGTTTAGATAGTGTGGAAGTTAAGATGTGGTAATACTGGAGTAATGGGTGAGCGGCAATTGACGTATGAACTTGAAGGAGGACAAGTTGGACATGGACACAATGTAAAAATTCAACAGCATAAGTGCCCGGTACCGTGGGAGAAGTAGTTCCGCAACCGTAAAATTAAGCACTTGCCTTTATACTTTGTGGATATGATGGATTATATATCAATGAGTTAATGTATGCATTGCATGATGTGGTGTAGTGTTAAATGGATGTGGTGCACGGCACGAATTATCGACTTTGCTCCAGAAACTTTCCCGAATTTTGGAATACATCCAAAACTCTGATATTTTATTTTGAGTTCAGAATGCCCTGAGAGCCTGCAATTGTTTTCTTCAAGAATCAAGTCAAATGAGGAAGAGCGAAGTAATTTCGCCTAAGTAATATATTTTTAAAGAAGGAGTGAACAGTATTAGCGTCAGAACGAATAGATTGCTTTTCGTAGATTAATACCTTTTAAAGGAACGAAACTTCTCTTTTCTCAAAAGCAATAATATTTTTTGAGTATTCATTTGCTTTCATTTTCTCTCTAATCACTTTCTTATCCAAAAGTATAACTATACTGAATACCTCCTAAAATAAACGCAGCTGTTCTTTATCGCACTTGATTCCATAGCAGGTAGCTTACTATCAAACAACTTGCGAGTGCTTCTGCCAATGCCCCCCGAAAACAACAGGTGGGAGCCTTACTATCAACAACATGATCAAGGTCGTAATCATGTATTCAACGGCCATGGCCATGACCCAGAAACACCTTGTATTTGGGAAACGATGGAAAGTTATCAAAGAGAATGGTCATTCCCAGCATTCTCCCGAGCCATTGAATCTGTTCCATACGACTTTCCTCCACATGAAGATGGAGAGCAATGCATCTACGAAATAATAGCTTGGGAGAACTGTTCTTGGGAAACCCCAGCGGAAAATCCAAATGATGATCATATCGGGTTTTGCGTCGTTGGGTTTACAAGGCCTTGTAAATATTGGAAGCCTGATCAATTGGGACCGCGTACTTGTTGTGACTTTGGAATGATATTTGTTTTGAAGGAACCAGTGAGGGAGGGATATTGTCTTGGAGAGAATTGTCCAGAAGGTGTGGGGAGAAAGAGCTTCCCCTTTATTGACTACCTGACTTCGTTTTATTATGGGCATTGTCGCGTGGAGTTACAAGACGAAAATGAACGGCTTCATTTATTGAAAGCAGAGAGAGCGGTGGGGAAGGATGTGCGTTTCGCATGGAAAAATGCAGATGGACCTGGTTATAAATCCTTTGAGAATGAGAGGGTACAATATAATTTTGGGTGGAACGGACGCATGATAGTCCCTAAGCCGGTTAAGAGTCATGTGCCGAGTGACAGTCCGTCGCCGTGGTGATCCTAAAAGAGCTGGATCAAAACCGAATACGATATTATGGACATGAACTTTTGTTAAGACTCTTCGCGGATGTTGTGGTTGCATTATGAGCAGGCGGATGGATGCGATTTACGATGTTGTAAAGACGAACCCAGAGATACGAGTATTATGTTCGCGGGATTCCGGAAGTATGGGATTGTATAGATGGTTTGATTTTCGGGATCGTGCGTACATTGGGATATTGCCGTTGGCATTCTTCAGACAATTGAATAACCCGCAAAAATGTATGGAGTTTGTTTGGTTTGAAGCAGCCGAGAACCTCCTGGTTCTTTTCTTCCTGCCAATAAAGTTATGCAATATGGCTAAATGACTGAATTTCTGCATGTCCTGCTCTCAAAATGGTTTTCTTTATCTTCAGTGCTTCACGATATCTTTGAAGTAGGATGAAGCGCAATCTTAACTGATATCAAGGGCCATTGCCTCCGAGGACACTCGACTTCGGAATTGGTAAAAGTTTATGAATCAAGATTTGCTCAGCATCTTTGACTCCTAACCCAGATCATCATACTGATTATGGCTGCACTGCCCAGAACACTCGTGCATACCATCTTCATCATCACTCAAAGATCCCAAATAAAATCACTTGGTGTTCACTTTGATAGACTTTCATAGCTTGATTGGAGATGCTTATCTCTTTAATACCTAAGCAAGATACCATATACGGTATGCAGAGGTACGGGGACTTGAATCCTTAAGCCGCACGGCACCGTTCAACGCGACATGAATATCAATATCCTCGATGACAAATTACAAAGCGTGACTCAAAACGCAGCGCCACCTCCACTTTGAGCAAAGAATGAGTGACTTACCCATAACTAGTAGTTACGCCAATACGACTCCCAAGTAATGTCAGTACATCCTCGTACAAATATCGTCCTTACGCCGCACTGCCTCTTCAATACCAGTACCACATCATAGATAATATTCCTGACAAATTATACTCCATAAGTCGAAAATTCTAAATGTAGCGCCACATTTCACTCTGAGCAAAAATGAGTCGAAAAGCTGTAAGAGTCATCCCACGTAAAATTCCTGCTAGCGTATTTTGGTTATCAAGAAGGGTTTGCCGATTTCTCTAATAAATCCAGTGCAGAGAACTTCGAAAATCTTCAAGAAAATCAATAATATTCTACAACTCACAATCATCGCGCATTTCTTATAGACTTTTGATTCAGTACTTTACCAAAAACAATTACAGACACACAAGAACAAGTTTTCGAGAATTATTTAAAAATGGCTGTTCGTGCGCAGTTTGAGAACTCAAATGAGTAGGTTTTATCTTACCCCTCCTCCGATCGTTTGCTGGAATGAATGGACTCGAGGCACAATCTATATTGTGTGCGATGGGATATGTGGAACCGAAATGGGAATCCGCGGGGAGGATAGATGAGCATTCTTCTAGAGAAAGGTTCTGAAAATTGGATGTGATGCTAACGAGACGAATTCATTAGAGTCGGTGTCTTCTCTACATTGACAAATTCATATGCCTTGGTGGCCGTAGGCGCAAGTGAAAATTTCTACAGGTGTGTATATCCTCAGATAGAAATACTTCCGGCTCCGGCGCATCCTGATTGCCCCTCTCTGGACAAGCCAAAAAACTAATAAGTCCAACAAAAAAGTGTATTCGAAGCAGAACTCCAAGATGTTATCCCGATTTGCCATGCGACAATTGCAGGGACTCGTATTATTGGACGTTTGACTGCAGGTAACAAGAAGGGACTTTTGGTGCCAACGAGTACGACGGATCAAGAATTGCAACATTTGAGAAATAGTTTACCGGATAGCGTTAAGATACAGGTGGGTTTTCTTTCTTCGCCATTGGAGAATTGAAGGTCTAGGCTTCTCAGTTTTAAGCTCCGCGACACTCCAAACGTCTGAGCCTGCTTCTTCAAGGCTGTATTTCACTACCTTGAGGTCTGGCTTCCTTCTAGCAATACTAACGTACAACCAAACAGAGAATAGAAGAGAGACTTTCGGCTCTCGGAAACGTCATAGTATCCAACGATCACGTTGCTCTCGTTCACCCGGATCTGGAGCGCGAAACCGAAGAAATTATCGCCGATGTCCTTGGTGTCGAAGTATTCCGTCAGACCATTGCCGATAACGTCCTTGTCGGATCTTATATGGCACTTTCCAACCAGGGCGGTATCGTTCATCCTAAAACCAGTATTCAAGATCAAGACGAATTATCTTCGTTATTACAGGTTCCATTGGTTGCGGGTAGTGTGAACAGGGGTAGCAGTGTGGTCGGTGCAGGTATGGTTGTTAATGACTGGATGGCGGTTACCGGTCTGGATACCACGGCTACGGAATTGAGTGTGATAGAGAGTGTGTTCAGGCTGGGTGAGGGACAAGGTCCTAGTGATATTGCGGGGAAGAACAAAGATACTATGGTGGAGAGTTTCTACTAAGTTCTTCAGTGGTAGAAGTGTATATGTGGGATTGTGGAGGATTAGAGACCGTAGTCTCTTGGCTTTAGTGTTCATCATTTAATGAATGCTATGAGGCATAGCCAGCAGGGAAATTCCGTCTGTTCTACTGCCGGCATATGTTAGACACAGTGAGCGGGTCGTTTAATGACCTTTAATAGAGAACTTTTTCTATCTCCATGACAAAACATTGGCTTGCAAACGTGTGTGATTTTCATGCTGCGAAAGCAAGCATGCACAACTAAATAAAAGCAGACATATTGCTCATCCGCAAGCACAGCGTGGTGTCTTCCGTCAGCACATATCAACGCATTCTGATGGACCACCAGGCCAACAACCCAATTTAATCATTGCTTCATATGCAATTTATCAATAAATCACCACATCAGTATAGATCTTAGTATTTGGAAATAGTCTCGGCACGAAAAAGAAACTGTGCATTTAGCATATGACCGCCTTAAGAATATTAGTAGTTGTCCTGATCCCTCTAGAAATCATCATATCAGAAACCTGTACTATATTTATATAGCAAAGAAAGCCCTTGAGCCTCGATCCAGTCCTGTGAAGCTACATAGGTATACATCTAAGACTAGGTACATTCACTCAATCTAACCATGACGTTCTTACAGCCAGATAGTCTGATACTATCACGTGAGTAGCCCGCTCTTTTCGTGTTTGTGTAGGTCCGTGTAGGGCGTAGGTGATATCGACGCGTTTGTTCTTCTGGAAAAAAAAGTTCACTTTTACTTTTACTTTTTTTTCTTCAGGATTTGTTTGATTTTTTCATTTTCTTATCTTGAATTTATTTCAAATCGCATTTTCGATAAATTTAATAACGGCCAAGCAGCATCTGAGCAAGGTTTAATACAAGACTTAAGTTTCATCATCGCCACGGGACGGAGTTTGATGGTGGAAAATTAGTAAGAAGGAAAAGGGAGATATCTGTAAAAAGGTCGGGAGAAGGGAGAAGGGAGAAAATTGGAGGTATCAGAAATGGATGGAGTTGCTTTGGAGATGGATTTGGGGATGGAATTTTATGAACAGTGGGATTGGCAGAGGTTTAGGGAGGCGGAGACTATGGAGTTGGAGGAAGAAGAGGGTAGTGTGGTGCAGGAAGAAGTGGTCTTAAAGAGTGAAGAGGAGATTGTTGAGAGCGAGGAGAATATTGGTGGAATTGGAAGGGTGGATGAGGAAGACGCGTCACGGAGAATTGTTTTACCTCAGTATGATGGCTCGGCTGATGACGTGCGTGAGAATCAGGAGGCTGGATCAATATCAAAAAATTGGATTGATGATGTTTATACGAGGTCGCAGCAAATAGATTTGCCACGATATGATGGCCCGGCTGAAATGGCCCAGGACGCCGTGTCCATATCGAGAACGGGAGCAGAAGATATCGATGTAGGTTCTCCAAAAGACCACGCAAATATTTCCACTCAAGTAGTGGATGTGGCTTTGAAAGAAGAAAGTTCCGAGGCTCCAGAGCAAGGAGTGGTGGTGGAAGATGTCGAGTTGGATAAAGGAGACAGCGGCATTACTCCGGAGAAAGATGATGATAGAGAAGGCGATGGAGATGGAGATCAAGGGATGACTCTAGCTTGTAATGGAAGCATGTACGATTTTCTTGGGACCGAGAATAGTGATGAAGAAGTGGTCAACCCTGGGAAGACTGTTACACCGCAGGAAACTCATAGGAATATTCCAGAGTCAAGTACAACTGCGATTGAGATGACAGTCAAATCTGGTGTCACCTTAGAAGCAGATACTTTCGAAGAGAGTAATAATCCCGAAGAACAGATGAATGATAGGATGGAGGGTCAAGTTTTAGCTGGCGAGACACATGTGCCAGAGGAAAGCCACAACGACATATCAAGTCCGGCAAAGGCCGCCAGCAAGATGGGATTCGAGCCACTGATCGATAAGCCTGCAGGTGGGGAAATTAATGGATCCGGAAAAGCTCTCAACAATACCTCAACTTTAAAAACAACTTGTCCAGGAATGACCTTTGAAGCTGGAACGGACGGCAACACAAATGCACATTTCGAAATGGCAGACCATGACGCTGAAAGTACGACTAGTGGTTTTCTCAGGTATGAAGATCTTAGAGATCTTGAAGGAAAGCCCAGCTCAATGTCTATTCTGGACCAGCCATCTATGAAATTTACCACCCAGGATGAGTTTCCCGGAAATTTTTTCCCTGCCACAGAAGAAACCACTGATGCAAACATCATGAATGCTGCGTATAGTGACAACATGCCAGCTCTTTCGCAGGGGCATGATTTCAGTATCGCTAATCAAACGTCTGTGGATGATGAAAGCGTGCAAGAAGATGTTGAATTGCCTCCGTTACCCAGAATGGAAGCTCCAGTACAAACAAGTCAGATAGAAATTCCCGACAGCGATGCGATCACAGAATCAAGTCAGCGATCTCCGCAGAAACTTGGTCATGTTGACAGAACACTCGATAGTCCAATAAGTAATTTGAAGGATGGGGAGAGACGTATTTCAAATTATGGAAGCAGGGAAGAAGCCAGCGATGGAGAGGCCGAGAAAATCGTAAGTTCATTTGCAAGGGAATGTGCCACAAGCTCCGTTGACTCAAAGAAATATCTCAACGAGCCTGAATCAATGGGAGCTAGGAGTCTTCAGAATGGAATAGATACAACTGTAGGACATGGACAGTCGATCGAGATTGCAATAGTTGATTCTGGAAAGAAGCCGAAAGAAGATTCGAAATCTGAGAACGAAGATAAAATAGAAATGGGGACATGCTTTTCTCAACCTATACCACAGAAGAAGACGGACAAAAGAGGTCGGCCACCAGGGAGAAAGAAATCTGGGATAGTTAATGGTGAAAGTGACATCAAGGAACCTATCGAGAGGAAAGCAAAGCTTGTCGAGGTTAATTCAGATAAGCCGCTGAGTATGGAGGCTGAGGACGACTTAACCGAAAGTACACCTGTGCAAGAGAAGAAAAAAAGAGGCAGGCCATCTGGTAGGAAGGTTTCGTCACTGTCTGTTGGTGACTCCGTCGAGGTAATTAGGCACTCATCTTCTGCGGAAAGTCGGCCAAGTGAACCATCTTTAAGTAGCCCTGCTTCCGACAAGAGAAAAAGAGGCAGACCATCTAGTAGGAAAGCTTCTTCATTATCTGTTGATGAGCTTGGTGCAGAACAGGAAAAAGCAATTGTGGATGCGCCAGGGAGCTCGGAAGCCGCTTTTATCGATAAAGCCGATGAGGTAACAAAGCATTCATCTCCGGAAGGAACACCGACCAATGATTTGTCTCCAAGCAGCCCTGCACCGGAGATGAGGAAGCGAGGTAGAGCAGCTGTAAGAAAGGTTTCTACACTATCTAATGTTACGAACGACAGTGATGATGTTGAAAATTCCGAGAAAGAGATGGCTTCGATGAATGAAGATAGTACGCATTCGCACCTTGGTTCCAGATCGGCAGGCGAAACGATCCCAAGCTTTCCTATCTCCTCCATGGAAGAACATAAGAAGATTGAAAGGCCGTCTTGCCGAAGGTCTTCAGGTTTGGGTCCCCGGAAGGAAGATGCGGAGGAATCAGGCGGACACGTGGGCAAATTTAATGATGTCATGGCGCCAAACCCCTGTGATAATTCTGATGATGTTGAAGAGCTCGCAATCAACGGAACGATGGATGAACTGGCCATGAACTCACCTTCGCCTGTTAAACGGAGGAGTGGAAAACCAGTCAATAAAAAATTGTCCGACTTAAGTCCCGAAAAAGGGGACACCGAGGAATCTGCAAAAGAGGACTTACCTACAGCTCCAGTAGTGATTCTCCAAGATGTAAAGATGAACGATTTAACACCCAATCACAAATCCACTGACGAATTCGTTACCATCTCATCTTCATCAGTCAAGAGGAAAAGGGGAAGACCTGCAGGACGTAAGTCTTCTGGAATTGAGACTGAAAACGCGGAGGCTGAGGAATTATCATACAAGGTTTCATCGTTACCACATGATGACGTTGCGATTCAAGAAACTACGTTGAATGAAAACCTAAATGATGATTTGGATAATGGTTCGCCTGTACGACCGAAAAAGAAAGGTAGACCTGGTCGAAAGTTGTCTCAATTGAATCCCGAGAAGTCATCAGCCAATGAGACTTCGGAAAAAAGCTCTGAAGACACCGATGCGAAAGATCCCTTAAACAACATTATGCATGGCTCTGGGGATGATATTAGATCCGCGAGATTGGCTGATATCGGTTCTTCGCCGGTGAAAAGAAAAGAGGGTGGAACTGCTAGCCAAAGGCCATCCGAACAGAATCTCAAAAAGACGTCTGTCAAGGAAAAATTAGAAGGAGCTCCGGATATTGAAGCGGCAAAAGCTGCAGATATTGGTATCATTGCGCCTCCTGATGTTAAGCAGTTGATCGATGAACCACCTCCTTCTGCCAACCCGTCATCTGAGAAGAGAAAGAGAGGTAGACCTGGTAGTCGCAAAGCCTCTGAACTGGATCCTGAAAAGCTGGCCGCTAATGGAGCTGCAAGGGGAAGTCCTAATGGTGTCGTGACGGAAGAGGCTGAAAAGACAGATTACAATGGGCCACCAAGTGTCGATTCTTCGCCGGAGAAGCGAAGAAGAGGTAGGCCATCTAATCGCAAATCTTCTAGTCTAAATATCGGAAACAAGAATTCTACTGAGACTGTTGAAGCAACTTATAACAGTGACTTTATAACTGTTGCCGAAAAAGTTTTGAATGCGGATATCAATGAACCCGCGACCGAGGCTAGCTTATCCGCCACTTCTTCACCAGAGAAGAGAAAGAGAGGCCGTCCGGCGCGCAGCGCTTCTGGCTTTGGTGCTGGAAGTGCCCAAAAGGATAGCATGTCAGGTGTTGATACTGCTGGCAAGAATATCCCGCCAGAGATTGTTAACTCTGGTGAGGAGGAGGACGAGCCACAAGATGAGTCGCCGCCTGCCAAGAAACTCAAGCCAGAGCCAAGAAAACGAGTTCGACTGTCTGGAACCAAGATTTTGGGTGTCAGCACTGAAGAAGAAAAGACTGCCGAAGAAGATGTGATTAAGGCAGTAAGTACTGGAATCGAGGGTAATGAGAATATTGAGGTGGATAAAAAGACTCATGATGAACCACCTGCACTTGAGAGAAAAAGACGAGGTCGACCTGCTGCAACCAAAGCTAGGGATAGTAGTGACAGCGATTCAGAAATTTTAGAGAAAGAACGGCAAAAATCAGCAAAATCTGAGCTTCCTTGTGCTAAATCCGAGGAACCTGTCGATGATGGAGCCGACGAACAAGAAGAACCCATAGTTCAGAAGAAGAAGAGAGGAAGACCAACGTTGCTCAAGAACAAAGGAAAACAGGGTGCAAACGCTTCGGAGTCTTTAGATGAAGATCTTATCATCACATCTAATATCGGCAGTTCTAAAGGCAAAGTCTCCGGAAACCAACTATCTACATCATCAAACAACTCATCCTCTTCGCAGCGACAAGATGCCTTCTTAGTCGAGATGAAAGCTATGAAGCTCGTAAGTCTCATCCCCCCGCTTCCTTTTCCCTCCTAGGAAATCAATAAATTAACCTCCATTCCATAGTCATCAATCCAAGCACGCAATGCCAATCTCAGAATCGAAATCGCTCAAAAACGAGAGAAAACTCAAGAAATCACGCAAGGATTAGAGCAACCTGCTAAGGAAACGGTCAAGAGACACATCAACTTGTTGCACGATTATAATGATATTAAGGATGTGGGACAGGGATTGCTGGGCATGATTGCGGATAATAGGGGTGTGAGAGTTGGGGAGTTGTATGAGGAGTTTGGCGTGGGTATTGCTGATTAGTTTTTTTGATGAAAAGTTGGGAGAAGTTGACGGGAGTAGGGAAAGGGTCATTTTCGTACTTGGATGGTAGATAATTAACCTCAAATGTGGAGTACGGGACAGTTGGCAGAGGATAAGAAGCAGGTTCTGATGCAATTGGCGCATTTGATTTATGATTTCTTCTTCATGATACCAATTTGTCTACAATTTGCTGGGAATATGGAGCTTCTTACCTCAAGGACGAGGCATCACAAGGGATCTGAGGAACAAATTGTCAAATTTTGCGATATGGAGAGGGAGATAAATGGAGGATGTTCTTAATACATATAATATAGGTAGCTAGCTAGCTATAATAGCTTTATCCACAAACTAGCAAACTCTTCATCATCACAACCAACCATCACAGCAAATTAGTAATTGTAACAACCATCACAAAATGATTAAATTTCCCATCCTCCCTCGTCTCGGTACGGTATCTATCATCCACTAACACACCCACTCAAACTCAAACCCCTTCACCATCTTTAGCTCCTCCCGATATAATCCCTCTATCCTCCAACACGGTAACATAAATCATCATTTCATCACGAATACTAGTATCCAATTGCATAATCGCGGGATGCACATGTTGGGAATACTTGGACTTGGACTTGGAAGAGAGGGATTTAAACGAGGAGCGCGATTTGAAGGATGAAGAGCGAGATTTGAGGGTTTTCCAGGGGGAGTTACTGGGGAAGCGGGTGAGGTGGATGGTGCTGCTGGTGGCGGTGGTGGTGGGTTTTGGGGGGTGCGTGTGGTGAGGAGGGTGAGGAAGATTAGAGAGGAGGGTTCGAGGGAGTGCGTGAGGAGGGTTTGTGGGTTGGGGTTGTTGATTACTTTGGGAGTTGGGGAGATGGGGGTGGAGATGGAGATGAGGGGTGTGAGGTTGAGGATACTGGTTGTGAAGATACTGTTTATGTGTAGAGATTAGATGGTTGGAATTTTTGCACTGGAAGAGGCGGAATACTTACGCGCAGCCGAGGAGATAAATGCTTGATATTGCGTATTTTTGGTTACGGCTCAGATGGAGAGAATGTAGGATAGGTAGGGATAATATGAAAAGAAGGAAATGAAAGAATATATTCGTGATGGCGTGGGTTATTGAGAGAGCGGATTTGTTGATACACTGACCATGTGCGATCGTGCGATCCCATATATAAGGGATTGGCGTACATTGGAAAAGTGTTGCGGTATCGAAAGCGATCATGGATAGAAATATCGATAGAGTGGTGATATGATAAATGGGTTTGAGGTTGCTTGTCAGAGGGAAAGAGATATAGAAGAAGAGTAGGGATATTTGGATTGTGGCTATGGTGGTTTGATAAATGATTTGCAGAATGTAGAAACACTAGTACAGTTTAAGCTGACATGTTGAGGCAAAAGCATAGAAAGTACTTATTGTTGAGGAATCTCCTACCATGGTAGCTTTTGAGTTTTTCAGAATGAAGAGAGACGACATCGTGGTCCAGTCCCCAAGTAAAAATGCCTTATCAGCGTTATGTTAGGTTGGTCAACGGCTCCTTTGAATCGGTGCACTCACCGACGCAGCCCACGATTTCATGAGCGATCACGAAGCCCTGCATATGTAGTGTCAATCAACTGGATATGCATATCTAAATATTCGCATTTAGAACACTCACAAGAGCAATCAAAATCCCTACATCTGCCTTGTTCGAACGCCCACGTTTCCATGCAACATGGAATATGACAGCAAGCATGCACATAAATAAGAGTGGAACAGTGGTAGCTAGCCAAGCTATGCCGGAATCTGTTAGTTTGGACATGAAATTGACGTGTATTTCGGCTTTATTAGAGACGTAGAGGTTCGCAAACCACTCTTGAGGAAGATGAGAGAAGAGTAAGTATAAACAGACTGTTAAGAGTAAAATTCTAAGTAAATTTGCACGAGTAAGTACGGGATGACACTTGATGGCCCTTCAAACTCTTTGGATCGTGGTTCATTGTGTTTCTTAAGGTCGCACAATTTGTTTTTGAGGTCATCATGACTTTGTTCGCTGCGAGCCAACTATAGGAATCTTGCCGTATGTCCTGGTGAAAATACGAAACGTGAACAATACTATTGTTTTAAGTAAATTTTCGAGATCACAATAGGACGGTGATGATATCTCAATTTTCGACACGGATATATAATAGATATTCCAAGATCCAGAGATACCATTCAAAAATTAGAAGCGGGAGTGAAAGAAATGTTGATGAACACCCCGATCAATAGGACATATGGGGTAACCATGATGATTCCGGTAATCCACGCAAGTCTACTTGTCAAGTAGCGCAAGGTCAATACCATCCGCGATTTAAAAGAAAATTTTGTTATGTCGTGAGTCCGTTCGGTTTTGTGTTACCCATCTCGGAAGCAACGGTAGAATTCTGGTGTAAGGAAATCAAGATAACACAGGCAGTTGATTTTGCAATAGCTGAGACAGAGACTTAGTCTGGTGAAACGTGAAGAATTCTAAACAATTTGCATCGTCTTGGAGGTCCTAATCGTGACTTACTATGAGTCGAGGTTGCATTGTGGTGCGTTATATTTCATTCTAGATGAAAAGCTCGACAAGTGCTAATTTGGAATACTGTTCTACGCAGGTCTCAGTAGATTATCTTCGAGTTGTAGATGAAAGAACTGTAATACAGCAAGAGCATTATCGCCGTATCGTATAACACAGCGAAAGTGTACAGTGTTGGCATAGCACGATAAAGTAAAGATCATAATGCTAGAGCGAAACTTTGAGGGAGTTGGATTAGACTCAAGCTAACTCACTTTAGGTCTAGCTTCAGAAACGTCACGCACGACATCTTTCTTCCAGGATTCCTTCCGAGAACTCTGGTCCCAGTTCGATATAAATTTCTGCAACATCATGTTGAATGCATGCTTGAGAAAGTAATATCTTGATAGTGAAAATTCCTTCGAACCTTGTAAGTCCAGTGACAGCAGCAGCGTCACTCACCAGTAAGGTTAGGTTTGCGATGTCTTCAGTTCCAAGAAGCGCCCAGGTCTCGCCGCCGTTTTACGTCTGTCATACCATTCAGACCGGCTAAGAACACATAATCTATGACTTCATTGGGGTCAGTGGCACGGTAGATCATGACATTCAAATCTTTCCAATGATCCTTCAAGTGAGGATATGCTATGGGAAAGCAGCAATATTTCTCGCTCTATACAAAATGTGGACCCCAAAGACCCCGAGCGTTTTGGACAAATTTCTAGCTTCAATTTCCCATGTCACACAAAGCTCATATGCGAATTCGATGACTTCTCGTCAAGGTTATCAATGGAGCGAGTGGTTGAATGGATTCATTGACTTCTAGCTACTTCAAAACAAGCTTCAAACACTGAGGTAGAAATAGCTTAAAATTTATTCTATTAAATATCATTAAGTTTTTATTATTTAAGTCTAATACTCTGCTCCCGGGCCACCTTCAATTTGAGCTATCTTTTTATATTAAAAATATTAAAAATCAATCTTTACAACTTTTTTATTTATATTTTTAGATTTTACAAGGATTAAAAAGTCCGACATTTTGATTAAAAAGATTTCTGTAAATTATTTTTGAAAATAGATTAATTCATTTAATTAATCGTAATATAAATATTCGAAAATTTTTATAATTTATTTTTATTTATTTTTATTAGAAAGTTATTGAAAGGTTTTAATAATTTTTCAAATTTGTATATAAATTCTATACAAATCAAAAATCAAAAAATTTAAATTTGTAGATTTTAATGAAATCAATTTTAAAAAGTCTGAAATTTTCAAAATTTATTTATAATTATGCAATGAATATACGATTGAATTTCATCAAATTCTATTGATTAATTGTAAAGTTATTAATAGGTGAAAATCACGATTTTTGGTCTAAAAGGGTGGCCCAAATTGAGGGTGGCCCGAAAGTAGGGTACTAGACTTATTAGTTATTCATAATCCAAGCAGACCAAGCCCATACCATTGACTCAGTCCATTTACCCAACTTTTACTTTAATCATCTTCTCCCATCCTTTTTGTCCAAGCTTAGCTTTCAATAAGTATCCATCAATTTTTTCACAGCGTACTGAAATTGAAAACAAATAAAAAGGAAATAGGTATAAAATGCAGAAACAGTAAAAGCAGGGAACATTATGAATCCCCGTCTCCCCAACCGTCAAGCGCCATTGATCTCCCTGCCAAGAAACGTCGAAGGTCTATTTGGAAGATTGATCTTCCTGTTTGGCTAGCCTTATGTGCTCTTTGGCTAGTTGCCATCCTCGACCGCGGTAGCATTGGAAGCGCCAACGTTTCCGGAATTCGAAAATATTTTCATATTCAAGGTAATAATCTCAAAATGACCCCTTTCATCGTCGGCATAGTTCTTTTTGGTTTTGGGACTCCATGTAGTGCATTACTCAAATTTAGCTCACCGCAGATAGTTCTTGCTGGAAAAATTCTCCCCCTCGGTTTGTGAAATCTGTCGAACTATAAGTTATGCTAGAACCACCAGTGAACGACATAGCATAGGAATCACGGGTATTGGCAAGGAATTCGTCACACTTGTTACAGGGTCCAATGCCATGCCTTTCTTCATTGGCCTATTTGGAGCTGGAACTGTACCAGGTATTACCATCAGTCTGAAATAGAAATTAATACACCTGCACAATCACAGCAAGTATTCACATTTTGAGTCAGTACTATCCTCCTTATGAAATTCAGTGAAGATGAGGCATATTGATGGTTGGCAACGCCCTTGGTAGCGCATTTACTGGATTACTTGCATTTGCTATTGCTGGTATAATAATGGCGATGGCTATCATGGTTGGAGATGGATCTTCATCGTCGAAGGGTATATTACTGCTGCAATGGAAATTCCCGTTTACCCTTCAATCCGGCTCGGCCATATCGGTCAAAATTGTTGTCTGGTGTAATGCAAAAACTTTACTCGTCGATGTCATTGAATAAGGGCTTCTTGGACAGGCGGATGAGAAGTTAGATCTTCACACCCTCATCAGTATTCTTAAAGATTGGAAGATATACATGTGGTGAATACCTCAATTTACCGGCTATTCTAAGCTAATCAAGTGTAATGGCATGATTTTAGGATGTACGACAATCACGCTTTATAGCGTCGCAGTTATCTACTATAATAATTATATCCTCATCAAGACCCTTGCCACGTTCAGAGTTCTGTGTATTCTCGTCTTTGTCGCCGCAGCAAACCTGCACTGACCTCCTCAGTCTTATCCCATCATTTTAAACATCGAAGAGCATTCGCTCTTTTGGATATACCATGATTACATCTGGTACTCTTATCCTCCTCAGAAGCATATCAACGTGCCTACCAAGTATGGAGTTCCAGCTGTATGTCTCCTGGCCTGCGGAGTTTACGTTGCTCGACCGATGTTATGGACTATTTTGACAAGTAGTATTACTTGAACATATGATATTGGCATTGCTACAGCGAATCAACTCAGCATTGGCAATCTAGGCGGTATAGCTTCAACACTTTGTTTTGCAAGTAACAAAGCACCTTTATTCGTCTTGGAACATACAATTATTTTAGTAATGACTTGCTGTGCCGCTGGGCTCATGTCTGTAAAAAAACAAATTCTTGTGGATAGAGAATAGGTCTAGAGCTGCCGGTGAAATGAATTATTTACTGGAGAGAGGTGATATCGATAAGCTTGGCGATAGTCATTTTACTTTTAGATGTACGTGCTTGTAGGCACTCGGGGTAATAGTTTCTTCCAGCATGGTGGTGATATGGTGGAATAGTTTCACAGAATCACAGTTTCTAAAAGCCCTAGGTAGGTAGCTTAGGGATAATTAGGCTGATTAGTAGTCACACCATTTTGAAGCATTTCTTGCTTCCTCAGTTAGGATGTATGGCGGCATGAGTAGAAGAATCTATTTGAATACCATTTTGTATGTAATGCATGGGATTTCTATGTCATACATAGGTTTCACTTCGGAAAGTTGCTGAACCATTTGGGTTTCGCGGATTCGTATTTCAATTCCGAAGTTACCTAACATACTTAATGCAGTGTACCTTCGGAGCTATCTGAACTATATTCAAGATTTTTGATTCGATCATAATTTGCTTATCATTGTAAAGATTTGAAAGATTTCTCCTTTGTTCTATCCTGTCTAAGCTACACGACTTTGTGCCACAGCGGGATCTTTTGGGTTATTTTTGTCTCTGAAAGTATATCACCGCTCAGCTACCCCTTCTTTCGGATATCACAATATTATTCTCAGTCAGTGCTTGAGCTACATAACCTTCAAATCGTTAAAATATGGTTCATACTCAATAGTTTGTGTTTCGTTTACCCACTCTTTCTACTAAGTCGCCAGCTTGTCTCTAACCGTCGCCGAGTTTCCACCAATAATACTAAACGTTACAAACATCTTCATTCGTCTTTCCTCCCTCACTTCTTCGATATCTGCATTCATAATCTAAAATACACCCTAACTCCAATTCCCATCATGTCAAACCCCAGCCCAGTCCCCTGCGTCCCTGAGCCAAGCGAGCCTCTCAATATTGCCATAATCGGAGCGGGTCTGACTGGTCTTACACTCGCCCTTTCTATTTCTGCGCTTCCACCTAACAAGCAATCTCATCTCCGCTACACCATCTACGAATCCCACCATAGCTACTCCGAAATCGGAGCCGGTATTGGATTTGGTGCAAGTGGCCACCGGATCATGAAACTACTCCATCCCGATTTCTGGGAAAATTATAAAGCTATTGCAAATTGGGGCGACGATGACGTGTGGTGGGATTTTATAGTCGGTGATCGAGTTGGCAGTTCACAAGACAAACATGGAAAAGAGGAAGAATGGGAAGGAAAGAGAATAGCACAAGTAAGAATGAAAGAGGGAAGAGAGGGTCAAAGTACGGCGCATAGAAGATCATTAATGGATGTTCTCATCAAACTCCTTCCTCCTTCTGCCGATGTGAGATTTGGGAAACGTTTAATTGGGATTATTTCTTCTTCTCTTCCTTCCAATTCCGACGTCCCCGATTCTAAAGTAACGCTAAAATTTCAAGACGGTACAACATCAACCGCAGACCTAGTAATCGGTGCCGATGGCGTCAAATCTCTATGTCGGGATATGGTACTCACACCCACTAACAATGCAAACGCATTAAAAGCACGTTTTACGGGGAAAATAGCATATAGGGGTTTAATACCAATGGAAGAGGCAAAAGCAAGTATAGGGGAGAAAGCCGGACAGAGGATATTTTATCTGGGACATGGGGGACATGTGGTTTCTTTTCCGGTGGAGGGAGGGAAGAGTATGAATATTGTTGCTTTTGCGAATAGGGAGGAAGGTGTTTGGGAGGGGAGTTGGGTGAGAGAGAATGTAGAGGAGGAGTTGGAGAGGGATTATTTGGATGGGAGGTGGGGGAGGGATGTGGAGGGGATTATGAGGGTGAGTGGGTGGTTATTTGAACGCTGGATTTTATTTCATGAGCTTTCTTTTGCTTGACCTTTTCATATTATTGTCTTTGTTTTTTCCTCATTTCCTTCTAGCCATCAAATTATTTTGCTATTTTTGAATAATCACTTCCATCTCACATCATTCATCCAAAGTTTAAATTTTATTTCCCATTTTCCATTTCATTCAAACTCCATCTTCTATGTCCTTTATCCATAATACACTTTCTCTCACATTCCCTCAAATCTAAACTACGTTAACTAACACAATCTCTCTCAGCTCATTAAATCCCCTTCATACTGGGCAACATTTTACCACCCCACAGCACCCACCTTCCACCACCCAACTCTTCCTATCCTCCTAATCGGCGATGCTGCACACACTACTGCGCCGCATTTTGGGCAGGGTGCGGGTCTTGGTAGTATGTATCCCTTTTTTCCTTTGCACTTACCTGAGGTTTTCCGGTTTTCTCTGTACCTTTTTGTTCAGTGTCTATTGAGGATGGATCTGTGACACGGAATTAAATATAGTACACCGAGTGTATAAGATCAAGCTAACCACCAGCAAACCCATCAAATAGTCGAAGACGTATACATACTCACCAAACTCCTTTCGCACCTTCCCGCTGTCTCCCCTCGAGCTCCCACTAACCCCTTTCCCTCTACCTCCCCACCCATTCCCGCCCAACTCCGCCCTCCTCATCCCTCCCCACTAGTGCCATCCCTCCCCTCCCTCTTCAAAGCCTACACACAAACCCGCCAACCACGCGCCACTACCGCCGTAAGCACCTGCAACCACTACGGCCGCATCCTCGACATGGAAGATCCCATCCTCTCTGATAATCTCCCGCTTCTGAGGGAAAAGGTACGGAGGATCGCGGAGACGATTTGGGGGTATGATGAGATTGGGGAGGGGAGAGCTGTACGGATTATGATTGGGATGGTGGGTGAGTAGGGGTGGGGGGGGGAAGTGAGTGGTGGGAAAGATGAGAGAAAGGGTTATGTATACTGTGATGAATTAATGAAGGGTTATAGACTAATCTAAAGATAAAACTGCCACATACGACCATAGACTGAAGAGAATTGGGCATCCCGTCCGCTCTGCCATACACAAGCTTCAGATCGGTAGATTAGTAGTTGGGTGGGTGACCACCAGCGAATCCCTACTGTTGTATGTTTTTTTGCTGCTTTTCCTTTTGTCTTTTGACTCATCTTGATTGAGGTTGGTTGGTTGATATTTTTGTATGTATGTAGTAGGTAGATAGATTATGATGGATGAGATGAGGTGAGATCAGGTGAAATTGTATAGAGAGAAAATATATATATATTCAACTTTTAAAGTTTATTAAATAATAATCAAATTAGTCTATAAGATTTCGTAAAGGTTTAATTTATTTTTTGACAGAGAAAAGTAGTCTGAAAAATAAAGTATTTGATTTCATTACTTATACTTCTTTTGTATTTTGTTTGGGTGAGGGGAATGAATAGATACACCTTTATAGATATAGTGAAAATTTTTGTCTTGATTTCCTTAGACAATGATCTTATCCATACCTATGTATCTAACTTAATAATCCTTTCATGCAAACAAGACAAAATCCATCATCAAATCCCCTAAATCCCCTCCTACATCATAACTTCAACTCCTCCCCAAACTCCTCCCCATCCCTAGCATCCACCCCACCACCCAAAACCCTCTCAACCGCCTCCCTATATCCACCCCTTCATCCCTCCCCTCTCCTCCCCATTAACCAAATCAAAATACCCTCCTCCCCTCTAACAACCTAACCACCACCTCCGCCACATCCCCCAGTTTCCCTCCCCGGTCTTCCCCAGCACCACCCTCCCTTCTCCGCCTCATCACTCAAAGTCCCCGGCCTCAAATCTATCCAAATCCAATCCTTCCTCTCACTCCCCTCCACCACAAGCGCCTGATCAGCTTTCAATTTCGCCTGATAATAATCCGGAAGTATCTCCCTATTAACTTTCTCTACGTATTTCCAATCATCGTCGTTCCACCAGGGAGCGCGCGAACGACGACATATGAGGGCGGAGACGAGGAGGAATTTACTGATGGAGGGGGTGGAGATACTGGCGCGTATGAAATGGATGCAGGCGTTTTGGTCGATGGCGTAGGTACGGGATTTGTCGCCTTTGCCGCCGGCTCCTACGGTTTTGGGTTTTTTGTGTTAGTTTATGATTTATTGTGATTATAGGTAAATCTTATTATTAATCCTGTTATTCTTCCTCTTATCCCTCTTCCCCTAAAACAAATCCAACTCTCCCCTCGCCCCCAAAAGAAAAAGATCAACAAACCCGCGCACCAAACCACCCAATCCGGTTTCACCAGCTCCAAAATCCCCCTCGCATCATCCACACACCTCACATCCTCCAAACTCCTGACCAAAATTTCCAAATTCCCAATTTCCAAATCCCCAACCCCCAAATTCCCTTCTTTACTCTTTATATCCCCCGCCCTCTTCGCCACTTCAAGAATATCCCCCCTCTGCTGCTCATTCCTCACCAAAGAGACCAAAGACCAAGAACGCGCCAGGATTTTAGGAGTCATGAGGAGGGAAATTTTGCCGTGGCCGCCGAGGAGGAGGATTCGTGGAGGCATGGTTTGGTCTGCGTGTTTGGGGTGTTTGATTGATTGATTGATAGATAGATAGATAGATAAATGAATGAATGAATAGAGTTGTTGTGAAAGTTAAGAGCTTAAGATGTTGTGTAGATGCGGGGTACCTCATAGGGCTGGTGGACTGATGAATAAAAGGTTGTGATTGCATCATAGGTACTTCCTTACTAACTTACCTTTCTTTACATTTCATTCCTGAATTGGCTAGTAATTAGATGTCTAGAGGTTAAAATATATTGGATCATCATATCATATCACATCTCATCTCATCGATCGATCGATCAATCAACATTTTATTTACCTAGAAAGATAAACTTTTAAAATAGATCTAATTCGTTTTTATTGAAATACTAGAAATGCACATCAAACATCACACTTTTCATTCACAAAACACAAAGTAAGAATCAAAATATAAAGTCATAAGTTTTTATTGAATATTTTATTTATTTCTATTTACAAAATAAAGTGTGTATAAAATAATCGGGATTTCGCATCCATCCATTCATGGAAAAATGACACAAAAGCGAAGCCGTCTCGTCGTCTTATATTTCGATCGATCGATCACGGGTTCCCGATAGGCTTTCTTCCAATTCCTCTCAAAACTCCGAAAGAAGGGGTATCTCATCTAAAATATAAAACACTCTTCTACCAGAGAGAAGGAAAGAGAAAGCCTGACAGTTCAAGAATAGAATATAACTAGAAAATGTTTGCTTTTGCAATATATCTATGCAGAAAGCATATATGGGTCATTAGTGCCCGTCTTGCCAGCCATGAGTAATCCCAATTCTCGCATACGTTCTGCACCTTTACCAGGTTGTGGTCTACGTTCTGGTTGACCTTTGCGTGCACGATTGGCGCAATGCTTTTGATAAAATTTCTCCTTTCGTCTTTGTCGCTTTTGCTCAAGACCTTTGACAATATCAATCGCTCCACGTAATGGTCCATCGCCGTCATCCTTTGCAGCAATTTCATTGGCTGCAGCAATACGATTCGCAGTATATTGACGACAGAAAGCATTTGGAGTTCGAGGAAGAGACTTGGTATGGGTCAAACCTGGTCTTGATCCTAAAGGAGCAAATTTAATTGCTCTACTTCCGATGATGGAAGGTGAAGCTGGAGGAGAATCAATAGTGCGTGCCGGTGGTGGGGAACGTGGCCTGTGAGGAGATTCATCCTCAAACAACTTGCGCAACGGAGGTGATTGAAGACGTTTCTTTGGTGGTGGTGACTGGAGACGTTTCTTTGGCGGTGGTGACTGGAGACGTTTCTTAGGTGGCGGTGATCGGAGACGTTGCTTCGGAGGTGGAGAGCGAAGACGTTGTTTTGGTGGAGGAGAGTGTAACTTTCTTGGAGAATGTCCAGGAGACCTACGAGACCTGGCACGACGGCGGTCTGAATCAGAATCTTCAAATTTTCCTTGCATCCAAACATGTTCATCACTCTCAATTGTCTTTGCAACATCATCAATTTCATCTTCTTCATCCTCAGGATCAGAGGTTGGGAAAGATGGATCAATATCTTGAGGGGTAGCGATGTGCCTGGCATATTTTCTGGCTTCCATACAAGAAACATAAGCATCTTCGAGAGGACGATCTTCATCAAGTGTTCCGCAAACAAAATCGGTACTATCAGGGAGATCGGGGGTTCCAGGGCGTATCTTGATGCTGCGAGGCTTTCTTGGTCTTCGCTTGCCCCTAGACAATTCTCTTATAGGGGCCATACCGTTAAGAGATTCGATTGATGATGCTGAAGCAGTTCGGTTTGCAGAGGCACGATAAGTGCTAGCTTCGGCATTTGGAATAGGGAATCGTGCTTGTTCCAATCTATTTGGTGTCCAGAAATTAAAATCACCTTCGGTATCATCTTCGTCATCAGAATCGGCGAAGCCAGCTTCGTTATCTGTCTCATTTCCATCCGTATCATCGTCATCCGAGTAAACACGATCAGTCTCGTCATCCTCATAATCATCTTGATCCTCATCAGAGCCGTCTTCATTATCGGAGTCGTTCCCATCGTCGAAGTCTTCATCATCTTCTTCCTCGAGAGCTTCTTCTTCGGCTTCCGATCCGAGTTTGCGAATTTCAATCTCCTTTGCAAGGGTATCATTGATGGTAATTTTTGCTTTTGGGACCTCGCTATCTGTGCGAATCCAATCATCCTCCTCTAGGCCCTCACTGCAGAATTCGTGAAATCGAGCAGCTTCAGATTGTAAATCTTTCTCGCCAGCAATGACATACTTTGGCTTACATCTTATCGCAACGGGGCTTTGAGATGCACGTCTCACGGTTCCTGTGGATTCGCGATGAGGGCGAGTGGAGGATGTGGCAGCAGGTCTAGGCTTTCTTGAAGTAGATGGTGATCGACTTGGGACGCGCTTTCGCGGTAGAGTATCTGGCACAGCGAGTTTCAAAGATGTCTTTCCAGTGGGTTCCACGTACTCCACAGCCTTTTCCACGTGTTTTTCCGTAGGCTTAAAAGGACAGGCAAATTTAATGGTAGATTTGCGTTTTGGAGCCTCAACTGCAGGAGCTGCAGCCTCAACGGGTTTTGCGACGGTAACTACCCCTGTCTTTGGAGCGGGGTCCTTTCGCGCACCACAAGCGAAACTGATACAACGTTTCTTTGAAGCAGCCTCGAGAGGTACAACCAGTGCTGCTTTTGGTGAAACGTTAAGGATTTCCGCGTGAACTGCAATAATTGGATCAGCCGCTTCATGATGTACGACTGAATTAGACGGAGGATATGTTGGTTTTCGAGTCATCGAGTAATATGACGTATTGGGAAATGGTGGACTAGGTGTATTGGTGCGAGCAGGACTTGTAAAGCCTCCATCGCTGGTAAGTTCGGCAGTCGATGCTAAGCTTACTGTGCTCATTAAAGATCGGCGGCGCATTAATTCGGTGGTAATATGTATATCAGGTTTTTGTGTCTCGGGCTCCGGGCTCTTCAAACCTTTTGCAAGAAGGGAAATCGCGCGATTGTTTTGAGGACGAATAGGAGCTTTTGTAAATTCGTTTGTTTGTAATTCAGGAGGCTCATCGACGTCTGCGGATATTATTTCTTCGTCGCCATTGGCAGACATATTTGAAGTGGAAGTCGCTTGTGGACGCCATGTTAACGTATCTTGCCCCTCCATGGTATGGTTCCGGTCGTGATTGAGATTCATCGTGGATGTATAATTAAGTAGATAATATAAGTAGGATCGACTGTTGGTATATGGTCGATTAGAAAAAGCTTGTTGTATGAAAATCGGAATGTGGTTTCCGAGATGGTTGCGGGAGACCGAATTTAAAGGAAAAGGTCGTGGTTTGTGGTTGAAGATTCGAAGTGGACTGCAGTGAAACAATCGAGTTACTCCTCAAAAGACTCGATTCGACGTATTGGTGATCGGTCAAAGGTAGAAATGCAACAAATGTAGAGTTCGAGACGAAAAGAAGTTCTTCGTCGTCAGATGCCTTTCCCAGAGAAAAGCAAGGGCCGAGGAGGACCGTTGAATTAAAGCGTCCCTAAGGACCGTATTGCTATAATTGTCGAGAAAACATCATGTTCAAAAAAAAAGGGATTAATCCAGGTTACTGCGAAGAAAGCAATAAAAGGAAAGAAAAAAGTGGTATCTTCCTTTAATCGAAGGATTATTGTTGGTAGAGGAGAGAAAAGTGGTGAGTGATGTGTAGAATAAAGTTGTTGTTGGTTTCCACTCTGAATTTATTTCGTAACGGTCTTTCTCTTTGGTTGGTAACAAACAGGTATAAGGTTCCGTAGAAAAGGACGGTGAATTTTTTGGTGGTGGTTGTATTTGTTATGGGGTCGTTTTGTGGCTAAGTGGTGGATGGTGGGTGGTGGGTGGTGGGTGGTGCTGCGGATTTATAAAATGACGTTCAATTAAGGGCTGAGATGAACTTTCTTTTCCTTTTCCTTTTCCAGGGCCGGGCTGATCCTTCCTTCGATACAATTTCAATCGATCAAATCAAATCAATCTTCTGAATTTGGTTTATACTAAGGTATCAAAAAGTAAAAGTAGTCCCAAGACCCAGTGCCAGTACCAACTTGGCGGGATAAGTACCGTTTCGGAAAACACGACCTGTTTATTGCCACTGCCTCGATGTGAAAGAATTTTCAGTGGTAACAAGAAGTCAAGTAATCATGAACTCAAAGAACCGAGAGTTTTATAAGAGAGACCCGAATTCTCAAGAGGCTCTCTCTCTCTCTCTTTCTCTTTCTCTTTCTCTTTCTATGCTAGCGAAGGTTTTGAATGTGGTAAGGGTGTATAAAAGGGTGTAAGGTGTGACTGTGTGTGACTGTGTGTGAGTGAGGGTCAAGAGAGGAGAGTGTCGTTCGTTGGCTGGTAAATAATGCAGATGGATGAAAAAGGTCGTAGACTCGTAGAGGAAACAGGAAGAATGAGTTGAAGCACAAAGTAGGTAGTAAGTGGGTAGATGTGCACTTCCAAATAGAGGTGGATAAATAATGAACACACTAAGATGCGTACAGGATAGTGTAACGGATGTGTGTGACGGATAAGCGGATTGGGGAATTTGGGAAAGCCTTTTCGTTTTCTTTTTCTTTTTCTTTTTCTTTTCTTTTCTTTTCTTTCTTTCAAAGAAAGTGGGTTGGAATTTTTGTGGTGGCTGAGGATTTGTGGATGGTGGATGTGGGATGTGGTAATTTGTGCTTGTGCTTGTGCTTGTGCTTATATTTATATTTATATGTACTTGTACTTGTACTTGTACTTAAAGTTGGACTTGGGCTTGGGCTTGGGCTTAAGGATGTAAGAATATAAAAATATAAAAATATAAGAATATGGCATATCTGATGTGGGTTTACTAACACTCCAAGAAATCATTCATGTTTTACCTCCTGTCCATAGCAGAATAGAGAAAGAGGCGAATCATGCGAATGACCGATTAACTTTGGACAAATGACTTGAGTGAATCTTGAATCTGGTTCAGGTTGATAGATGGTGTGTTGTTTATCATACTATAAGTTATTATTAGTGGTTAGGATCTTAGCAAGCTCAGTAGTGGGTGATTTGAATTTCAATGGTTTCGAAATTCGAGTCTTGAAAAGAAAAAAAGCAAGCAAGAAAGAAAGGAATCCGTCGCCATTCCCGCAGAAATCAACACTCTCTAACTATAAGAAAAACTTTCTTTCATCCAAGATCCATGAATTCTTTTCAATATCGGAGAAAACCGACTCTGTCTCAAGATTCCAGATTCATATCGCGATATCGCAAGCAACCCCCAAGAAAATACTCACTCATGCCATCCACTACTTTGTACTCTGTACTCTGTACTCTACCTTCCATGGTGACAACACACATCCCCATTCATCCATACCTACTTTCCCTCAAAAATCCCGCGTTCTTTGTCCTTCCGCTTCTCTCCTGATAACTCCTCCCATCTCTAATTTGGGTGGTGCAGCTCAGCAGCTGCCATGTACATCGAGAAGTGGATCCCAGCGATAGAACTACTGTATCATTATTATCCTATTCCAGTCAAGTTTCAACCCATGAATGAATGAATGAATGAGTGAATGAGTGAATGAATGACTGAATGAATGACTGAATGAATGACTGAATGAATGACTGAATGTCCTTCCTTCCTTCCTTCCTTCCTTCCTTCCAGCTTGTCTGATTGGGATTTGACATGATTGTGTAGCACCTACCTGGGTTACACTCTAACAGCCCAGGTCGGTGATGCCTTGTAGACTCTAGACTCTAGACTCGAAAGTAATAAATGCCAGCAACTCTTCACGAGCTACAGGGGAAAGCAAACTCAAAACATTCCTTACCCAAAACTATTGCATGCTAAACACCACAATCTCATTTACTTTTCGATAGGTTCTCACAGAGGTATCAGCCAAGCAAACCCATCCTAATGCACGCCCGTTGACCTAACCGTCCGACAGGAAGGATACAGAAAAGATGTACATACACTTCTGTAGCTAATCCAAAGATGTACAGCAAAGTCCCCCCAAAAAATATGAAATTTCCCACCCGCTCTTGGGACGGCCTGAACTCGGAGAGATAGAATTAATTATTTTGGTTGACCAATTCTTAGAAATCTCTTGATAATTGGATGATTCGTTGAAACTTGATGAGGAGTGTGTTGGATCCATCTCCAATTTCCCCATTGTCAATTGCCCCCGTCCCCCCCTTCCCATCGCCCTGGTTTCTTTATTATCTCAAAGTCATAGCATGGACAAATATCAATTGATTTGCTTTCCTTTGTTCTCAGATTTGACTCTTGGTGTCACATTCCAACTCATTCCACTCATTCCTCATTCCCATGACTTGGATTATAGGTGATTCATCAATCCATCAATCAATCCATCACCCATCTTTATCCTCTACTTCGATTCCAATGCATCTAACAACTTACTATCACAATCTCGGAGTCTATTCCCCAATTGATTCCCGTTACGGGTTCAATACTTCAATATCATGAATGGCTTACCAGATGAGGAATATCCATCGTGAGATATCACAAATATCTGTTCATCACAATTGAACCAGCCAGACGCGGCAAAATCAAAATATTACAGGGCCAACATCACGGATTCGTGCTCCCCTTGGCGCGCATGCAAAAGTCATCCCTCTAAGCACACAACCTTAGCTGCAGGACTCCGTTTACCTTTCAAACGACCTTGAGCAGCAGTGCTGGTATCCATCCATGTATTCACACGGAGATTCTTCTCACCTATGAAACGCTACCTACCAACCTCCTCCTCCATGAATCCCTCTTTTCGACCATCATGCAACGTGGGGGATGTGGATTCGTATTCTTGGCCGTCTCTCCATCCATTTCATCTGATGATACACATACTCCACTAGTGAACTACTCTTCAAAGTGCCAAAACTTTATATTTTACTTGGAATCGTTTCAAAGGCACTCGTCATTTTGCATTTAGGTATAAAGGGTCTACGAGAAACGTGCGGAGAATTATATCTTGCATAGTGCAAGTCATGTCACACAAGTCACATTCTCCATGGCTCATGTCATTTCATGTAGCATGTATCAGATCAAACAGGCTCGTGATACCTCCACCTGGCGGGATCCCACCTTACTTACACCTCAACCATCAAGTTATTTTGGTGGAAGGGATGGGAGGTCCTCACTGACGACATCATCTTTTTGTACACCAATCGGACACTAGTTAATTAATGAAAGCTTCCAGCAATATTGCCGAAGTAATACCTCCATCGGATGGAAAAGGATGAACCAATGGCAATCCTAACATTTTTACTATTCCATAGGACTTTGACCGCTGGAAATTGGAATCCATAAAGAAACCCCACATTCAATCATACAATGGGAGGGCTTACCCCTCCCTGAGTGAGCAAAGGCTTTAAATGCAGAAACGTGTCGGATTGCCATATCTGCCATTCCAAATACCGACGAACCATTGGGTGATACTCGAGCAATACCCTGCATTGACAAGCTGACAGCTTGATCCGTGTTCGGCTCCGAATAGGATAGTCTAGATAGGGTACCGAGAGATATCCGTACAACTTTCGCCTACATATACGATGATATTTCTTCATTTATTTTCCTCTCACCGCTGGGAGCCGGCATTGGTGCTGGCATAAGATTGATTAATCGTCTTGGGTGTTTTTGTGCAATGTGCTGGCTCACCTCCCAAGTGGCGAAATTGATGAAAGGTTTGGATCTCCTTACAGAGGCAGGAAAAGGAGGAAGCTGAGTAAGTAAGCTCTTACTGTATCTCCTAAAATCATCTGACAGTTCATCATACTTCTCACCCGTACCTGTCCCTACTACCAACCAACTGTACCCAACATCCACCAGTTCTTCATCAGCCTCAAAATCTAATCCAAATCATACATGCTACTCCGTACGCAGCGTGCGTACGTACGGAATACACCGCTTTCTCCCCCTTGGCGTCCTTCGCTTCGAGTAGCTTGCAACTTTCTAAGGGATAAGATCCTCCTCCCATCACCCAGCGTGCCAACCAACTTTCACCGCCCTATGAGTCCTGCAAACACAAGGCCAAAAATAGGCCAAACCTCACGATCGCATCTGAATCAAAAATCACCCTGTGAACTTTGAAGCTCCTTGAAAGGAGTGCAAAGCTCATCTAAGAAACCGTGCAAAAAGCTTTCTAACAACAAATTACTACATTATTGCGATACGATCTTCATGTTCGTAATTTAATCTCCCGTGGTGATCCATTCTATGTCTTTGAATCCCTAGCCATGGATGAACTGTTTGGTCTTCCGGAAGAGAGATGGAATCAATGGAGTGAATGAATGAATGAATGAATGAATGATGAATCAGTAATGGATTGGATCGACCATCGTTGTAATAACGAACGAACCTTTCTCATAATGGCTTGGCGGAATCAGATTGTACGTCCGTAGGTAAAGTCCACAGGTATCAAAAGATCGTAAATGCTTGATTGATTGATGATGTATGATATATGATTTAACGGTAAAGCAAAGCATGGCATAAATGAGGCGTGGCATGGCATAAATAATAAATTGGCAGAGGCATAAGGTTAAACAATTCACGCAGAAGAAAATATGCAATATGCAGTACCACATTCGCCGAGAAATTTTAAACCTTTGCTTGTACAACAGAATTCTTGTACTTACTCTCTCTGGTTAATCATCTCTAGAGTCTCGTCTCGTCTAGTCTAGTCTCTAGTCTCTAGTCTCTAGTCTGTACATTCATTGTACAACAAAACAAAACAAACTTCAAAGTACATACATACATACACACTACTAAAGTTAAGAGTGAAAAGAAGTTCCATTTACCAAAAGCTCCGAAGTTCGATCGAGCACAGAACTTAGAAGTGACAAGACAGGACAGAACAGAACAGAACACAGCTAGGTAGTCGCGATCTACACATCTACTTTCCCTTTTCGGCGCGTGCTTTTCCATCCGATCGGCCCATTGACGGGACTCGGGATCCCCATCAAAACATCAAAAAATTGAAATTGGAAAATGGGGCTTGTCAACTCTGTGGTTTGCTCCTTAGTGTACAGTGTAGTAGTGACTTAAGTCTATGCATCCATCGAAAATTTGATTTGGGGCTTCGGGTTTCTTGCTCTATTTGAATTTTGAATGAATTGAATGAATTGAATGAATTGAATGAATTGAATGAATTGAACGAATTGAACTATTTGAACTATTTGCATGAATTAAGTTAAAAGGAAAGGAAAATGGCGATTGCTAGGCACTTACTTGTACATACTACATTATATGCTATTTATTTAGTTGTTTAGTTATTTAGTTATTTAGTTATTTACTAGGTAGGGGACTCGACTCCCGAGAGTCGAAAGTCGAAATACCAGGTATGATATGATATGATATGATATGTATGATATGAGGGATTAATTTTGACCAGTGGAATTTTCAAGGATGTGTTTCGTTGGATTGATGCTTTGGGTTTTTGCTGTACTGTACTCTCTAGACTCCAGACTCCAGACTCTAGACTCTAGACTCTAGACTCTAGTATGGTATGGTATGGTATGGTATGTACTCCATAGAGAATTAGAGATAGATTAGAGAGAGAGTGAAGAGCTAAGTTAAGAGTTTAGGGCGAGGAGAGTGTGTAGCCAATCGTGTAGGTGGTTTGAGTGGTGCGCCGTAATTCCGCCTGCTTCGGTGCTTTTCCCCGAGGTCCTGTGAATACCTTTGGTAGTAGGCACAGAGGTACGGACGGTAATACGGTAATGAGGAAATGTGAAAATGGGAAAATGTTGGTGGCTTGTCAATGTTGGCTTTGGATGGATGATGGATGGGGGTCCTGCGGATTCCGTGTTTTGACCGGATATTGGAATTTGGGGGTGTTTGTTTTGGGTGGAGATTGGAATGGGGCTTTTCGGGTTACCTAGCTGGGATCTGGGATCCGATGGTGTTGGTTGCTTGTTAATGATTAACGATGGATGATTATTGATTAATGACTAATCAGCGAATTCTCCACGTGATAACTCTGTGAAATAAATTCATGAAATCGTAGCACGTGAGACCAGACAAAATATTAAAAATAATTCCTTCTTGAGTCGATCAAAAATACATCTCAGAATGTAATTAAAATAATACCATGCCATCGAATAAGAAAACCCTCCCAATTTCCACTTTCTGTAAAATCGTCCCACGTGACCTCTAATCAAGCTAAAGAAAATAAGTTAGCGAAAGCCATCCGACATCACCCAGCAAGCTCCCATCAACCCCTCATAAAACCAACGTCAAGCCTCCAATTGATATCTTCACCCATCATGAACTCCATGCGTTTTGCTCGCGCCGCTCTGCGGGTTCGTCCTATGGCTTTGAAGGCCCCGGTCATGCGCCGAGGGTATGCTGAGGCTGTTGCGGATAAGGTCGGGAATTTCCGTTTTTGGGGTTTTGAAGTTTTGAGTTGGATGGATGGTGTGGATTTGGGGAAGTTTGTGCTGACTTTTTTGGGTGTGCGGTAGATTAAGTTGAGCTTGGCTTTGCCTCATCAGGTATGTTTGGTTTTGTTTTTGGGGTGTGGAGTGAGAGAGGGAGAGGGAGCGGGGTGGGATGGGGTGATGGGTGATGGGTGATGGAGGGGAGAGGAGGACACTCGAGGAGAGATGGCAGATGCGGAGATGGGAAGAAGGTGACTAACAAGTAAATTCGCAGTCTGTCTACAAGTCTCAAGATGTCGTTCAAGTTAACATCCCCGCCGAATCCGGTGAAATGGGTATCCTCGCCAACCACGTCCCATCCATCGAACAATTGAAGCCAGGTCTCGTTGAGGTTATTGAGGAGAGTGGTGGAAGCAAGCAATTCTTCCGTACGTCATGCAACAATCATCCAGGAGATATTATAAAATAGGAGGAAACGAGAGGCTAATAGGATATTGAAACAGTTTCCGGAGGATTCGCAGTCGTTCAACCAAACTCTTCATTAAGCATCAACGCAGTAGAGGGATTCCCATTGGAGGATTTCAGCGTAGAGGCAGTTAGGTCACAAATTGCTGAGGCTCAGAAGATTGCTGGAGGAAGTGGAAGTGAGCAAGATATTGCCGAGGCTAAGATTGAGTTGGAGGTGAGTTTTGATATTCAGATATTGGGTATGGATAGAGCGAGGACTAATGATATACATCTAGGTTTTGGAGACCTTGCAAGCACATCTCAAGTAGAGAAATTGCTCTACCCTGGTGATGCTTAGATGATAGAGACCTGCACAATGTACATCAGTGAACTATTTTTTATTGTGTTGTGTGAAAACTAGTATCATAGCTTTTTAAATGGAACAAGCCTGGTCAATTTTATACCCTCATCAACTAAGTCTTCAATGGGATTTTTACTACTGGTTGATGGGCTGAATGATTGAGGGCGAACTATTGAGGGCGAACTATCATGTACAAATTTTGACAGGATAGCTATGCATGTTGTGAATACTAGGTAGATATTCGTTACTGGCCGTTCCTACCATTTTGAGGTTGAGTCCTTCTCCGTGAGAGTCACTAGCTTCAAATAAGGTACTCGATCTTTATATTCCTTTTCAATATCATTCCCACTTTCATCTTCATCTTCCTATCAGGATTATCCTCTTTATTGCTCCTTCAACATTCATCAGGCGCAGTGCCTGTGTGTATTCAGTCGTTACATTCATTCTTTTATGTCAATCTCAGTCCAGATTTAATGTATCCTTAAGTGCCATGAACTATCCTTGGCGATCAGCTGCAGCCCGAAATATACATGCCGATTCTGCGGCTTCCACTTCATCATTACCTAGTGATCGTCCTAATAATCTTCCCATAACAGTGGGAACTGTCGCTTCTCGTATCTTATTCCTTCAAAAGCTTGCGGGCAATCAAAAAAATAAATCACCACCAAAAACACCCTCTCGATTTCCACAAATACGATCGCCATCAAGAACAAGACAAGAGAGGAGTAGTAAATCACCTCCTCATCTAAGACCACCATTGAACAGAAGACGGGAAAACTCTCGCTCTAGCTTTGGTCGTCGACCAACCAATATTTTTGGAACCCCAGCTTCGAGGAATTCGCAGCCAAATGAACAGCCTCAGACTGGGACAAATCATTCTTTCTTGGGCTTGCAAATACCGAGATCGAATCATGATGTGGGACATGCTAGGGCTGGGTATAAGGGTGCGCCACGGGCTAATGGAATTGGACCTTCACCGAGTAGTTTGCGTGGTATGGTTCGAGAAGATGCTCTTGCTAGTGGTTGGGCTTCCGTTGCTGAAACGTTAAAGACGTCGAGTAGAAGTCGAGATCAAAAGATTCCTGTCCGTAAAGTAGATATCAGGAAGGGTATTCCGCGGTTAGAGGACAATTATATTTCGAAACAAACACCACCGAATCATCAAAAATCTCCCAAACAAAATCAGGTGTCAAGTCATCATCGCCAAAGGGAAGAGACACATCAAGATGAGATGACCAAATCTGAAGTATCTACACGTACAACATCCACACTTCGACGGCAAAGTGTTCGAGACTTGTTTGATACTCATTGTATTGAAAGACCTCCTGGACTTGCATCCTCCGAAGTGGCGCGTGAAGAGATCCATAAACCTCAAAGGCATCGAGTCTGTCATCTTTGTATGTGGATTCATGATAAGAATGAAAATACATGTTGGAAATGTGGACATCGATTATGTAAAGCTTGTGATAGACTTTTACCTTTTCCGAACGGAGGCAGAGATGCAAGCTTTGATCAAGATCGAGTCTTTTCTACAAATCGACAAGCAGCATCAAGACCACCTCCGCTCATAACAACACCTAGACCAGCAAAGAGACAGATCACAAAACGGTCTATGCTGGGAACTTTGCCACTTCCAATACAAATTGCTAAGGAAATCACACCAAAACAAAAGCCAAGTCCCACAGAGCCTTTTCCTTCATTTCACTCTAATAGCTCTATACCACAGAATATAAATGCTAGGCCCGGTCTGGTTTCGACGAATTCTAAACTATTACAGTCGTGTCCTGGTATTTATATCCCTGAGGATCATCAAGAGTCTACATCTAAATTCGAGGACACCTCTCAAGCACGTCGCCCGTATCTTGTAGCAGAAGTCTCCTCTCAGGATAACGCCAACGAGCGGTCGGAATCACAGTCACCACAAACATATGACTACAGGTGCGAAAGTTGCCAACCTAATCATCATGGAAGCTTTATCTACCAGCGTTCCACTTCTCACTCACTAACCCGTAGTGATGATGTTCTAGCCATGGATGGTGGCATTACAGCTAAAAATATCAACAATGAGAACAACTATCGTTCTCAATCTTATCCTGATTCTTCGAAAGCATCGCAACTTTCCATAAGATTGCGTCGATTGAATGGATCTAAAAATCGGGAAACACAACTCAGCCATGAATCAGACCATCTGGAGTTCCCACGAACTTCTGTTAGATCAGACCAATTCTTAAACGGCCCAATTCAACCGACCATACAACATACCTTTGCATTGGATTGTGCAGACCATACAGAAAATACACAAGATTCAAAAAGCTCGTATCGTGTTCTAAAAAAATCTACACATCACTCAGTACAACCCAGCTACGGATTCGACCACGTAGAAGACTCACAACTCCTTCATAACTTCTACCCATTTATCCACGAACCAATATGTAGAGCAGGACAACCAAAATATGGATCAGATTACGTAGAATGTCACGGATATCCAAGGACTGGTCACGGGCACTGCGATCGTAGTCCTGTTAGTTCAGGCATTTTAGGAAATTGCCAACATTGTCTTGATGATTGCGAATGTTCTGCATGCCAGAGCACAGTTCATAGTGTTCGGTGTTGTACAAATGAGGTTCATAAACCTATGATACATCATCATCGTAGTCCGGCGAAAATCTCACTAAATGATTCAGATATCTTTAATAATGAGCATCCCGATTCGAAGCAGAAAAGGAAATCTTACATACTTTCTCGTTCTCAAACTTATGATCGTTCGGTACTGAATAAGTATGATAGTATTTCCGAATGGTTGGGCAGTCCTGATGAATTTCCTCCTCCGCAGAGATTTGACACACCGAGGAATACGCCGATGGAGGTTAGTCATGTATTGACGAATAGTCTTTCCAGTGGTATCGGGATGGCAGATGATACATTATCCATGGATCAAATCCCATCACCTTGGGTTTCATCACCGATCACACCAAAAGATTTAGCACCATTAAAAAAACAAGCAATCAATAAACCTCCAAGAGAAGCAACTCCCAAATCAACCATAAACCGCCATAAAGCAACTCCCACCGACGGAACCAAAGATCCATCCATGGAAGCCGGAGCCATAAAATCAAATCTTCAATTTCCAACCAACTCCTCACCAAGCTATTCTTACTTCACATCCAATCCATGGCGAGAAAAAGAATCTATCAATTTCCCGAGAAACTATCTTTCTTGGAAACAAATGTCGAATTCCCCATTATTACATCGAGTATCTGGAGGTTCAATTGATCGCGATTGCGAGGTTTCGGATATTTGTGGTCAGTCGGAATGGGCTGGGGAGAGAAGGAAAGGTTTGGAATTTTATGGAGGGGGGGGAAGTTTGGATGTGCAGGGATTAAGGGGATTGGGGTGCGAGGATAGGGGTTTGGGACGTAGAGGTGGGAAGTAGAGGTGGAAGTGATGGAGTGGAGTGGAGGTGGAGGTGGATGGGAGTGGAGTTGATGGTGGAGGAAGGATCAGGTGAAATGAGAATAATGATGAATTATCTGGAAGAAACTGGCTAGAGGTGGAGGAAAGAATAAATGGTGAAATGAATGTTAAGGGAGTTACGATTGTAGTTCATATGGTTCGTGGAGATTTGGTTTGAGGACTAATGAGGAGGGAGGGCTGAGTTGTGAAGGGTTGGAGGGTTTGGAAAGGTTGTTGAAGATTGGGAGGGGCTAGAAGGGGACTTGGTTAGTGAATGTTTGTAATGGAATGGTATGAAATATGTTCCAGCCACTGCATTCCGAAATAAACTACACTGATTCCGAAATGGACTAACTCATTAACCAATGCACTAACTCATCCGCCAATAGATTTAATTTTATAATAAACTAACTCATTACCCAATACACCCCACCCCATTCAAGCAAAAATGAAGCTATTCGCAAACGAACTTACATAGCTCATTCAAAAATATTCTTCGTACCGCGGCAAGGTTATCTCATTATATTAATTTAATAAATAAATCAAAATTTACAAAAGCTCTAATTAAAGTTTATCTATAAATAAAGATTAAAAGTTTATAAAGATTCAAGATTTATAAAAATATATATATATAAATAAGATTTATGATTTTTATACTGTTTAATTAATTAATTAAAAAAAGAAAAAGAAAGAGAAAAAGAAAAAGCCGGAATAAGAGTGAAAATAGAGGCGTCCCAGGGGGAAGCGGCGACGATCAGGTGGAAGCTTCGAGAAGGGTGTTTATTTACTAATGGGACTAACTACTCGAGTAGTACTCGAGTAGTATATTGATTAATTAGATTATTATTTTTTTGGGTGTAAAATTAATTCATTGTGAATATCCTCATTTTGTCCGACTGTGGTGTCGACTATTAGTTCATTTTGTAATGTAGTGAGTAGTAGTGTGTGTATTTAGTTAGGAATTAGTTAAGTTGATTTTGGAAATGTCAAAATTGTGTAACGGGCCGGAACGGATTGTACGGAGCATTAGAGGAGATAATAGAGTTTAGCTAGCTGGGTAGTCGGTGAAGTGAGTATTATGCAGCTAGGCTATGTGCTAGGCTATGCTTTGCTATGCGGAAATAGATATCATGATGTCCCATATGAAATGAATCCATCATAGCCAGTCACATTAACCTCATCCAAATAAGCAACTCCAGCTCTCATGTCCCACCTAGTACCTTACATCTACATCTACATCCACTTACTCACCACATCCCATTGCGCAGGCGCTCCATTTCCCCTCCTATTATGGCTTCCGGCCAATCTTCTCGCTACCTCATTTGCCTCAAATAAACTAACCAATCTTCTCTTTCCACAATCTCCTCTACTCTTTCCCTCGACTTCCTCATCATCAAATTTTCTCTTTAGCTCTCCTTGAACCCTTAAACATTCCTCCCGAATCAACAAATGTCGTTTATAATACGGTGCCGCATCATGTTTACGCTTTGTATCACGCGCATGGAGTGTATGAGTACTAATACTATCTGCACGATATTGCCAGTGTTCGTGAACGGAGGGTGGTTGGGATAGAAAGTTGGAAATGTAGTTATCGTGGGACATTTCTAGAGGTGTACGACCAGTTGCTGATTCGCGGTAGAGGAGAGTGGGTTTTTGGCGGAGGAGAAAGGATGTTAGGTTTGGTTTATTGGTTTTGATCGCCTGTATTAATTAGTATCTTTGATTTGGATTATGAGTGAAAAGGGGACATACAACGTGTAAAGGTAAATCACCCTCTCCATTAATCATCTCTAGTTCCTCACCAGTAGAATGTTTCAAAAGTACTTCTAGTACCTTTTCACTGTCATATTGTGTGGCTTTTCTCATCCACAAAGCTAGAGGCGTAAGTGCGCTTGGATAATCATCTGCTCTTTCTAATAACATTTCTCGAACATCCTTCTTGTCAAATAAATTAATGATAGATTCTAGACGAGGAATTGTCTGTTTATCCACAAGTGCGGCAGCATTTGCAAGGGTATGCATGATATTTCGATTCTGTTTATTGCGAGAACGGGATGAGGCGCCAACCGAGAGAAGATGCTGAATAATTGAGATATTGTGTCTATTGACGGCAAGATGTAGAGGTGTATATCCCGCAGAAGACTTAAGTGAAAGGACTGATTCGGGAAGAACGGAAACGAGATGTTTGACAAGGTTGAGGTGTTTGACCTTTTCTTCATCTGTTTGCGGATTGTAAAGAATGGCAACGTGGAGTAGAAGCTCGTCTATCAAATATGGTCAGTATCATTATAACATCAATAATGTAGCATAGTGACTTACTATTCATCTCCATCCATTTCGAAATGGTCTTTTCAAATCCCTTTCCAGATTCTAATGTTCGAACTCGCATATCATTTTTGTTTCTCTCCGCAAATTCTTTGTAATGTCTCATTGGTGCGTCACTCATGAACCACTCAACTGATTCAATGTTGCCCATATTTGCAGCCTCTAGCAAAGGTGGAAGACGTCCCTCAAATTGGTTGAGGTCTTGGATGTGACCTGGTGGTTGTGCCCAATCCTTTCTCTTTTTGCCACCAATTGTCAAGCCTTCATAATATCTTGGCTTCGTCTTGAGTTCAACACCACTTGCTGAGACTAACTCGCCAAATGGAATACCTGCACCGGAATATTTAATCATTTCTGCTAGCATTGTGGTTCTGCCTTTGGAGAGAGCTTCGTTAAAGACTGAGGAATTTAGATTGTAGCATCGCTGATCATCCTCATGTTTAGCCGTCAAAGCTTTTTGCTCATTTGCCACCTCCAAGAGGAATTTAAACATTTTCAAATCGTCCTGCTCAACAGCATACCCGAAAAGATTATTTTTCTCGCTCAATCTCGAGCTTCCATCGTTATCCATGAATCGTCGTGCCGGGCAGTGCCACTCAATCATACTTAAAGGAAGGATATCGCCTTTGACAACATTGGAAACTTCCTCGAGAGTGTCAATGGTAAATTTATCAGTAACTAGTTCAGAAAAGATAGGTAGTTCTTCCGACTCATCGTCACTGCTATCAACCGTAATACCCCAGCGTTGACGTCCCTTCTGAGTATCCTCATCATCTGCGTTGTGATACTGAGCAAGACAAATTTCCACAATCCTACGTGCAAGATCGTAATGTCCGCGGAGCACTGCAATCGAGAAAGGCATAAATCTGTTTCCATCACAGACTGCGATTTTGAGTGGTGCATATTCATTGCTCCCTTGCTTCCAAGGACTAAGTGTCAGGTTCTTGATGGTATCGAGATCATTGTTCCAGGCAGCCTCAAACAACATCAAATAGCCCTGTCTCTTTCCATCATTCAGGTCTGGAATATAAAAAGTGAATTGTGTTTCGTAAGCCTTCCACTTTGTCTTTTGCATATGGTTGTAGCCCCACGAATGACTTTCAGGCTTTTTTGTTCGAGGAATATCCGGATACAACTCAGTGAAGGGTTTTGCGCCAGCCGCGATTAGTACCTTTTCGGCCTTCTCAAGGTCCTTGATTGCTTCTTGAATTGCTTCGCGGTCATCCTTGTACTTATCCAATTCAGCCTTTCTGTCCTTGAGTAACTTTTCGTATTGTTCATGCTTGACTTTATTCTGATATTTCTCATTTCGATAATCTTCTAATGCTGTCCAGTACTTATAAGTACCTGGTTCTAAGTCTACCGTGTAGAAGGCCTCGTCACGAAGGGTTTCGGGCTTTGCTGTATCGGTATTTTCAGGACGATATTGCCATTGATTATGCACCGGCTCTTTCCATTCACGAAGGGCCACCAATTTGTGCTGAATGACATCCAAGATCGATTCTCTCTGGTCGTTGTGATAGTTTAGGTAGTCAGGGTTATTTACCGCCGACCATGCGATAGTTGTCAGGGTCTGAGGGTCAGCGCCATGTGAAAGAAGCTCTCCTACGACGTCACCCATCTCCTTACAGATAGCAGCAATGATGGGCTGTTGGACAGTTATTTGGAATTGCCTCATATTTGCTTCCGTATTTTGCTTTCTGGCATGAGTGTTCATGGCCGTATATACTTTGACCCAATCTTCGAATGCAATTTGAGGTTGGGCTCCCAATTTCAAAAGTTTAGATGCCATCTCTCCGTAACTCTTCTTTACGGCGGTAGAAAGTGGTGTGTTAGCTTGACCATAACCTCCTTCCATCCCAATCTTATTGAGGACCTTTTGAGCAGCTGGACGATCATTAGCAAATAGAACATCCAAAGCATCCATGTTGTTTTGAGCAACGATGTAATGAAGGGCTGTGAAATGATGGGTGTCGGATTGTGCAGATGTTGCTCCTAATTTCAATAGGAGCTCTACCACTTTTTTGGCCTTTTCGTTGGGAAGTGACATCGCCAATACCAAAGTCATGACAGCTCCCTTTGCGTTGGTTGTACCAGCCTCTACCAACTTGACGGGAAATAGTACGTCGGCACCATATTCCGAGGCAAGAAGCTCGATAGCTCCGAGGTGACCATTAAGAATTGCTAGATGAAGTGGGGAGAGACCGTAATCCCAAGCAATAACATTGATGTCGTAGATGTCTGGATCTTCCATTGAATCATCCATAACCGTAGCCTGGGAAACCAATCAGTAACGAGAAATGGACCAAGCAGAACGAAACTTACGACATCATCCTTATCCTCTTCTTTATTTCCTGGTATCTTGACAAAACTTCCCATTGTCATAGCATCAGACTCTTCTTGTTCACTATCGAGGGTAATTTCTGATGCCGAATCCGATTCTTCTTCAGCATTAGGTGCAAGACATGCAGCTTTACCAGCCTGTTTCTTTTCTTCCTCCTCTTCATTTGCCAAGCTCTTGTTCATGAGGATGCTAATCATTTCCAGGTTGCCTCTAGCAGCAGCGATGTGTAATGCCGTTCTACCGTCTACAAGCCTAGCAATCATTCTGGCTCCGTGATCGACGAGGCACTTGACAATTTCTGGAGTGGAAGTCATAGTAGCTAGGTGTAGAGGTGTACGTCCAGTGAAGTCTCGGCGGTTCACATCTACACCTTCTTGCGAGCACCAATCCTGAACATGCTCGAGATCTCCATCCACGATAGCTTGACAGAGGCGCGCTGTATCACCAACATAACTCATAGTAGTCCATTCATCGTCATTTATAGGATTGAAACTTCCAATCTCCTGACGACCGGGATCATCTGTAATAAACTTGAGAGTACCTGAGACGTTGTTCTTGCTTTCCTTCTCAGCCACCTCTTTCTCCTCATCAGTAGTAGGAACAGGACAGTATCCGCAACAATCTTTAATAACTTCTTCTGCAGTGCCGAAAAAGCATGGATGACGATGCAAATAAACTTCGCGATCTTTGTCCTGGTTCCATTCCGCATTAAGAAGCAAATCTTTGGCATACAGCAAACGATTGATCTTTGCTGCATTGTACTTGTGTCCGTATGGAACTGTCATGGTATGATAGTTGGCGATCTCGTCCTGTTCTGCCCAATCTGCCACTTCATCCTCTTCTTGGTCTTTCAGATTTCCGTACAACCTACGTTGGTTGCGAAAACTTCTGTTGAGAGATGGTCTGCCACGCTCTTTTCGACGTTGATCCATGTAGTTTTCTCGGTCCTATACTCCAATTAGCATGTGATCATTGCCAAAAACACATTATAAATACTTACAACCGTCTTTGGCAACTTCTCCAAAATCAACAATCTCGCGAGTCCTTCGGTGCGTCCAAATGATCGCTCAAAGATAGTAGGGTCAATCCTTGAGCGATCTAACATTGGCCAATAAACTTCAAAACCTCTGTGGCTGTATTTGCTCAATCTGTTTTCGTAACTTGGCGATCTTCTGTTCAAGTCAATTGTGTTGCATTGGGTAATAAATGATCCAACAGCTCTTGGACTCATGTAAACTTGTTTTCCATCATACGCAGCACAGGAGCAATCCACATCAAACCCAGTTATAATTTGAGAGATTGAATCGTAAAGTCTGAGAACGATTTGAACATGACGAGTGGGATGTTGACTTGCAATCGTGATAGCGTTTTTCGTACGAATCGTAGTCGTCTCATGAAGAATGGCATCTTTGATGTTAGTCTCGATTTGCTTGATTTTTTCTAGTCCCTCAGCCTCGGTAAGTCCATAAAGGAAAAGATCAACATCAGATGCCGGAGCCAGATGCTGATGATAGTATTCTCTCATGGCTTTCTTGCTGCCGGCCCATTTCTCAGGAATTGGGATAAGGGATGTAGTGACGGCACTACCAGCTGCAACAACATTGTTCCAATCAAGATCAGCCAATGAAGATTCGGAGAAGAGATTGAAATTGGTCTGGAAATCTTTGAGGGATCCAACGACAGCTGGCGAGTCATTAGTTCGGCGTTCCTCATCCTTCAATGGCATAATGTATTTCTCCGACTCCTCTTTCGTCTCATTTTTGAGATCTCTGGCCTGGACCTTGAGATCATTCTCATGACCTGAGAAAATAGGAACTAAATTGATAGCTCCGTCTTTGACTGCTTCATGGTCAGGCTGTTGTGCGTAAACTTTGCGAAGCTCTGATTCATAGGCTTTATAGGGCTCGACAATGGTGGAGATATGTTTGGTAGGGTTTCGAGATAGGTAGGGGATGAAATCCTTGACCGGTGCAGGAAGTTTTGGAAGCTCAATTGGAACTGGACGTTCTGGAAGAATTTCTGATGCCATGATGATGGGGTATGGGAAGACTGGGTCCGGGTAAAAAATGTGTATTTGACGTTTGATTGATGAAAAGTCGGATATATAGAGAAACAATGTGAATCAAAGGCTCATACAAGTTAAGAAACTTGGCGAATTTATGCGTAATTTTTAAACACTGATGATGAAATTACAGATCCTGAGTAGGATAGAAACCTTCGTGGGATACTTTCGTAATGAGATAGGATTGAACGAAATCTCACAGAAGGGAGATGAAATTAAAATATTGGAGATACATATATCCATCCAGAAACCATCTCTTTATAAATCTTACGCGACTCCCAACATACCAAGATGTACCAATGCAAGAACCCGCGTTATCAACACGAAACCGACACCCTCACCTCGTGATTTTAGGCAACCTCAAGGCAGCCACGTGATTTTACAGGGCCATTTCTACTAGCGTCGGTCAGCGACATAACTTTCGCGCCACCACGGGTCATGTTCCCCATTTTTAGATTTACTTCCCAAGGCAACGGTGCCGAATATGGACAATATGGGAATCAGTAAATAAAGATTGGTTGCACGATGGAGTCTGCTACCTAGAAATTTTGGAAGAAGATCCATCATGGGTCGAATCGAGATGTGTATAGTAATACTATCACTAGCACGTATGTGAAATTGTGAATATGAGATAGACGAGAGAACACTTGGGGAGTGACGCCCGCTTATTTTCTATGGATGATCCGGTCATTCAGAACTTGCCATGAATTGCCACACCAGGCTTGGACTTTTCCGACATAATCGCAAATGCTCTTACGAGTAATAATGATACCTCGGTGTTCAACGGCGTATTTAGTTGGTCGGTTGAAATCTTTCAATGTCGGATGTGTGAGCCACTTGGCTAGAATCTAGCAAACCTATAATGCATTTATATGGCAGTATGAAAATCATAAAGATAATCATGGTCTAGTCTGACGAAATCATGTATTAGTAGGGGTGAATACGACACACAGTGAACAAAAAGAACAAATCAAGAGCAAAAACACGTCGAAACACCAGATGCATTAACCGTGGGATATCTAGAATACACGAGCTACGAAAAGAAGCAGGCGCTCTAGCTTATCATACACTTCCTTCACCTCATCGTCCATCTTCCGCCTCACAAGTACAAGCCCTCAGGCTCACCCTCACTCTTAGTCTTCAGGACACGTTCTCTTGCAGCCCTGAAATCTGCCATTTGGACACGCATTCTACGCTCTCTTAATGCCATCAATCCAGCCTCAGAACAGATCGCCTTGATATCAGCACCTGAAAGGTCATCCTTCTGGTTGATGAATTCTTCCAAGTCAACATCCTCGTTCAAGGACATTTTAGATGTGTGAAGGGTGAAAATCTTGCGCTTAGTGTGTTGATCAGGATTCTCGAAAAGAATTTTTCGGTCGATACGTCCAGGGCGGATGAGAGCAGGATCAAGAGTATCAATCTTGTTTGTAGCCATAATGACCTTGACATCTCCACGGTCGTCAAAACCATCAAGTTGATTGAGAAGCTCCAACATGGTTCTCTGGATTTCACGCTCTCCACCAGATGTAGACTCGTAACGTTTTGTACCGATGGCATCGATTTCATCAATGAAGACGATGGATGGTGCATTTTCGGCGGCAACCTATAAACATGAGTATGTGTATTGTGCAAATAGACATTGAAGATATACGTACTTGAAAAAGTTGTCGAACGAGTCTAGGTCCATCACCCAAGTACTTTTGGATCAACTCACTACCAACGATTCGCAGGAATGTCGCACTCGTTTGATTTGCAACCGCCTTTGCCAATAAAGTCTTTCCAGTACCTGGCGCACCATAGAGGATAACACCCTTGGGTGGCTTGATACCCATTTCCTCATACAATTCAGGGTGTAGTAATGGTAATTCGACCGATTCCCGCACTTCCTGAATCTGCGATTCCAGACCACCAATATCTGCGTAAGATTCTGTTGGAGCTTTGTCGAGCTTCATAACTGAAACCAAAGGATCAGTATCATCAGTGAGAACACCAACAATCGAGACGGATTTGTGGTGTAGCAAAACACTTGCACCGGGTTCCAAGAGATCTTTATCGACGAAAGACATGATGGAGACATAATATTCAGGACCAGTGGTACTTGAAACGATAGCATGATCATCATCAATCATTTCCTCCAAAGTTCCGACCCCCATCGGACTACCACGCATATCATCCACACGACCTCTCTCATCAGCATTTCTGTCAGCGGCATCTGGATCGCCTCCAACGGTCGCAGGCGCTGCAGTGCCTTCCTTTGCAGCCTTGGCCTTTCTCAAACGTTCCTGGTTTTCAACATATTCTTCTTCGAGGAGTAAATGATCGTGAATTCGCTGCATTCGAAGATATCTGAGTTTGCATCGAGATGTAGGATACACCGCTGGTAACTTTGCGGATGCGTTTGGACCAGCAGCCTTACGCTTCTTGCGGCCGATTCTAGTTGTTGGTCTTGGTGGTGGTTCGTACTTTGGCTTATCCTTCTATTGGTGGGTAATTAGTCCATCATCCATTTCTATCATGAAATCTATTACATACCTTCTTGGATTTATCATCTTTTCCATCCCCGCCTGGTTGGTTACCACCAAGGCCAGATGGTTGTTGACCCTTTGAGAATGTGTTAACATCGCCGCTCATACAAATCACCAATTAACAAAAGCTCACCATCTTGTTCTTGGTATATCAAGAAACTTTGAGTAGAATAGTAGGAAAATTCACAATATCCGGAATCTAATGGAGATACTTGGATCTACTAGGTAATTGTGGTGGTTGAAGTTGAGAAAGATGGTATATTGTTGTTTGCAATGACAACAGCTTGATAATCTTTAGCCTTCTCTACAGCCCAACAAGGCGACAAGAACGACGCGAATGGGTTCTTAGTGGGAGCTTGGACCCTCGTCCAGTGATTGTAATGTAATCACGTACATAGCATTTAATGCCTTGTCACAGCTTCATGTTATCAGGCATTTATTTACGTTTGTTTTATTTTTAGCACAGCCGAAACTCGATATATCTCCTCCGTGCTGAGAGCGGGAAGGATTTCTGCTTGCAAACCTCACAATCAACCACCCTCACCTAATCATATTACTCAACCACTTACGATAAATATAACAATCGGTATTATTACATTTTACACAGCATATGTGACTGAATCTTGGGTAAGGTTCATCATATTAACTTATTCAGGATACATCACAGACAGATTTAAGTCTCTTTCCCTCCGGTCAACACCGTGCTCTCTCCGTACATTCACCATTCTTCCCGCACGGTAGATATTTTAACTGACGAGAAGTGGGTCGAGCAGCTACGGGGAACCAGCGGTACGAAGTACGCCATACCATTTTATCAATAACCCCGCCAAATTCAGATCCTCAAGTCAAGTACTGTACGGTATCCAATCCAATACGGGACTGGTGACTTCTTTGGTTACACCACAACCTCTTCAAGGTGTTCTTCGTAAGTTGTCTTGTATAAACGTTATCTTGCCCCCTACCTAGTCCTCATCATTCGCCTACCCCCTTCTTAATCTGACTTTGAAACAGCTTGAGGATAATAGCGAAGTGACTACATTATTTTCGACCGGTATCCGCCAGCCAGAGGGATCTCAGTGCAATAACAGAATTGCCGAGTCAACTTGAGACATTTTCCTCGAACCTCTATCCACATCTAACATAATACTACAAATATGTCTTCGAACCGAGTTCGCCGCATTGCCAAAGAGCTCAACGATATCGCAAATGATCCCGAGTCTCAAATTTTTTGCCAATCAAGGGATGGTAGTGACAGCGATCTGACGAGCCTTCGAGCTTCCTTTCCAGGTCCACCAGATACACCATATGAAGGAGGCACATATCTTGTTGATATCAAGATCCCTAACGAATACCCATTCCGACCTCCGCAGATGAGTTTCGTAACTAAACTCTGGCATCCGAATATTAGCAGTCAGACTGTAGGTTTTCATTTTTGTAGGTTATGAAAAGGAATATTGACGTTTGAATAGGGTGCTATCTGCCTTGATACCTTGGGCTCGGCTTGGTCTCCTGTTTTGACGATCAAGTCAGCACTCCTGTCCCTCCAATCACTCCTTAGCACACCCGAGCCAAAGGATCCTCAAGACGCCGAAGTAGCCAACATGTACCTTGCCCACCCGGAGCGATTTCGACAAAAAGCACGCGATTGGGCAATTCATCATGCTGGTGCTCCTCCAGTCACAAAATGGTCTCAAACCGCCGCTTCTAGCCCTTCATACTCAGCACCTGTATTGCATCAATCAAAGGAAGAGAAGGCGCGGCAGGAAATGTTGAAGTACGCCGGTTTTCTTTCAGCTGTTTTCTCTGGTATGCTTATTGTAAAATGATAGGCTAACAAAAAACTACAACAGATATCAAGGATACAACAAAGCTCTTGTCGATCGTTTCGTATCCATGGGCTTTGACATCGAAAAGGTTGTGGAAGCCTTCAACTACGTTCATATCGACCACAATAACGGAGAGGACTACGAATTAGAGGAGGCTTATATGGGTGACATCACAGCGAGACTCCTCGGAGAACCATGACTCGTGAATGATCTTCGTCATACGATGAACGATGGTTGGATGAGTGGTTGGTAAAAGAGAACGAAGGAGCGCACAAATGCTTGACAAAATAACAAACAGTAAATTTTGCAATTTGAGCGTAAGACCGGGTATCTAAGGAAGAAGCTCAAGCTCACTGGCATTCTGTAAAGGCATGCAGAAATGGCTATACTGCAGGTACAGTGAAGAGATAATGAGGATATTTGCTGGAGAGGCATGGTACCTTGGGGCTTGAACACTGGGGATAAAGCGTTTTTAGCATAGGCGTTGGCATGGATATGTACCCACATGGCGTTACATATAGCTTTTGCTTAATTGCATATCTTCCCATCTTTCAATCTTCTTGAATTGAGTTGTGTTATTTGGCCATTGGCGAGATTGTGATTTGAAATTGATTTGACTGTTAAAAAGTAATCTTACTATTTGGAGAGTGAGTAGATAAATAGAGGCCGTGTTTCAACACTGTTGCTTTGCCATTAACTTACAAGTGTCACTTACTTACCACTCCTACACATCTCTCTCACAAAAGACTTGATGGGTACGCTTCTTCCTGTCTAATTCATATTTACATATTTTCCCTAGGTAGCTAAGAGTGGTGCAACGCTAGGATATCACAACACCCTGTACTAGACAATCTACAGAGTACAGAATATAAATCGACTTGAAGAACAACCAACACAACTTGGTACAGAGCCAGGTAAGAAAGAGGCTGTCATATCTAAATGAACCCCATCTGATATTTGATAGACCCCCACCTCCACATACTCGCTTCAATATGGTATGGCGGGGCTCCGAACCTGATAAATCCGCACGTACCTCTTCCTTTCGCACCACAATCCATACCTTGATATGATTTCTTCAATTCAATTTCCACATTATCAGGTATAGAAAATTTTGTTTTGGCAGCGGAACCTCCACCTTGAACATTTGGATCGCTGAGCCATGGCCGGCAAAACAAGGACGAAACTAGGACCAGCCGCAGATCTCCTCCGTATATCCGTAGAGCAGGTCGATAAAATGTAAACCCACCCTGCCTTGCATAAAATACTGTTCAGAAGCCTTTTCTTATCCTATCAATCATCGGTATACTAGCATTCAATGCTATTCATATTTATTGTGCGAGGCGATTCGAGCTGAACAGTGCCTAAGCGCTCCACATCTCAATCAATATTACTACTCTCCCGGGGGGTTTGGTACTCGGGACGTGTCTCCGTATTGTTACGATTGGTTACTCGTGCAGCGTGCAGCCAGAAAGTACAAAACCATCCGCTTTTAAGCACATACCGCAGAATGGTAGACTACAGCGGGAATAGTGGCCCGCGTATAAGTGGATGGTTTTGACAGCTGACAGCTCAGTTTCGGCAATGTTTGCATCTTTTATCAAGTTATGTGGGTACACCTCGGGATCAGACGGAGCCTATCGCTTGTTTTAAGGCACAGAATAAATGAGGTATAAAGACTTGTTCTACATCAGTTTTGATTGTTAATCTCTCATCATCCACTTTCCTCTCTCATAACATCAACTATACGAGCGAGCACAGTCTTTCCATCGCTACCTCTATTATTCAATCTCCATCGCACTATCTATTACGATTATACAAACAGTCTTTCCATTACCATCTCCATATCATCTGTCTAAGTCGTACCACATCTGTTATACCTAGTTACAACCATTTCGCCAAAAATCGCTCATTTTGTTATACACAAGAATTGTATTTTGCAGTAGCTATTTAGATCAGCCCTGGTTGTGATATGCCCTTCAGCACCTGTAGTAGGCGGACCTTGAATCACCTATTGTAGGATGTTCAGTATTAACCTCCTGTAGGACGCTCAGTACGAACTTGTAGGTACCAACCTCTAGGATGATCAAGTACCAACCTCTAGGATGATCAAGTACCAACCTCTAGGATGATCAAGTACCAACCTCTAGGATGATCTAGTACCAACCTCTAGGATGATCTAGTACCAACCTCTAGGATGATCTAGTACCAACCTCTAGGATGATCTAGTACCAACCTCTAGGATGATCTAGTATCAACCTGTAGGATGATCTAGTATCAACCTGTAGGATGGTCAAGTATCAACCTCTTGCGGGATGGCGCTAACAATGTCTCTCCAAGTGTCCTATCTTGAATACACAGGCAGCTATGTCTTCTCAGGCGTTCGGCTGTACAGACGTACCTGTAGTTATTAGATGGGGCGATGCTGAACCATACAACTATATTGGCACACGAATTCAACACCTCCGAATGAACATAAACCTCGGCACGGAGGCAAGTCCCGAGTTGCTCTTTTGGTTCAGCGTAACAGTTGGAGTTAAAGCGAGTCCCGAATCCTCTACCACACGTATAAAGTCGCTCTACTTCGTTATCCAAGCTAGTTCGCTTGATTTCAACGGCAATGGTACACCTCTAACCTTGGAGAATCCAAACTCTGATTATTCTCTCAACACTAGTGCAGCCATACAAGAGGCTGGTATATGTTCCGATCAAGCCACTGTTGCGCGCATACGCTTTCAGCTTCACGATCATGGCACAGTGTTCATGCACCCGATTGATAGGCATGCGTTCACCCCTGCGTCGGAAAATGTCTCACAACTATTGGTTAGCATGCAGTCCCTTTCCCAGGCCGAGCAATTCTGGGTATATACATCGCTCGAAGGACCGCTTCTTACGGATCTTTGGAAAAGGATCGATTTAATACGTAGGGGAACCTTTGCCAGTGACTTTACGACTCAGAGCGTATACAAACATGGCATGGTATGTGACAAGTGGACGAATTTCAATCTCTTTGCTAGGAATGGGAACTCGGCGAAACGTCAGGGTGCTGGAATGAAACGCAAAGGTGATTCGGCAATTGGCCCTTGTTGAGCGATAGTGCTGACATAACAAAGATAGTGATCGTCTCTCTGCATCTGATGGAGCTTCTAGCAAAAATCTACCATCCTCTGACCGTGACCAAAGGCTCGTGGATACCGAAACCGGTGAAGAGCCCCACAGAGAGCCGAAGCGTAAACACAGCAAGACAGTCCGCGATGCTACGCCATCAGGCATCCTGGAGAACGTTGCTGGTCCTAGTGGTTTTAACTCTAGTGAGCGCTTCCTTTTATAACACCTTTTCTCAAGCACTACTAACTATGTCCCCTAGACACATCCTGTACGAATGATCAAAGTTCCAGAGTTCGGTTCGCCGAACCGTATCATGAAGTTAGCGACTACCTTGAAGAGCAATTGGCTGCCTTCATATTTTGGGTGCTAGGGATTGACACACACTTAGAGAGGGATTGTGATCAGGTCTTCTCAGATCTTGGCGGCGCGGTGTTACGTGGAGATATGACCGAATTTATCGAAATAAAGTCGATGTGTATGGCGAAAATTTATTGTACATATGCCAAAAGAGGATCTGCATGGGTTTTGAGGAATGCTTTCTGATAGGAGATAATATATTTCTGTAACTTTATTTTGAGCTATACTGGTGGTATTTTTGATACGACAACAATGCTTTCTTCCACCTTCCGCTGCTCTGACTACATATTCTAAACGCCCTTCATCTAATTATTTCTAATCTCTCCTTCAATCTCGCTCACATATTCGCGTATCCATTCATGTATGTCTAATGCGCTATCTGAGCTGAGAAGGGGGAGCATTTAGGTCACGTCTAACTAAGTCTAGTACCCCACTTTGGAATCACCCTTTTACATTAATTTCCACCCATTAATAATTTTACAATGTTAAATATACTACAATCTGCTCCTATAAGTGATGATGTTTATTTTTCGTATCCCTGTACTAGAGGAGTTTGTGTTAATTTTACTTTTGGTTTAAGAAGATGCGTTTATCATTGAAAATAGAATTTATCCAGTAAGGAGATGCAGAGATATTCTCTCACTGTACTAGATTTGTAAAAGCTTCATCCCCCAACGTGTGTAGTTTATCCTTCCCATCTATCCACCATCCATCCATCCTGCCGTAAGTTTCGCCTAGAAAGGAAAAGCATCCCCGGTGTTGATAGCATATCAAAATCATATCCACCATCCCATCACCCACAAACTATCACTCTCCCAAAGTAGCCATGTCATGCCATGCCATTTCCATTTCCATCCTCTTCCGACCCGTAACTTCACATAACACTACAAGCTCGATTGCCGGGTTGATTATTGAGTCTTGGTAAAATTGTCGATGGTACCGTATTCGAGCCAGTGACAGGCGCGGTGGTACTTGTAGGAGTAGATTCAGGCATATTTGTCGATAGTTAGATCGTAAGGAGGAACTGGGCGATTGATGAGTTCGAGGTATCTTATATTGTGTTAGAATTCTGTTCGTGGAGATGGAATCTTTTGACTTACTTTGAGGATTTGGTTTGTTGATTTCGGATTGATGGTTGTGGGGGAGGTTGTATATTTGTGAGTGTATGGTGTGTGGAAAATGGGTTGAAGGTGATGGGTGATGAGATTGGAAACTTTATGGCTTTGCGAATATTTGGGCGCTAATTAGGCTCGCGATTTGATCCTACCTATTGTGAGTTTGACAATAGGAGTGATCTTTGAAAGTGAATCTACAATAATAACAGCTACTATGGATTTCTCATACGCTTGCTTGCAGAGGAAATATTATTGGCTGGGAAAGTTAAGCTAAGAATTGTAGGAAGTAAGGGAATTAAGAGGGAGAGGAAGCAATGTAGTCTTACATGTACACAGACAATATTCATCTTCCAGTTTATCCACAATCCCCTTCTAGTTACTTTCACCTGAAAGATTGCTCCAGACTTGTGTTTCCATTTTTATTCTTTTTTAAGCTTTGATTCACTTGAGATTATTTTGATTTTCAAGCATTTATATACCTCATATCCACGGCACAGAACTCAAAATCAGCACAATTATGTACGGGTTATGAATTGTTGAATTGTGATTGTGATTGTGATTTGTTTTCTTAAAGGAATTCCTGGAGCAGTTCTCGGGGCTGCATTAGTGGGGGTGTGATATTTTACGCGTATAGCTCTGGCGGCCGAGAGCTCGTCCAGACAACTATTGCCTCCCTACAGAGGTCATAATGGTCTCAAAATTGATCTTGCTGTCTGGATCCGCATTATATTCACTTTTCTTCGCCAATAGCTCTTTGTATTTCACCACCTTAACGTTCAATTCTTATCATCTTTCGCGGACCAACCAACTCAGAGATCGATTAATTGCATATCATATAGCAGTTGAGAATCCATCCAAGGTTCTGTTGCTTATTCATAATGATTTCATGAAGAGTATTACTACCGGTGGGAATCAACTTATTGATATTGTTTAAAATATATATGCATCAGCCAAGGTCAAATTCAATCGACTAGGGGCAGGTCCAACCAGACATGAAGTTGGAAATTTGTAATCAACAATTGTCCTATCAAAACAAAACATGCAACAGTTCTCTCGAATTCTCTAGAATAAGATATTCACTATGAGTCAGGTGTGAGAAGCCCTCACCGAACTTCAACATCGCCAAAAGTGCCCCACAAAAAAGCAAACTGAAGCTCGCGACGAAGCAAATCAAAACATTCAAATGTATTGAACTTCAGATAATGAAAACTGAACGAGTAAAAGAGAAAGGAAAAGTTCACGAAGAGCGTTAAGCTCCCCGTAAGTCCTAACTAGCTTCATACTATAGGATGACTGTCCCAAGCTGTCCCCTAGTTGTCCCGATTAAGAGGGCCCCCATTACTATGGCGTAGGTGGAGGCGAAGACCACTGTATCAGAAGGAACTAACCTTCATATTTCAAGGCCATCCTCATCTTCTTCTGTAGATTAACTCATTTGAAAATGACACATAACATCAAGGCCATTCCTTATAACCTTCAATCTGATCTTCCAACTTCGCTTAGACCTTGATAAGCGCATCATTTCACCAGAGTTATCCAAAGTAGATGCGCCTTCTGTCAAGTGTTTAGATCTGGTGGTTGGACATCCACTTCGAAGCTTTTGAATCATTGTTCTGCATTCACACAGTGGAACCAGCAAGAGCATACGGGTGCTCCTTTGCGGATGTGGCATGCTTCTATGCGCTTCCATCAACCCCACTACCTGGCACAACATTCAAGGTCCTAGACATTGACAGCTCTTAGCAAATTGCCTTGAAGAATGGATATAATATTGTGAATCAGCACGTCAAGCTGATAACAGCCAGGCGACTACAAAGGCCTCCGTGCATTGGTTTACTGCGTGGTCAAGCCCAGGCATGGATCCTGTTGATTGAGGCAGAAAATGTGGTAGATGATAAGCAGCGTTCGGCCATGCATGATTTTACACCTTTAGGCAGGATATTTTCTGTGAGGGGAATCGATCTGCTTGGCGTGAGGCCTGGCTCCAACTCTTCATCAAGGATTCGTGAATGTCGGAGAACAGCGATTCTGCAACAGGCCTATATAATAGTAATCCAAATTTGGCAAGACAGGGAGCCAAGACGCAAAATCTAAGTCATTATATATGCGAGCTTAGTCCCGGCCGCTACCAGTAATACCAACCGTCAACCCGGATTCATCAGGGAGGTTCTCGTACTTAAGAGACACCCCTGGAGAGGAGTTGGTGTTAACACAACCCTTATGTCAGCCCCTCTAATCACCTGTTCTTTGCCTGGATCTTGAACGCTTGTGAAAATCGGCATTCGGATTTAATGAAAGACAGGTAACGTGGAGCCGCCAGACGGAGGAAGAACGCAGCTAGAATGCGTGACTTATTTTGCTGTTGCTAGTTACCAGGTAGGCTTATCGCCAATATGAGCTGGATACGGAGGACTACAGAATCCGCAGAATAACGTGCCGCCCCGTTGAACATTGCGTAAGCTTCCTTGCTATATATATGCATATATATTTAGTATATGGATATCAACAAAGCCCAGCTAGATAGTTGTAGCTATGATAACAAGATGTCCGGATACCGCGGTAGTGCCATCGCATGTTTTCATGCGTGATGAGAAAGTACGATGTGCATGTATAAACGAGAAGTGGCAACGCTATATTAAAGGAGAAGGTCAAAAACAATGTTAGTATTTTCATTCTCCGAACTGTGGCGGTGCAATAATTGCACGTGATATATACCAATAAGCCGGGGCATCCGTGCCAATCAATTTATCGCATGATCAGCCAGATTCGAATTGGTTACGAAGCCTCAATTTAATATCGCTGAACTAGAAACAAAGTAGGTACTTAATTATTACATCTCGGATTCATCTACATATGATACCTATGAATAGAAAGGATTTCAATCTTATTACCTCCTTTTCATAATATTTTCCTTTCATTCTCATCGCATGATTTGACTGCCACCTATCATCTCAATACTTCATTGTCCTTGGGATAGCAGCCACATCTTTTCTTACTCTCGGACGTAAACATCGCGTCTCGAAACCATTGCAATAGAAATCTTGCTCGTCCTGCCATAATTCTATACACTCAGGCAATACAGGGGCCCACCCATTGGCCATTAACGCCGGTGCAAATATGTTCACCATGAATGGTGGTCGTCTGGCCTTCGTGGCCGCTTCTGGAATCGCCTTATTTGCAAAAGGAACGAATGCACACGGGGGAGATATGTCGAAAATTCAAGACGGAGATGCTATGAGCATAGAACCTATCGTACGTCCATTGCCAAATATCAAAGGACGAATCAGTGAATGCTAATAATTACGATACTGTAGGATTCGACATTGTGGATTCATATTTTGCTGCAGATGTTGGCCTTTGGCATTATCTTTCCGACCGGAATGGTTCTTGGAGTAGGCGACAAAGAGGGAAATGAATTATTTCGGTATGCTAATAAGGTCATAGATTGTTCGAAATAGATGGCATGTGCCCGTCCAAATATTAGGAACAGTTATCGCAGTGGTGGGATACTTCTTGGGGCATCTCCATGGAGGACGAGTTTTTGCGAAGAACATTCATTCAGCTTTCGCCAATATCCTGATGCTTATGCTTGCCGTTCAGGTCGTTTTCGGTATCTACCTCAAGTTCCACATCACCAAAGGTTTTCACGGAAAGATTCGAAAAGTTGCGGTTCATGGTCATGGTATTGTTGGAAAGGCGATGCCAGTCGTAGCTTGGGTACAAATGCTTTTCGGTGGCATTGCAGCTTTGGGTTTCTGCCGTGATGATCATCTTGGCCAATGTCTTGCACACTTCATCATGGGTAGTGCATTTATTGGCTATGGTATCCTGCTAACGATTGTTATGCTTGTCGGACAAGTTTGGCTGAGAAAAACCGGACGATCCCAAGAATTCTTCGATTCGGCAGTTATTGCAGCTTGGGGTTGTGTCAACACTTTCACGGAACATAGATGGGGTGGTGCTTGGGTTGCAAATGATATTCAACACACTACTATGGGAGTAATCTGGTGGGCTGCTGGTCTAACAGGAGTTTGGTTGAGCAGAAAGAGAGATGGATCCCCAAAGAGAAATTTTATTCCTGGATTTGTCATCTTCATCACTGGATGGGCTATGTCTGGTCACCCACAACATCTTCCACTCAGTACGATGGTTCACAGCGTTTTTGGATATACTTTGATGGCTGCTGGACTTTCAAGAATCATTGAAATTGGATTTCTCTTGAGGGACAAGGCTACACTCTCTGAGGATGGTGACGTTAACAGCTTCCAATATGTCCCACCATTTGTAAGTTCTTCTTTTCAGGATCCGATGACTATGGGCTAATAATTATAGTTACTTTACGCATCAGGTTTCTTGTTCATGGGAGCTACCGAAGAACAAATGAAACTTATCTCGGATGCAGGAATCACTCACGTATCCTACGTACTTGTGTTGTACAGTTTCGCCTTCCTCATTTTCTTATTAACCAACGTATTGGTTCATATCTATGCAGTCAACACCAGCGCGCCTCCAGTACCTCCAAAGGATGGGGAAGGAGTTCCAGCCAGGATCCCACGTATGAATGGACACACTCATACAGATTCAAGGCAGATTCGTGATGCGGAAGAGTTTGAATTAGAGGGACTGATGAGTGATGATGAATCGCCAGAGAGCCCGAGCACTTTAGGAAAGAATAATGAGGCTCGAGTAGCTTAATTAGTTTCATTTGTCTATTTATTTTGTGAATGGTAAATTAAAACGCCGGGAGGTTGCTTTCATGTTTCCGTTTTTTTTCTATATCTAGTCTATTGGGGTATCATATGCATCAGCGGGCGTCTCTCTTTTGTTACAAGAATTGTACAGAATCCAATGAATAAGATCTTCAGTGCAACCAACCCATTTCCATACCATATTTTGTATCCAAATGTCCCAGGTCATGAAATGTTGTACCAATAAAATCCGATCATCCCATCTTAATCGTCCCATACAATATCCTCCAAAACTATTCCTCCCTTCCTACTCTCCACTCAGTCTTGCCAATTCCTCAACCACCTTCCCAACACACCCCTCAATCCTCCTCTTCTCTTCAGCACTCATCTTCCTCAACACATACCCCGCCACAACCCCCGGATCCCTACTCTCCGGCCTCCCAATGCCAATCCCAATCCGCGTATACGGTTGTCCACGCAACGAATCGCGAATACTCTTCAACCCATTATGACCCTTTGGACTATTACTCCCCGGTTTAACATTAATCTTCCCCGGCGCAAGTTCCATCTCATCATGAATAACCACGAGTTTGCATTCTGCAGACGCGGAAGAACCTGATTCTCGCAGAAATGTCGTCCAAGCGGCATTCACTCCAGTTCCGGATATGTTCATCAATGATGTCGATTTCCAGAGTGTGTAGATGGGTCCGCTGGATAGGAGGCCGTTGCCGTAAGAGCGGGATTTGGTGAAATTGGGTTGGTCTAACGTGGAGCCTAGGAGGCTGAGAATGGTGTGCCCGGCGGAGTGGAGGGTGTTGGTGTATGGGGCTGGGTTGCCGATGGAGCAGATGAGGAGACGGGTGGAGGGGGACATGGTGGGTGTGTTTGTGAGGGTGAGGGTGAGGGTGAGGAGTTTGTTGTGGATTATTTGGGTGTTAGGTGGGTTTTCGCCGGGGTCATTGTTTTTGGGGTTGGAGTTGGAGTTGGAGTTGGGAATGACAGAGGAGGAGAGTTCCTGAGCGAGAGATTGTGCCAGGACCGCTTGGCGTCTTTGTTTGCGAGTTGGTGTTTTAGCCGTGGGAGATGAGGAGCGTGAAGATGATGAGGAGGATGGCGGTGTAGGTAGTCCCGATTCCTCTAAAAATTGTGGTTGTGTTCGACGTTGTGGTTGTGGTTGTGGTTGTAAGATTAGTATATCTAAATCTTTCACCTCGGTCGCCTGTAACTTTTTTGCGCGTGGACGCGATTTTGCTGCGTCATTTTGACAAGGGTTTGTCTTTAGGTGGTACATATGTATGTATGGGTATGTATGTTAGCGATAACGATGCTAGAATCCCAAATGTTTTCCTCTTCCGAAAATCGAACTTTCTGAAAATATTATTTGATCCAACAACTCTTCCTGAATTTTATCGAGAGGGGAAGATGATTATATGTCAAACCATTTCCCAGAAAATAGTATTTTAGCCTTGGATTCTGGTTCAGACTGATTGAGTCATCACCGAACCTCCTTAGGGCGCAGTCGTCACGATCTAATCCCTAGTAGTCATCCAGCAATTCGTTTGCATTTTTCCATTTAGATGGCCTATGTCAAATTTCTGTATACTAGGTAGCGAAAGCTGATTTTCCATATGTGGGAAATTTCATTATGATGTTATTTATTGAGGTACCTAGTGGTATTAGTATTTATAACGTCTTTGACTCGTGGGAGACTAAGATTAGATTTCTTGTGCTTCCTTTGTGCGGAGTTGAAACTTAGCTTTTTAGTGAAGGATTGAAGATTCAAGAAGCTTCATAGTTCTACTATGGGAATGAGACGTCTATTGTGAAAGGAAAGACACAGGCCAATTGTCTTGCTACCTAGACTTGCGATCTAGTAGTGCATATCACGCGCGTGGTTATAGTGTACAGAGATGGGCATGGGAGCCATATCATATTGAAAGCTGCATACAAGTTTCAACCCTTTCCTCTCGTACAGTCTTATTACTCATAATCGTCCATAACATTATACAAACGAAGAAAACATTCGGGTATCCTCAAACACTTTAACCAGGACTCCATATTCCACCGTAATGCATTTCTTCTCTACCTTCAAATCCTTCCCTTTGTCTTCATCCTGATATACCAGTCTCGTGAATACACTTAGTGGGTGTGAGAGATTGGTGGTTGGTAAACCTCAGGTTGGCTTTGCTCCACAGTCGCCGTGGTATTGTGTTGTGTTTTCGGCTCAACCTCATTTTGTCTAGGAGCTGTAGAACCTGGCATGCAATGACCTCCAGCTTTACGGTGACGATGAATATTGATGGCGAGAATGATGAGGGTGATTGCGAAAAGAACACTGCATAAAATTAGCAAGAAGTCATAAATCAATGGCTTCACTTCACACTTACAACTGAATACCAGCCAATGCAGCTGTTGCAATCATTATTCTCTTGTAGGTCTCCCAGGTAGTCTCTGCACGCTTTTCGACACCTAATTCACGCTTATGCTTATAAGAACAAGCATAATAATAATAGTATCCACAACTATGATCATCGTAATCGTAGTCGTAGGTGACAGCAGTTGCGATTTGTGAGGCAAGGACAGGGAATGATACGACCCAAAGTATCACAGCGACGATGTCGAGACCGAGTACCGCCCAGTAGTTATATATGGCAGGTGCTCCGGTGCTGGCTGCTATAACATAGATACAGATGACGATTGAGATAACGGACTGAGGAATATTGATGTTAGCATTTAGCTTGAAAGGATAGAAAATGGGATATGCAATACCGAAGCTAAGGTGAGTGCATCTCCATCATACACAAGCCAATAAACTCCATAAGCCGAGAGACCAAGTATAATAATAGCAAGCACCAATTGTGCAATACGAAGACCAAGTAACGGGGTCTTCCCACCGGGAATATGAGTTTTATCTGCGATAGCCATCGTTAAGCTTCTTGAATTGCTCAAATCCAAAGTTTCTCGTCGTATCACTCTAGAATATAAATTAATATATGTATATGGATATGGATATCAAAGCATGAAAAAGAGAAAGAATACAAAAGCGAAAAGTAACGCAGAACTCATATTTAAGGTCGAAAGCCCAGAGTCAAATAAAGTATCCCTTCGTGCCTGCCAGCTCCTGATTCGGCAGGAAGGTGGGATGGCCAAGGCATGGCATTTTCAGCCTCACGAGCGACAAGCATAGTTTCCCTTCCACTTTTGGAGATCGCTTCAAGGTTGGCAAAAAATGATTTGCGAGTTTAATTCTTTGTGGAGGAAGTGCGCTTTTAGAGTTTGAGATGTGTCATTGTGATGTTGGATTCGTACGATTTAGATTCGGGGTTTCGTTTCATTCACGCCCTGTGATTGATATCATTTGGTGTGACCGCAAGTCTGACTGGTTCCCCCAACCTTGGCACTTTTTGCACCGTTTACACTATTTGCACGGTTTATATTCTTTTAATCTTTTATCTCAAGATCAAACCTCGCATAGCCACTTGAACATATACATCTATCTATCCCTCCTTCCCCTCAAATCGCACAGTTTGAAAATCCATCTCTCTATACGATACATACATACACCTTCCCATTTCCATCGTCTCAAACTTGAAATCTTGAACAACAACTCAACTCAATCCAAGCCCCCTAAGTGTTCAGCTTATGATCATATATAAATATTCGACCTGTCATAAAAAAACACGCCACCAAATAATCCAAGACTTCCAAGCCGATCCACAGCTCTCCCTCGCGCGAATAGGGTTCTGACAAGTTATGAGCAATTGGTATAACGGTACTTCCCTAGGCGTCGATATTATGTATGTATGTATGTATGTATGTATGTGTTTAAGGGTAGATATGTTGTAATACCGGTATTTGGACACCTGGATGCCTTGAGGTACGTTTATTTTGAGATTCCAGAACGGAATATACTGTATCAGGATTTTTGGGGAGATATTGTGTTGGAAAAGAAATGAGTTTGTACTACAGGATTTGTTTAACTTTAACCTTACCTTTATGAAGAGTATGGGATTCCGAGATGAGATGTTCTCATACATACATCAGCTTTATTTGAGCTGCGCAGTTGCTTGCTATGCGTAAATCGTTGTCGTTTAATATTAGTAATATTTCATCACCTCCCAAATTAGGTACACCAGTATTTCGGATTTGGGATGCATATACATATATATGCCTGTTGGGGCTAGGAGCTAGGAGCTAGGAGGTAGCTGGCCCGTTGCAGGATGCGTGTATTTGAGCCGCGCTTGTAAGTTAATGAATGTCACGGTTACACGGTTGCGACTACGTTAACGTCAAGCTGCGTATTGATATCCTATATCCTATAATACGAATGCTTGTGGAAAGATACCGGCTATTCGAAAAAGGAAATTAGTGTTGAGGGCTATGAATCCGAATGACTTGGGATTCTTGCTCAGGATGATTAGTTTGAGAGAGTCCGGTTTTGGTGATTTATCTTTTCGGTTTGTTATTTATATCATTCTTATTCCTCTTTTTCTACCTGGCCGCCTTCAGCTTGTTTTGAGGATAATCGCTCAATTGCAAGCCAAAAATCACAGCTACAATTAAATTAACCTTAACCCAAACCCATATTTGCTTCTCCATCCAACTTCTCTCATATATTCACCATCCAGTCCTATCTTTCCTCATAAAGCATCGAAAGAATATAGTTTATATACAGATTATAGTGTATGCGAAATTAGGAGCCCATGATGAGGTAACATACATATCGCCAATCCTTCCATTTATTTCATCTCCATCCATCTCGTTCTATCCAATATTCAATATCCAATATCCAACGAATCTTCTTCTACTTTGTACACACACTATTTCTCGCTTGAATCCACAGCACTAAATACCGCGCACATGGATAGAAAATGTAGTAGGAGTAATTTGCATTGTGGTGGTTATTTGATTAGTTGTAAGGAAGAGGAAGAGGAAGAGTAAGATAGGTGTTCAGCTATAGATAGATAGATAGATAGATATATCTATATAATCTTATATCGCAAGAACCTTTTAGAAATGTAAAATGATACTCTGTTAGAAAGATGAGGATATTTCTTAGAACTACTTACATATATAGATCCTCCAAACCCCCCCATCAAACCCCCCAAAAAACCAACACCAACTCCCTCCTTCCCTTCCCACCACTCAATCTAAACCCAACCAAGGCTATCCATCCTCACATCCTCACATCATAATCATACCAATAATCTTTCTTCCCTCATTTCTCATTCCTCATTCCATCTAATCCACCTACCTACCTACCTACCTACCCACCTACCTAGATCTACACTTCAACTTTTTTTGTTAATATCCCTAGTAATTAGGTTCACAAGATGAAAAAAAATAATCTCGTGAAATCTTTTAGAAAAGGCGTAGTAGATGGATGGATACATGCACACAAACATATATGTCTGAGCAGGAGCAGACTGAACATCGATTGATATCGATGATAGGGAATTTATAGAGTGGTTCACGTGAAATACTTCATGGACCTATCATGAGGTGATAATTCATGGAACGATAGCTTGCCTCGATGCTAATGACTGTTGTTTTTGACGAGTCGTTCCTTAATATCTAGTCAAACCTCTTGTGGCGCTGTTGCGCATCAATATCATGTCATAAGTAACATACAGGTGACTCAAATTGATGACTATAATCTCGCAAGCAGCAAGATAGAATTATAGTTTCTATAGAAAAACAAATCCTAGATGAATACATGTTCAGTCCTTTACAATTAGGTCTGGCAATGGTATACAACTTTCCCAAACGCCTTCCTTTGGTATCGAAGTCAATTGACAACGTTTGGCATTTAAAACCCTAACTCTTATCCATGTAACACCATTCATATTTTCATGAACTACCATGCAAATAGCATTCCTGATTTCAAGCCTCATGAAGCACCCACTACTCAAACCGTTCCACTGATACTTAATTCGCGGATTTCTTGCAAAACTTGTTCAACTCTGCTATCAAGATGTCCTTGCGCATATTGTTCTCTTGTATCTGCATCCAAGTATTGTTGTACTTGTGCCATTCTGGAATATGCCTCAGCACAGAAGCGAAGTTGAATCTTAACTAAAGCTTCGAAACTTGGATCAAGGTAAGGAACACGAAGGTCGATAAGTTGGGGAAGTTCGTTGAAGAGTTGATCATTAAGTTGCTCATAAGCCGCCTTAGCCATTTCGGTCTCCTTTTCAGCTCGAGGAAGTTTGGTGACATCCTTATCTGGCTTCTCAACGAGCTTCTTGACTTTTGCGCGCATTGCATCATAATCCAGAAGCTTATGGTTACGCTTCTTGATACCTGAACACTGTTTAGCGGGAATCAAAATGGGTTGGTTAAGTATGCATACATTCATTAATATCAGGGAAGTAGGCACAAAATCTAGAGATGGGCTCCAAAACCGTGGTACTAACGATGTTAGCCTTTCATTTTGCGCCGGGAACTCTGCGAACCTTACCGATATGGACCATCGAGAGCTTTGATTGTCTCGGCGTCGAGATCCTCTACAGCTTGCTTGTAACTACGACTAACACCATCCTTCGCACCGGCATCGCCATAGAAAGCATCAATGGTCTCAGCAATGCGCATTTGTGAAGCGGTCATTGCTGCATTTCTTGTTAGTTCACCTTCAATAAAAATAGCAACGAGTCTGCTTACCTCGCAATGAATCCAAGTAGCCTTTCGACTCCTTTTGTAATCTCAATGAAGCGGCTTCCATAGTGCGATAACGTCTAGAAACTTGGTCAACAACAATCCTCTTTTGCTCCTCCGTTCTAGCTGCCGTGAACATTGTAACATAACAATCCCATTCAAGCCCTTCTGGTTCTGATCCTGAAAAGGTCGATCTTGAAAGTGAAGACGGAGTGGATGGAAGGTATTCGCTCGAAATATCGGACTGCGTTGCGACAGAGTGCAAATATGGACTTGATGGGTGGTAGCCGAGACGAGAGAGAGATAATGTGGATGCGAAGTCAGAGCGAGAGGGTGATGAAATTTGGTCCTCGAGTACGGCCTCTTCTCCATCTTCGAAATTCTTCTGATAATCTGACTGTTCTTCGCTTTCGGATTTTGAGTTGCTAGAATAGCCCGCATTCTCCCAATTTATTCGCAGCTCCAGGTCGCGCGCACGAAGCTCATCCGATAGCGATTTCATTGCATTGTCCATCTTTTCCGCCGTGGCGCCGTATTCGACCATTGTTGCAGTTATGTAAAGAAGTTAAAACTAACCTTTCCTCAACTTCATAATCTCGATCATTTGTCTTCTCAACATGGCCTTGAAATAAAATTAGCCTTCTGCCTGAAGATGAACAACCCAATACATCGCAAGGTACTCAGGGTAACATCATATATCTATGATGTCGACGCCCGAATCCCCCGAAAGTTCCTCAAACTTGTTCACCTTTCTCAAGATTATTCACTTACCAGTCTTCATCATAACCTGAGTGGTAGCCCTGTTAACATTCTTCTTAAAGCCTTTTGATAGTTATAATTAGTTCAGTCTCCTTCATGGTCTTATTGTTTGCGAATGTGTTCCCCTTACCTGCCCACGACATGATGATGGTTATTCAAAGTAAACAAGACAATAATATTTGGGTATTTGTAAAATTGAACTGCAAGTAGTAAACAAACTAAATAAGTATTCGCGATTCCTAAGAACTTTGGGTTTTCACAGGTGGTAAAGAAAGAAGGAGGTGTATCAGTAATATTGGTTTGAATGTGAATGTGAATATATTCAGGAAACTGATGATAAATGATGATGAATTGGGGAACTCAGGTAGTAAACTTGGCTTTGACTTGTGGCGCAGCTGCGGCTGCAAGCATCGGATTCGGTGAAAGTATTGATCCATCCCTAATCCTGCCACAAGTCCGAGCTTCCCAAAATAATTATTTTCCCATCTCAATTCTCCATACTAAAGAACTTCATTCTTCAGCCCACTCCACCATCTGGAAAATCGCAAAGGACAAAAAATGGCATCCAAAAGCAACCCCAACGTTCCCCAAAAGAAGCGCAAGATCGCAAACCGAGCCAAGACTCAACGCAAGAATGCCATCAACAAAATTACTAAGAATCCAAGAGGTACCAGAGCTAGTACTGTTCTCTTCCCTACGAGTGGACCTCTAGCACCTGTATCTGGAAAGAAAGCTCGAAAGTTGCAGAAGGCGCAAAACTGTGCACGTCAAAGAGCATTGGACCAGGCTATGAAAGAAGGAGAAGTCAAAATGACTGGTCAGTATTTTATAGATCCACGATTGGGATGAGGGCTTTGATGCTAAGTATAGTTTAGATGCGCCAGAGACTCCAGAGACAGCAGCAAATGCAGAGACCCAGGGAATGGAGGTTGATAACATTGCATAAATAATGCGAGCACCGCGAGGAATAATGGAGTCATGGCGATTGGAGTTATGGTCAAAACATAAAAAGTCGCATATTGAACGAAATATTGGGTTTCTATCTCGAAGAGTGGGCGATACGGTTGTTATATTCAGACATGGACATTTTTAGATATACGTTGCCCATATTGTATTGTCAAATGGCAGCATCAAGAGGCTTCAGGATAAATGCGTCGGGCAAAGTAAAATTCTTCAATCATTTTTCTTTTCAGCAACTATTTACACTTCTGATGTTTATATGTGCATATCATGCATTCTTGGCACTTTTCCGATCGAATACTATGGATACGCTCTCTTCGTTGCTGGAACTTTTCCAGGGAAGAAAGTAGTGGGAATCGTAGGAATAGGGATACTGGCCGTGAGCGCATACCCAGCAGCGAGATCATTCGGCATTTTTGCAGCCGAGTAGCCAGAAGGAGCTGAAGATACAGTTTGTGTCACGACGGCATCTATCATAACATTTATTAGCAAATGATATCATCAAAACATCTCGCAAACTTACAAGCTGTATGCGCTGATCCGTGAACCAAGCATCCTCCATCACCCCAAGCATTTTCACATTTGTATATCTCGTAACTACCTGCATCTGTCCACATGGCAAAATTTGTAATGCTCAAGCCCGTGCAAGGCTGTCCTGTTGGACAAATAATTTGGATAGGTGCTCTAGCGGCACCATTGGCACAGGTTCCTTTCCAATTTGAGAAAGTTAGACCTGTATATAAAACACCATTGCCGTCGGCTGGTGTTGATTTCCAATAAGAGTCGATGTCGAGAGAGTATGCGTTGCTGTGGCCTATGAAGTTTGAGAATACGCTGTCGGATACCGATCCTGAAGAACTTTATCAGAGTGTGATGATGGTGAGTTGAGTGACAGACGCATACCTGATCCACCATTACTCTTGATCATGAACATCTGGTTCGATTGCCAGGTGTAAATATTGTTGTAAGTAATCTTCGAAATGGCAGTATCTGCACCCAGACTACCTATTGCACATCCTCCACTTACATTACAATGGATATTCTCGATTAGCATGTGGTTGGATGGATTCTAGATTCCATTAGTGTCATGTAGTAAATAATATGGCTTTAGCCAACCAGGAGATGTAATGATGTAGGCTCATAGATGACGTAGACTTTACAGATGAGGATTGTAAGGGCTAGAAAACATACCTTGACAGTAACACATTCGTCCTTATTAGTAACCTCTACATCATGAATATGAACGTTGAAGCCCCAAACATCGATGCCGTCTAATCCACCTTCGTTTCCACCACGGATGATCATATTGTATACTTCGCCATTTTGTACCGTGTCGAGTATGAGGTGAAATGCTGGAGCTAATGAAATGTTCAGCAGATATAAAAGATGCAAATGAGCAGAAGTTTTGGGAGGATTTTATTGGGTAAAATTTCTTTATTGCATGGAACTGAGTTGGATATTGTGGAATTCGATCGTGTGCAGAAAGATTTGAAGGTAACCTACAATCGACAAGAGCAATATCATGAATAGCAAAGTTGGTTACATTGATGAGCCGAATAAGACGAGGGCTTCCCTAAGTGTCAACTTAATTCTCGAAGAGTATTATCATCATATTGTCTTACCCATAAGTTCCCTGAGCGTGAAACACATATCCATAACCTTGAATGGCACCGCTTGACTTGCTACTGTAGAGTTCGAAATCGGTCGAATTTTCGACTAAGGTTGAGATTAGAAAATGCCTCAAGTACGGATGACTGGCGGCTAAACTTACTGACAATCATATGTCCGCCTGCAGTGCTGTAACCAAGTTCTCAGAATATTGAAATACATGTGATGCAACAAGATAGCTCACCCCTTTCTGTAAATGACACCCTCGAGGTTGATAGCCCATGCCTTGCCGCCAGATAGCGTCACCCATGTAGACATAGCAAAGCTACCAGAAGGAATGTTCACTAAACTTATACTTCAGTATGATACAAGAGCAGACACAGGCTGATAAACATACCGACACCACCACTCGCACATGCGTTAAACGCTGCAAGAAGAGGAGGACCTAAATCCGTCACTCCATCGGCTACTGCGCCATACTTAGTGACATCACAGACCTTCTTCGCCCATTTCGAATCTGAAGTAGTAAGAGGACCAATAGAATAACCGGAAGCTAGCTGAGCAGAAACAAGAGATGGCACGAACAACGACACGGAGAGCAGAATGGCCTGAAGATTAAAATGCATTCTGAGTTTGTAATTTTTAGAGTCTTAGGTATTTGATTTTGGGAATGAGTGAAATGGAAAGGACATGGCATTTGAAAGACTAAAGGGAAACAGGAAGAACATAGTTAACACATATACATGTATCCTGAATCTCTTTTCTGCTTGGAGAAGGCTTGGCAAAAAATCACTTACCATCCTAAAGATTATCAATTGAACAGGGTACCTCGAAGTCCCTCTTGGCAGTAACACTCCTTGTTCAACATTGATGCGCTTATATATAAAAAGTGATAGAGACGACAGGGCCAGGAAAAGAACATGCATATGAATGTATCCGCGCATTTAACCTCCAGAATAGGGGAAGACTTTTAGCGAATGAAGTAATGATCTGCGTCGAAAGGGATACTCGCGACGATCAAACAACAAGTCCAATATATATTGGGCAAAATATTAAAGTTTAGTAACCCGTGATTTAAGGTACGCTTAGTGATTCGTGGGATAAAAAGCTTGCGGAATAAAATGCGCCTTGGCTACAACAGATATCTGGAGATATGTGGAGACTACCCCAGATACCGGCTAGATAAATACTGCAATCTCCAAAGGTTCGAGGAGATTGAAACTAAAATGGTTGGCAGTGAATGAAATCAGATGGGCGGTGAATGAAATCAGATGCGTGAAATGAGAGTGAGTAAATTTAAAGAATGGAAATAAAACCCTCCATATGTCGCAGGGCCTGCAAATCAAGACGCAGCGAATATATTTTGCATCTCATGTACTGCCGAGATGTGGTTCCCAAATACTCACAGAGCAGCAATCAGACTCCAAAATTGCATCCGCTCTTTACCCAGGCTTGCCTCGGCAAAGTCATGAAGTAACATCACGGATTTGAGGTAAGCAATCCGGTAGTGTGCTCCAAATCCGTCCACTCTGACTTTCCCTTAAGCATAGCTTTACCATCCCTCGCCGACCGCAGCTTTTTCGGTATATCTCGTAGCATTGGATCGCTCGTCTTTCTGGGAAAAGATGCCACATCGCACAACATTGCGCCGACGAAGATGTTAGTTTTTCCATCGACATTAAACTGCAGCATTTCTTGGCACCGTAGGTAACAAGTGATGAAGTCATGCTCGCTACACAAGGGTTCGTTTGATCTATGCGCGCCTCCCCGAAAGTTGTTGGCCCGTAACCTTATCAAGGTTATATATTATTTCACGCGATTGGGAAGCGCCAGCCAAAAGCGTTGAATTGGATAGATGTAACCTCACTCAGTGTACTCCCGTACAAAGAATTAATGGACTCAGATATCTTTTCCTTAAACAGAAGATTAAAAGACTAGACAAGGGAGGGAACGCGCGGGGTACAAGAAGAGCTTTCATTTAGGTTGATTCTAAGCTGCTTATTACTAATAAAAGTGGAGACAACAATATCTTCGGAGTAGCAGCAAATAACACGGGACTGAGAGCACCACCCATCCATAGGTATACATTATGGGTAATGCAGTTGAATGTGTGTCTTAATATCAACCCTATATACATAACTAACAAAACGGCATAGTCAATGGCAGCAAGATGTCCTAAAACAGCTGGGAAGGGAAGTATGTACACCCACATTTGCCTACTTGTCCTGGCTTCAACAATGCAGCTTCTTCCTTGACACTATGTCATCAGGAGATCTAAAGCATTAGCGTCTTACTGAGATATCCACATCTCAACTACATTACATCAAAATTGTCATGATCTCTTGCGTTACACACATCCTTCTCTTAAGTTGGCTGGAATGAAGTTTAATTTCACGTGACTTTAACTACATCTAGTTTCTTTCCATCAACGCATTGCACAAGTGTGCATGAAGGTTATCATGCATAGAGACGGGCGTGCAGAACATATCGTGGTATCAAGCATGAATATCATCCTGTTCTTGTATATTCTGCAACAGCGAATGCATCTATTTTGGAAACATTTCAATGTAACGATTCTATGGGCTTCATTCACCATTTTCTGAACGTTGGAAAGGCTCAAGGCAGACTACAGCAGAATAAGAGATGCTGATGATTCCCAATTGTCCGTTTAAACCTTACCCAAATTCGAATCAAAGCTTTCAAATAGTTTAGGTGGAAATCAAGAAAATCAGCGGCATACGTACTGGTCTTTGTGGTTGTTGAGGGTGCTAAAGCTAGCTGTAGTGCCAGCATTCTAGCAGAAGCAGTTACCCATTAATATGTCCTTCACGTGGAGAAAATTGTTAATCGCCAGAAAGAGACACTTCAACTTAAAGCAAGAATATTACCAAGGTGAATACGAAAAGGCCGGTCCAAGCGACGCGACTTCAAACCTTTTAACAAATCGTCCAAGCGAGAAAGAGCTTGCCGCCATGGAGGAAAATTTCAAACCAGGCCGGCAAGAAACGTCCGAAATCTTCTGAGGCTTCGAGGAGATGGGAAAACCTTTTCGCGCCTAACATTATGTTGCCTGCCAAGAATGAGAGATGGATGTGGGATGAGGTTGATACATACGATGAGATGTTGTAAGACAAGGAGGTTATCATTTGGTTTGTCAGCGGGATTATGCTGAGTCAGCACACATATAGGCGAGATCAGAGTCCTCGAGCTCGTTTCTCTTCAGCTACCTAATACAAGTAATTTTGCGAATTTCATTACAATATCATATTCTGTGCCGATAAGATTCATTTCTTTACTAGTGCTCTTACCCCATAGGGCTAAACTTTCAAATCATCAAACAGCACCCGGGCAGGTCATTGATATTTGGGAAGAATGTGTTATAAATGGAATGGCATCTAGCATTGTAATATAATTTTCACGGCGCTAATCATTTCCGCTCCCAAACCCAAACCATCCAGTATTTGATATGCCATTAATAGAAGTTCGAAGTCGCTGCGTCTCAGAAGATAGGTACTCATTCTTCGATACAAAATTGAAAAATCAACTATCCCCACCAGCCGAATTGTAGGTCGTCGGAGGTTTGTACACTGAATTTAAAACGCTTTTTTCACTGTCTAATTCGGCATAATTCGGACTCGCTCGAGGAATATTGGTTGCTAAAGGAGAGTTGTTTGCAATGTTCTGAGTATTGCTGGACTGTTCGATGGAAGCGGAAGGTTGATTTTGAATAGTATAAGAGCCGCTTGTGTATGACAGACTTGCGCCGGAAGAACTTGAAGGATTGACCGGTTGGAAGCCGTACGCTTGTGTTGCAGGATCCTGTGTAACGTTCTGAGAGTTTGATGGTGCCAGGGATGGTATTCTGGAAGACGAGTTTTCCCTAAAAACACTGCTGTTTATGCCTCCAGCAGCATATTCTTTCCCTATGCTTTTTGTAGCAGCGGTTTCTTTATTTTCAAAAGTGCTCTCGAGCTGCTGCGCATGATTGCTCGTGTACGTATGGCCAAAGTTTGTGGATGCGACGGAAGATGAATGTCGACCCATATAATGACTTAACGGCGGAGGGGATTTTGTTGAAGGGTTTACCTTGAACGGATTTGCCATTTCAGCAGCTGAAGCCGGCGGGGCAAAATCAAAGGCGACACCACTATTACTGAATGTTCGGGCATATGGTGGCGGCTTATATGACCTTCCGCGTTGGTGTGTTGTATTAGGTGATCTCTGGATCTGTCCGTCGGCTGGATGAGTGGAAGTAGATTCCGTAATCTGAGGAGACTTTTCGACATCCCATTTTCTCATTGCATTTGTTTCAACTTGCGACAGCTCGTCAAGATTCGAGGCATTGCGCAATAAATTCGCACATCTCTCAATATCTTCACAGCTGAAGCCATCGTTTCCGAGCGACTGGAACTCGATTGGAAGCCAATCAGGCCTTGTTGGCACTTGGCGTGGGACACCATATTTTGGCTTAAAGTGTCTAAACCTATGATTATTTATCTTCTCACGATTATAAGACCTGTCAAAGTCCTCATATCTTCCGGAGAGATGAATTTCTGTCATCAATGTTGATATTGCCGTCTCATATTTGTGCCAAAGCTTTCCATGTCCTCCTAACATCAAACTCGCAATGAGCCAATCACACAACTCTTTTTCTTTTTCACTCCAAGGACTACTTTTTGGCATAATCCTTTTCGAAAAATATGCTAGACTTAGTTGAATTAACAAATGTATGAGCAGAAGTGTTATGTTCAAGCTGTTAAAAGTTCCAATACATATCATATGCATAAACATCAAGTCCCAAAAAAGTAGGAAGGAAAAGAGCAACAGCAAAAGATTTTAATTAAACGGAAGTCGCGACACCAAATAGAAAGGAAAGAGTCGCCGGCAAAGCCTAGGTGGTTTCTAGTTGCCCCAAGAATCTCAACTAGTTCTTTTATGAAGAACCCACATCTTCAAAACATCTTGGTGCTAAGAAATTTATTCACTCACTTTAAGTCAGTTACATGTAAAAAGACAACGATTTTTTGGTATTTCCCTAAACTTCGATGCCAAAATTCTTAAAACTGTGGATTCACCATTCCCTCGCTGTGGCCCGCACAGCCTGTTAGATAACCATAATGAAACATTTCTGAGAGCAGTACCGACCAGCGGTATGTCACAATTGAAAACCTAGAAAACAACTTCTCTCTTGACATGACCAGAATAGCCCATTGCTATCTCATACAGAAACACCTCTAAAAAGCACAATTGACCAGCCGATAATAAAAATGACAAAACTAAGAATTCTCCTCTGCAAGCTATGACTAGCACGGGGTAGTTAGAAAAACATGAAGAATGAGAAACACTGCAAAGCAAGCCATAGCATTTCATACTAATGTCTTTCCAAAACGTAACTCTTCCCATGTCTTGATATTGCTTGAGCCATATGTCAATAACCATAGAGAGGAGACTATATCTCTGGAGACTACTAGGCTGTTCATACACCGTTGATCCAGACTTTGTCATCATCTGCCTGCATCACCACGCAGTCCCGAAGCGTCGGAGCGAGAACATTTTCATCAGCGCCCTGATTCTACGTACGGATTGCATTGCCTTCCAATGAACTACCGCGCCGCTTGTATCATCTTCCCAAGGAACTACTACACTACTTGCATCGCCTTCCCAAGGATCTACCGCGTCGCTTGCATTATCTCCCCTAGGAAGTACCGTAGTGCCTGCACTAATTCCTCCAGGAATTTGAGCATCGATAAGCCGATTCCACGCGTTAGTAGCATTATCTACATAAGAAACTGAGAAATTACCACGGCCGTATTTCGGCAGCTCTTGCAGTACTGGCTCCGGAACAAGACCTGCTGGAAGGCTGGGTAGGTCATGGTTTCTATGCAACATGTGGCGAAGCCGGCCGATGCGCCTATTATTTGCAGCGGGCTTTGGTCTGAAAGTACGAAAAATCATACGGGCGGTAAATGTGCTCCTTACCGGCCATTGGTTCCAGGCCTCTGCTGCATTCATGAAGTCCGTCATAGAACGCCAGACACCAGGTCTCATAACTTCTCCAAACGGTTCAAATTCATCTGCTAGCTTATATTTAAAATAACAACGCATGCCTACCGCAAGCCAAGCCATTAGGTCTTTGACTCCAGGGTTATCAAATAAGCTGCTCATAATAAATAGTAGGCAAGTACTTCGAGGCTTTCAACTTTAAGAATGCAGAGGCAGATTTCTGAGCGTTGGACAGAGATCAATTTCCGAATAAGGGGTAGTTTGGTTGCGTCAGCAATTCTAAAGAATGATGTGGATAGCGTTAGAGCCAAATGTGATGTCCAATAACTGGCAGCTAGAGATGTCTGTGGTCTAATATTGTAGTGAAGTCTTGGAAGGAGCCTGATGGATGTGTATGACGACGAAGTGTGGTGTGGCGACGGGTGTAGTTCATGGATGGTTTAAGGTGCAAGGTTCAGGGATTTTTGCGGTTTAATGGGAATCGAGACTGTCAGGCTAAAAAGAAAGTATAAGGGGGAGGGGAATCGCACCTATTTTAAGCACATTTCAAGGCAAGAATTGAATCATATCTTCGAGGCCAAATCACGACTATTCATGGTTATTGCGAGTATTAAGGGTATGAATATGCTCTAAAACAGGGGTTTCTGACTGTTGATGGAGAGATTGAGTAGAAATTGAAGGTATATTAAGGGTTATTGACTGTAAATAGATATGATTGAGTACATTATGACTCCAATATAGAGAATTATGACTAGAATTATAAGAAATAACGTGCGGGAATAAATAACAACTGACTCCAAAATGAGAATCAATGACTGTAGATAGATGAACTGATATACACTGACTCTGAACTATAGAACTATGACTATGTTTAGAAATCATGACCTGGGAAATAGGAAATTATAAGTGTGATTGACAAAATGCACTTTGAAATGACTCCAGAATTGAGACTTTTGAATGTCCAAAAAGTGAATATCATTAAACTGATGATGTGTGTAAAAATCACGAATCATCCCGAATACCTTCAAGATATGAATTATTTGCAGAAACAGTGAGAAGTATGTGTAAGATCAAGAAAAGAAACTGCATTGACACTTAACTGAGTATTTGTGACTACACAAGTAAATATCACAGGAAGAACACCAAGCCAGCTTGAACTTGATGACTCATGATTATCATAAGAAAATGAGCCTTAATATAAACTACAGATTGACTCCAAAAAGAACGTATGAATGACACTGAAAGTATCCCTCATATTGTTTTGACTCCTAACAACAATCAAGTCACACCCATTCAATCAACAAATCAGGCGATCCAACCAACCCGTCAAAATATCACCACATACATCACAACGATGAGTATTTCCGACAAAATGCATTTTGTGAACGATAAAAGGATATGAATTTATGCCTAGTAACCACAAAATCTTAAGAACTTCCCCATTTTCCATCCTTCCTGGATTCTCATCGCCTCTACTACTTTCACTTTTCCATACACCCCCGAGATCCTCCCCCGTTTTAGACACAAATTCAATCCAATCAAAAAACATCGAGAACAAAAGAAACAGGAGAAAAAAGAATTAAAAAGAAATAGATTCCTGTACCACTCAAATTCCTCTAACTTTTCATTTACTCCATAAAACCATCAAAAAGAAATTAAGAAATAAACTGGGCCGAGAAAACCGAATATGGAGTGTTGAGGAACCGAGACTTCTCTGATCTTGCGAATATTTGAGGGCAGAATGCCAGGTATGCAATAGTCTTGACCATCAGTGGTGGGTGAGCGTGACAGAAGTCAAAGTTAGAGCTAGCTCTCATTCCTAGAACTCCTGTTTGTGGAATCAAAGGCCTCAAAGAACGCCCTGCTGATAACCCCCAGGAATCAGGGGTGGATGAACAGAACCATATGTATGCCCTCCTCCTGAATTAGGTTGTGGAGGCAACTGATGTTGATCGAAATTCCCTGAATTCGAAGTGTAAGTAAGGAGGTCAGGGTTGAAAGTATAACTAGGGGATCAAGGTTTTGGTTAAGCGAATAAAGTGGAATTCCTCCTAAATAAGATTGTGGACTGGAATGACCATACGGACCAAGTGAATCAGATTCCATAGAATTCTGCGGCAAACGATTGAATTGAGATGGACCAGATAGAGTGGATGGATCCCAAGATGATTCCCTTCACTCACATATTTCGGACGTACATTTGTAATTGCCAGAAGGTGGGCCGGACGAAGATATTTGGTATTCGTAGCCGTGTTGATCAAAATTTGGCTCGCACAAAGTGTCTTGATGGGAGTTTGGACCAAGTACTTCCCTGTTAAACGAAGGATCTCTTCGCCTTGTAGCGGCTTTCTGTTTCTTACTCTGAGACGTTTCCCGTACCTCACCCCGAGCGGTTCTTTGTGTTTTGCTCCGAATAGTTTCCGCTGATGTACCCTGAGTAATTTTCTATCTCTTACTCTAAGCTGTTTCCTGTACCTCACTCCGAGCAGTTTCCGGTACTGCACTCTGAGCGACTTTCTGTTCCTTACTCTGAGCTGTTCCCTGTACCGCGCTCCAAGCTACTTCTAGTTCCGGAAAATATTTTCCCCATCTCCGAAGGGTGGGTTGCCATGTTGATGTGTCATATATAGTACCAGGCACAAGAAGCATGGTTGCTTCGAGAACCGCTAAGAGACCGAATTGACCGAACTCTCCTGGTAAGATGTTGTCCGGAAGGATATTTTTCGGTCTTTTGGGGACCTCTGCAAGTTCTTTCCAGTTGCGATGGTGATCTTCTAAAAGCTTTTGAAGCGAAATATAGGTGTTCCTTCCGTCAAAAGGTACCATATCGTTCAAGGCATTCATGAAATGTCTCACGACCTCAAATAAGCTTCGGTCATCGAACCGAATGTGGATATCTTCCATGTTCAGTATTTTAGGATTTTTTCCAATGCTCCCTCTGTTTTCTTCTAGATTCTGTTCTATTTGTTGCATTTCGTATCGATACACGCCACCGGCAAGCAAGTGCATAAGACAGTAGTCTCGGTGGTCCAAGGCTTAGACTGTACCATAATGAACAACCTGCAAGTGTCTTTCCTGTTTCGGCGTGATTGCGAGAAGAGTGATTAAGATGTAAAGCGTTATGAAAGTTATTGAAAGCGTTATCGAAATCGAGATGGAGATGTCGTATGTAAGATATTGTATGTTAAGGTATCGAATGTCAAATATCGTAGAAAATGTTTTCGTAGAACATAAGCTGGGAAAGAAAGAAAAGAAAAGAAAGCAGAGCGGGAACTTCAACTCTTTTAAGCACATTTCTGTAGGTTATGATGATCCAAAAGAATATCATTTTCGACGTCCTATTCATAGTTATTGCCGAAAATATAGATGAGTGTGTATTAAATTGCTCATGATATATATGAATTTACTTCAATATGAACATTTATGATTCCAGAAATATAAATGGTGTGAGAAATTACAGTACGGTATGAATAGATAGATTTCCTAAGAACTGACTTCAGAATTGAGGATTATGACTATCCAAAAAACAACACAGCTAACAATAGATCTGAATGGACTATATGAAAAATCAGGATCCTTCCAAAATGTCTCGAAATATACTATCATTCAAGACTTTTGGAAAAGCAGATCGCTTACAAAATAATCAGAATAATACGTATAAATAACCAAGTCCCTCAAAAATGGCTTCAAACCAAGGGACAATGACTACCTCCTAAAAGCCGCCCGTCTGCAGATATCTACCTGCATGACGCATAGAAAAACGAAGCATACTCTGAGTCTTGTTCTACAGCAAAACCACCATATCTCATACAAAATGATAGCAATGAATGAATGACCCATACCGGCATCGCGGCTTCAAAAAGAAAGGGAAAGAAAAGGAAAAGTAACAACCCTCCACCCGCTTCTCCTCTTTCGAAAACACGATACAAATAACTAACAAGTATCATGAATGCAAATCCCCTTCTATATCCTACAAGATTTAATATAACGATTACTCTCCGCAATCTCCAAAATCACCATACTCACATTATATATAATCATCACAAGCAACAACCAACCCAAACCTAACATCGCAGCTCTAGGAAGAAAAACCCAAACATCCAAACCCCAACTCCAAAAACACGACACAGATAACAAAAAAGCACCACCAATCCACATCTCCTCTCTAAACCCTACAAGATACGACTGATATCATAAGGATTCCCGAATCCCAGGCTAAAAATGCCCAGAGCACAACAAATTCAGCAACACACCCAAACTCTCGACTCAACATTCAACTCAACACTTCCACAGCATCCATCCACCTCCCTTCCACCCTTCCCTCCTATATCCACACCATCCATCCACCATCCTTTCTCATCCTCTCCTTTCCCCCAACCCTTCCTTCCAAAAACATCTCTTCTATCTATATCCTTACATTCCACCTCTCCACTATCTATCCTCCCACTCCATCATCTTCCCCTGCTACATCCCCATCTATATTTCCATCCCATCTATCTTCCCACCTCATCTACCCTCTCATTCCCATTTCGTATATCGCATCTATACCACTCAGCCAGATACCAGGTGCTACTTAGCCCTGATCTATAATCCCCTCAATATCCCACCCCACCCTCCCTCTCCTCTCCCCAACCCTCAACCCTCAACCCATTTACCCCAACCTCCCCACCATCCCTCATCCCTCATCTCCAATCTCCCATCTCTACCCACCCCTCTTTCAATTTCAGTATCAATCAATATTCAATCACATTCACCTCAAAAGACACCCTAAAATCCTAAAATTCAAACTCAAGCCACAAACCAAAAATAAAAAATCCACAATACAACAAATCACCCAGCGCACCGCACCCGCACCCGCACTCGCACAAGCACAAGTACAAGTACAAGTACAAAAATCTCCTATCAAATACCACCCACCAGTACCACCAGTACCTACTCAAATAATCTCATTTCCTCTCATCTCATCACACTCAAACCCACATCACATCACATCACATCACATCGCAAGCCTCAATAATAATAAAAATAATAAAAGATAAGTGATCAAGAACATGATAAAAATGCGATCCATAAACTACATCTAGGTACCGTCTTTTCCGCTATCTGCTATCTCATCATCCACCCAATTTTTCTATCTTGCTTTGTACGTGTACGAGTGAGTACCTCGGGCATGACAATTTCACATACCCAATTTCACATCTCCGTAAATTCTCCCACTACAATCAACAATTAACAAGTTAAAGGCACTTTCTTCCTTCAAGCAAATAACCTTGCCCTATTCCTCTAAAAGAAACCAGAAAAAAAAAAAGACCCTAATCAATTTGAATAAACCTGAACTACCATGGTATTTTTTAATTCTTAAACTTGACCCCAGCTTTATGAATGGCCTTCCTCCTGACCCTGGATCAGACGCGCAAAGAAACAAAAGGAAACGAAACGAAAAAAAAAAATGTTTTTATGTGCAATGAAGTAGAGAACGTAATCGTCCGAAATATGGGCGATGAATTTAGCTGTATGTACTATCGCTAGGAAAACCGCTCAAACATAGAAAGGGAATCCTTTAATAACGACCATTAACACTAACAGAACTAATTTCTGCTCTCTTCACTGGTGGAGGAGGAGCTGGTTTCTTGGTTCTGCTAGGAGGTGGAGGTGGTGCCCTTCTTGAATTTGCCGCCGATATACTAGCCGATCGACTTCCCCTACTACCCTGACTGGTAGCCGGACTAACAGAACGCGCACCGTATGATCTATCTGGACTATTACTATTAAGAGTCGAATCATCAGATGGATCATTGAACACATCCCCAGAGGTAATACTGGTACGACCAGATGGGCGAAGATTTACGCGCAAAGAACCAGCGTCTGATGTAGAGGGGATCGAATTTAGACGACTTGAAGATTGAGATTCGCGGTAGTGAGTCGTCGGGCCTTGGAATGTGGAAGATCGGCCGATCGATGGACGTTGTGGGGAACTTGGAGGGGAATATTCCTCCATTCTACCAAGTCCAGAAGTTGATGCCACTCGAGTTGTGTTGACACGAGGAGTGTTGGATCGGATAGATGGACGTGGAGGCTCTAGCTCTGAGGCAGATTCTTCGTACGTGGAATATCTCTCACTGTATGAATGAGCTGTGTTTGAACGAGGTCGTCCTTCGGGGCGTCTAGGCTGACGTGGTTGCTGTACCGCCGATCCGCGTCTAATATCATGTCAGCTCGGGAATTATCGCGTATATCAACAACGACTTACGCAGCAGGCCATTCCCTCTTCAATTTCAAAAGTTCTTCACGGCAACGGTCATAGTATTCAAGCTCGGCCTCCAAAAACGCCCCCAAATCCTGAACACTATCCGCCTCTGCCTCTTTGATATCTTGCATTCGTCTGTAAACGTCCTCACTGGATTCTTCATATTTTGCCTTTTGTGATCTAAGTTCTTCCTCGACCCTGAAATCTTCTCTCTTCGCCTTCTGCATCTTGGAAAGGGAGGCATCGTAAGCTAATCGTCTTTGTTCGAGCTTCTTTCTGGCAGACTTTGCAAATCAGCTATCACCCATTGAGACCGCGGGAATTTATACAAACCTGATATTCCTTCATCTGAGCTAAAGACCTCTCCAAAGATTCCAACCATGTGGAAGTGGCTTCCACAACATATGTATCCTGTTGTCGCGAAATTCTCTCATTTGCTCTACCCATGGCTGTGATTTTATTAGCTATTTTCTTAATACCGTCGAAATCCACCTACCAATAAGACAATTTCCAAACTCGGATTCCGGTTCAAAATCTTCTCCATGATGTATCATGGTCTGACCCATAAACGCGCCTGGTAACATCTTTTCTTTGTCATCTCCTTCATTTCGTTTCGAGAGCGATTTAACATAAACAGTCATGGACTTTTGTAACTTTTCCATTCCTGGCAGATGTTAGTATAACTGATATATAAATCTTTGGCAGACGTACCCTCATGTCTCAATTGCATTTCTGTCTCCAGAGACTTGAATTCATCGGAAACTTCAGTCTTGGACTCCTGGCCCATTTTCTCTCCAGCCCATTGCTTGACTCTGCCAAACTTCTTGCCGACATTCATCTTGGCGGTTCTTCAAGGAGTGGTGAATGGTTCTTAGGGTTATTCGTAGATGTTGCAGTAGGTGGATTGTCCGGGATCAAAGGGAGGTTCCCGGGTATTTTCAATTGTTGATGATTTGACAACAAAGAAAGTCTATTTTAAGCCGCCAAATTTGGTATATTTATCCAAGTATAATCGAGAGGTCTCTCGATGCTCTTTGGTGGTGGTAGAACAGAGGCAGTGGTGGAATTTAGGAAAAGATGTAGAAAGTGTCTTGACCGAATCAAATAACGAAATCGGAACCGGAAGGCGAATTGATGGCCGGATTGGTAAAGTTAATTCTCCAAACTCTGAACGATTCAAAAAGGGAATCCTGGGGGGAAGAATGAAACGCTTATTGGTTGATTTGCGGATAGAGAGATATCTAAGATTCTGAGAGTATCTTCCCAGATCCTTGTTTCTTAGATGTGTTGTTGTTACCAAGGTCGACGGAGAAATAGCTTGGATGAAGAGGTTGGGAAGAGTGGGGAGATGCAGTACTACATACAGTAGGTACCGTATATGTACTGTATCTGCAGTATCAAAACCGGGATACTTTGGTTGGACCTTTCCAGGAAGGTGGTCGAATGACTGTGTAGGAGTTGAACAGAATAAGCTTTATGAATGGTCGAACTATTGCACTGATAGTGAAAAGAGGGTGTTTGGTGACTGATTGCCGGGATCCTTAGCAGTAAGCCTTCAATGTTCTGGAACCAAAAGAATGTTATTTGGTCGTTGTGTGATCAAATGGATGATATTGATATGATATTGAGTGAGAAGAAATGATAAAATCGATCCCTCCTTCAATTACAATATCGAAAATGGCAAGAGGCACGGAACCACTCAATTGAAGAATCCGAGTAGCTAGAGGAAGGTATTAGGCAATGGATGGATTGATTGAATGAATGAATGAATGAATGATTGAATGATTGAATAAATTGATTAATTTATTCTTAATTTGAATGATTGGATCGGTTGGATTGTATTTGTGTCCTATTCATGGGAAGAAGAAGTGATGAAATGATATTGGACATGCGAATTATGAAAAGCTTGTTTATTGAGATTGAGTATGGAGTATGAGAAGGTAAGAGAGAGATTAGAGAAATAGAGGGAAATGAATTCGAATGAACGAAGTGAAATATGAAGACGGGGATTATCATAAGAAGATAGATGGATGGAACAAACACAAAAGTTGGAAGAATAGGAGAATAGGAGAAAAGCTACCGCTACCCGTCTACTCCATCCAAGTTCAACAACCAACGATAGATAGATAGTCTTTCGAGGCCAATGAATTCCCTTCTATCGACCAAATTTCAAACCCTCACCACTTTGATCAAGTTTCTCCTTCATCCAACAAGCAACAAGCAACAAGCAACAGATAACAAGCCACATCCATCTCGTGTCGACCCTTTTTGGATGCATCTTTAGTTAACCTATCAATCTCAATGGTTGCATGCCCCTGAAACCTTAACTGGATCTAAATTATGATTTAGCTCATGTCGGAAGCATTAAAATATGTCGTCCGACGCTGTGTAAGTTAGTTCCTCATCACTAGAAGTATTCGCCAATCGTTCTAAAGATCTTCTACTCGAGTACGAGACATCCGAATTGCATTTACTATGCTTGTTTGGGGTTCCCCTTGAAGATTAACTCGTTACTCGAAAGAATCATTCATTATTTTTCCATAAAACGGATAATCCTTTTACAACTCGAATAGGTACGGAATGTACGGAATATGAAAACTTAAAGGGAGAATCACGAATATCACATGTACCTCCTCCTCCTCGTATTATCCACACATGAACAATTTTTGGCTTTTGTTTAGAACATTATAAAAATTACATTCCACCTCTATCACATCACATCACACCACACCACACCACACCATGGAAATCCATTCCCATCCCACGCTCACCGTCACTATCACCAGACTCACCACCCAGACTCACCACCCAGACTCACCACCCAGACTCGGTCTACTCTTCCCTCCTGAAAGCGTTACGCGGAAAGGGGCGCAGTAATATACGGTCTAACCTCAAACCACAAGCCTTATGCTCAAAACCTGTCTATCAATCTGGACTTCTGCGCTCGTCCATCCACACCGGATTCCACAAAAGTTTCGTGTTTGATATAAGCCTCAAAGACGAAATGCACCAATTATCACCCACCAGAACTAATATTATTGAATCAGGACATGATATATGTCATACCTAATCGGTCCATCTAAACCTGACACCTCGATGAAACACTTACGTCCAGTTAGACATTATCCAGATATTTATAGTAAGCCGATCTTGGTGAACGTCTCCTGAAAAATCTAATATCAATCTTTTCCCTCACGAGTCACAATTATTAGCCATATCAACCATCTCAATCATCCACAATTCCAGATCCGCGGGGAGACGTTTCATCTTTCACCCAATTCTCCACCCAAACCCCTTCAAAACAAAAGATTAGCAACCCTAGCTACCGAAAATCGAAATTCTAGATCCCACAATCATTAATTTCGATGATTTTTGATTTTTGATTTTTGATTTTTGATTTTTGATTTGAAGGGATGGGTCTGCGGGTTGTCGTAATGTCGATAACATTACGCGATTCCTGATTGAAAGAGAGGCTTTCGTATCCTCAACGATTAAATGGGAAAAAGGGGTAACCTACTCCAGAGCCTATTTTTGTATGAGCATTAGCATTATCCACGATCTCGAAGCCAAATTTCAATAAAAACTGCTGCTCCCATACTCTAACGTTCTTCCTTTCTTATAAAACATGATCGATCCAGAATTCAGACTCAATCTCAAACCTAAAAGTCTTGCTTGCCTGTCTATCAATGCGGCGAAATTTATGTGTTCAAAAAATATATCGAGATCTAGACCTATAATCATAAGTACCACTGATGATTATTTATTTGGATAGTGATGGGCTGAAGATGTTGGATGTTGTATACCGCGTGCGGTGTTGAGCATAATTTCGTGATTGGGTTTTTGAACGATTGGAGGGGCATTTCATCCATAAAATGATGACTTCAGTCATATATCTCCTTTCCAAGTTCCAGAACACCGAAAAACAACAAAAAATTCTAGCACTTCTACATGTCCAGTTCAAGATTCATAAATTTTGAATTACTTTGAGGTTCCACCATTTGGGCTGGCTTGGTGTGAAATCCGTGTAATGTGACCTTAGTGCCAAAACATTTACAGCGGGGTAATATATTGATAAATTGTGCGAGGACTTATCAATAAAGAAAAGTCTTCTTGGCTCAGTTGGTAGAGCGTTGGTCTCATATATGAAATGAGGTAATTGATAACAATTACTTGTAATCCAAAGGTCGTGAGTTCGAGCCTCACAGAGGACAATTCATTTTTGGCGTTTCTCATGTTTTTGCGCTTTTCAAATCGCCGATCAACTTAGGTGATGGAGTTATATATAAATAAATATAGGTAGAGTGTAAGTAACGACAATGATACATATATATTATATCTATCTATATGTGTTATGATAATGAATAAATATATTAGGTGGGTGGGGTGTTGAACAGCCGGATTAGTAGTAAGATTACGTTCTAGATTCAGTGCTTTGTGCCTTCCTTTGATCATCAACATTTTGCATTTTTTGCAGGAAAGTGTATGTAGCAGCAGCCACGAAGACTTACTTGTTTTTGTTATTGATGAATGTAGAATTTGCAAAAGTATTTACTTAGGTTGGGATTTGCTCCGTATACATCCGAGATGTGGGATAGCTCGGGCAGATATCGAATATAAATGTTAAACAAGACCCAGTGATTCAAGAGACCTGGGCACCTACTAGGTAGTCCAACAGCAAAAAAGGAAAATTCTCGCGTTTCAGTTGGTGAGAGCGTTAGTCTCATATTCCTATATCAGGTGGTTGTAAGTTTCCGGCCAGAGGTGACGCCAGCCAGACCAGCCCAGCACACGTTTGTGTTCATATATCTTCTCGTGCCCCAGCAGTCAATATCTATATATGTCGGGAAAGAAAGCTGTTCCAAAGTTTGGAAGCTTTCACTGTATCATGAAATGGAGGATTTAAAGTGAAGTCCACTGGATGGTGCTCTTCTCTACAAGGAAGGAGAAGGGTTCATTAATTCCTACATGTATATGTTAGTAAAGATGTTCAATGTGCAGATGGTCAGCGCATACCTCTTTGTGGGTTAATATACACTGCCTAAGTGTTTTGATGTATGTACATAAGGATTGAATGAACACCGAATTTGATTGTGGGTCGAATCGGTGTTGCCGCGCAAGTGCTGTTATTATTTTGTGGCATTGATGAGTATCATTGATGAATCTCCAGACTTCGAATGTGCAGAATGTTTTTGAATCATCTTGCGTTCATCGAAGGGAAAGTGAAGAGGTTAAGAAAGAAACTGCGCCAAAGAAGGAAAGAGCGAAGAAAAATTGGCGAGGGATGGAACGAGGTAGGAAGGGAAGGAGCATACGCAATTTACTTTTACACAGTTTTGGGATGTACCTTTTCTCCTCCATCTTTCAATTGCGTTAGGTGGGATAACTTCAAATATATCAAGAGTCAAATTAATACTATTGATGTAAGTTACCAAAAGTTACGCTCACATAACCGCCAGAAAACCTGACTTTCGCATTCTCAGGATACTCATTATTATTCTACCAATAGCACGCGTAATGGCATGCATTATAATTTGGAGTCAAGAGATCGAGCATTCAATGTTCAAGATATATTCGGTGTATGAAACGGTCTCAATATATCTCATTAATGACTTTAAGGCCAAAAAGTTCACCTCACAAAAACCCAACGAGCCGCGCCAGCGTGGATTTTGTTCTAGCATTAATTTCTGGAGGGTATTGCATTGTGGTGCCGGTACCCAGTCTCTATATCGACATCGGGTTAGTAGCCAGGAGGCGGTAGTCAGAATCATTCACCTAAACGCCATTAAGTACACAAACCCTTCGACCCTTCAACTACACAATCTTTCGACCACCAAATCTCCTGCTCTTTTGCTCCATTTGAGTTATCTTCAAGTGTCAAACATTGTAGTCGTTTGATGTTCATAGCATATACATTACAAACGCTCTGCGATAGTAGGCAAATGCTTTGAATACAATGAAGGAGCAAGTGGTGATATATCTACACCCTCAATAATCTGATTGTTCTCAGTTCCGCAAGTATAAATTTATTCTTACGATCATTTAATACTAGGAATGGAAATTTCAAGAAGCAATCACCGCCTGCCCCCACCCGAGTGCTCCAGCTGTTGCTGAGAATCCCCAGAAACACCATGCCGCACATGAATCAATACAGGAAATCTGGCAAGATATCATGATTCATGAAGAAGCGCTGGAGACATGATAAAGGTGCGGACACCTTCACAAAAGAAAATATGATGCTGATCCATTGTAATTTGTCTGATGGCTTTGAGCACATTGCAACGCATTTGAAATAGATAGAATCAATTTCGAAAACCATTTAGCTGGCGCGGGTGAAATATCTAGAACTAGATTTCATCGATAATCCAAAGGTTTTGCTCCGCGTTTTGAAATATTGAAAGCCATGGTTAAAGTTGTGGATAATACATATATGGAAGCTATAAATACATTCGAAAAGTTTAAAAATATAGTCGTCCGTGTAAAAGTAAGTTGCCCATGAAAAGATCGTTCTATCACCACCCGAAAAAATTCTATGTCTTCGAAGTTGGCGTCCTGCCCGACTATTCGAAGGTTAAAGAGACTGCAAACTCGTAACGCCATCAGGACATTCGCTGGCCTATTACTGATCGCTACCACCCTTCTTTCGTTTGATACCCCTCTTGCATTCACAATTCTTTCCAATATTCCTATGTCCACACTTTTCACAATGCCACTCTCGAGTGTCTCTACACTCTTCGCATTTTGCGCAGAACGCCCAAAGAATAGTTTGCTTCCATTCATTCTTACAAAAACACCAATAATCGTTCTTCGGTTCCGCCATGATCCCAAAAGCTTCTTTAAATAACTCCTTCTTGACATCTTCTCTTTCATCATCAGTAATATCAGCCCTCATCCACTCCCTTCTTATCCCCCTAAGTTTTCCCGAGAAAACAGGGAAATTGGGCGGGGACGATGTATCTCCAAATTCAACACCCATTAGCATGCTTCTTAATTCTTCTATTGTGTCCGGATGAATCAAGTCAAATCTTCCATTCCTCGACTCTTTCCGAATCCATTTCAGGAAGTCGGGACTAGCAACGATCCTGAAGTCAGAAGATTTGGGGGATCCAAAGAAAGAAGATAAATCGTTGAGCATGTTGACGCAAGATTCACATTTGCAGCCGGAGGATGGGGATGGTGAACAGCCGTGGCCTGACTTGAAACATTTGCAGCGGATGGAAGAGCATCCGGATCGGCAGCTGCAGGTTGTAACTGCTAATGGTGGACAAACATAAAGTTCTGGTTCTAAAAGCAAAGAATGAGCGTCGATTTCTGGCTCTGGAGTCATCCAAGGCTCTGGGGTCATAGGTATCTGCCACGACATTGTTTAGCTGGGAGTTTTCGAAATTGGAGACAGGGCATTATACTTCTTTTGGTTCCTGGGTGTTCCTCGGTGTAGGCAGATTGCCGCTACTAACGGTCTTGGGTAGGTGAACGAGAGACTGTGTGGCATTGTCAGATAGACCTTGCTTGATTTTCGCCGAAAGTGATTGCGGCGATGGCTGTCGAGTTTCCTTTGTTTCTGGCACGCGGTTTAAATGTCTCCTCGGCAATGGAGATTTCTCGATGCTCTCAATGACTTCGTCTGTAACCGGCGCTGAATCCGTGATTAATGACTCGGAATTCGCCGGCGATGACTTTTCGGGTAATTGAGCATGAATATGGCGTATGGATTTCGTAACATTTCCCTTCCTCAATGCTATTTCAATAACTTGGCGTAACTGTGAAGGTTTGAAGTCCATCAATAAATTTTTGATGGTCTCAGAATTATGCGTAGACTTGCGTCTCTTTGCAGGATGAGTAGCACTTTCATGCATTGCACTATGTTCGGCTTGAGTCAAAGTCATGTTTATAATTGCAAGGACACTTGATATACAAAAGAAAAGACAATCGATACAATGACAACTATGAAGGACAGGAGGAATCGAAAGGAAATATAGATAAGTGCGAGGTATAAGAAAAGCAAGTACTTAACGCGTCCCCCGCATGAACGCGTGAGATGAAGAAATGTGATAGATCAGAAATCGGAAATGCCATTTCTTCCCTACCTGTCCTAACATCTTAATGTCTGAAAATAATATGAGAACTACTCATAGTCAAATATCAATAGTTTTAGAGATTTTATGTGAGATTAAGGACCGCGTCAATCGTAACGTCAAAGGACATGAATGTTCTTGAACTGCTTTTAGCCATCATGGACAAACGAAGAGAAGCGGATCGGAGTAAAGAACCTTTCCTGTGATCGGATTAGCTTAGTCATCGTACAGCTTTCTACACAGACCACCCTCGTGCTCTCGCGTATCCCTACAGATGCGAAACGCGTCTTCCACATCTCCAGGATCTACTCAACGATCAACTACAATCTTCTGATCATTCGGCCGCGGCTACAGTTTGCTATATATCCGCCACATCGTTCGCACCCCAAATGTCTTCATCTAGTAAACGAAAAGCAGGAGCACCATCAACAGAGCGATCTGCTAAAGTTTCTAGGACTGCGCTCGACTTGGAGCATTTAAATTCACAGATATCAATGGCTGCATTGTTCAGAGCGAATAAGCTGGTTCACGATTTGAAGGAATCACAACTTCGTACTATTCTTGTTCAAGCATATGTTTCTCATCCTGAGATAGCCCATGTAGTCGATTTGGAACACGCAAAAATAAATGAAACCCCGTCAGGACAGGACGCTGAACCCGATCCTGCTCCTGATTCTGCGTCTGATTCTGAATCAGATCATGTTGCCAGCGATCATGCTCGCAAGGGAAGTGATAATGATATGTCAGAATCGGAGGACGAAATGTCCAAAAGAAACAGAAAGGTTACAGAAGTAAGGACTCGATTAATCTTATGACATGCTGAGGCGCTTGCTTATTATTCTTAGCTCAAACAGCGTGGTATCTTGGAGTACTTCTCCTGCTCCTGTAAAGGTGGTTGCGCAAATGGTCAATGCGAATGTTCTAAGAATTCCTTCAGTTGTGGTCCAGACTGCAAATGTACCTCATGTGCCAATTATCTAAACAGACTTGCCCTCTTTTTCGGGGAGCAGAGGCTGCGCGCTACAAATTGCTTTGCGAGCTGGATGAAAGCACAAGGGCCAGATTTGGACCTCGATTCCGCATATACACAAGAGGAGCTACGAAGTACAATCATGGGAGTCGATGAAAAGAAGTATTACGATAAGCCGGAAGGATCCATATTCTACGATGGGTCTGATGAAGAAATACAAGAGCTCGGAAAAACGTGGCTCAAGGCTAAGACTGAAGCAGAGAGAAAACCAATCCGGATGGCATTATTCAAGAAGGCATTTCTTGAGGATGGCGTGCATTTCTTCTCCTTCTGCTCCGGTGCATGGGAGGAATCTCGCAGTACTGATCATTGTCCTATTTGTGACGAATGTAATGATTGGAGAGACTGGCATTGCATAGATTGTGGAAAGTGCCAATTTGGTATATCCATGCCTTGTGAAGGTTGTGATGGAGTGTCGAATGGGTATCATGATCAATTGGAATGCCTGTAGTACATTCCGATAGTCTGGTTATAAAAACGCCATTTCACTCCCATTTCTCAATACAAATTAGGTTGAGGCTATGAAGGAAGCTTCCATTTCATTTGGTAGCGATTAGGCACAATTGCTAAATGGCGAAGCCAAGTTCTGAACACAGTGCGTAATCATATACTATTAGTCCAGCACAAGCTGACATCAATACAGTACGGAATGCATCTTTCGAGGTGAGTTCATGATACACGAGCTTTATTGTTCTGTACTAGTCAATCCTCTGAGGCCAACATAGGTTTTTGAACATGTTGTTCCTGCTACTGGTGTCTCAAAGCACTCGAAAAGCAAATGGCACTAGATTACCAATTATAATTCTCATTAAACCCTATTTGTACCTTCACCAATTCCAGCAGACTTCATCTAAAATCTCAATTCAACGGTTTTCGATATTTTCTTTTACATATTTCCATAGCACAGAAGGCATCTCGTCGCCGCATCATCAACCTCCTACTGAATCAACAGAACTCGCACTTCTCGCTGGGTATCGCTCGATTTGGATACATGGAAATGGCTTCTCTATAGAAACTTCCAGATTGTCCAAAGTTATTCTGGACATCTTCCTCTTGTCCCCTAACGTCATCCCAACTGAATTGCCATGTTCCATTGTCGTTACACTACAAAAAAGCAAGTCAGTACTTTTCCAAAAGGGTTTTCGGCGAAATCAAAGAACCGATTCTGCTTACAGGAGCTGGGCTATCCGCACTATGATTATATATTAGTCTACGACTTCACCAACTCGAACACCAGACACAAACTTACGTTCCGCAATTTCCATACAAGTGCGTGATATTGAAGGTAAAATGATTGCCATCAGGGTATAGACTGAAAGTCACATTGGGATTACCACTGCATGGTGCATCAACTGGGTAACCATCGAGTGCGAATGTATAAGTAGTTTGAGATCTATAACTGCATGTTACATTCAGGCCTTGAGGAGCTGGAGTAGGCGTGTCGATCAAGTTGAATGACCAGCTATTTTTCTCATGTCAGAAGTCATGTAAATCAGTTATTAGGTTTGAGGAAAATAACTTACAAGCCGCCAGTGCCGTGTCTGATGTTTCCAATACTGATTTTTTGGACATACCATGGGGCAGGAACCATGAATTGTTGAGCTAGGCCTGTAGTTATGGCCCCAGCGGAAAAGAGGAGAAGTTTTGAAAAATACATGATGATTGATAATTGATGGGGGCTTGATAATGATGAGAAGTCAATGATATGAAGTGATGATGAGAAGTTTCGTCGAGTACTGCGTTCATTTTTATACTAAAACCAGAACAATGTTCAACGGCAAGACGATAATGTTACAGCAATCACGACCCACCGTATTCTTTCCAGCTCACATGTGTGCCAAGCCATTGCTCCTTTCCTCAATACGAAGCCCTAAAATACGAAGTTGTGTAGCAGAAGGATTCAACGGGAGCGGCGATGCATACATACAGGAGCGCACGTTCCCTAGATACACAATGTGGGTCGGGTATCCAATAGTTGGTAACGTAGTAGTGAAAATATACGGGCTGCAAGGTGATTTGTCAGGATATTTTCTTGACTCGGCATCGTCATTTTTACTACTTTTGGCCTGGTAAGGTAAATGTTTTGAAGGAATACAGATCGGTATGCCCGATTTGTTGTACTTGAGTAAGGTCTTACAAGAACGGGTGGCGCCGTGGTGGTGTTCTCAAAAATAAAAATGTCTTGGAAACTGTCACCTGATTTTGAGGAACTAGGTTTCACAATGTCATTGGATAGTAACGTTGTTATATTTATCATCTAAAGGATTTCAGAAGACGGGAATAAATTTTTTAATCTTTGAACGGATGTTTTGCGCATCATATGTCAGGATTTCTCATCGTCGTATTGAAGTTTGCCGTTTTTCTAATACCCGTATCTAATTCAGCCCTCACCTGTCTGTAGGTTACACTATACACCGGATCTTACATCTGACACGAGCACAGCACGTAGTCTACATATTGAACAATGAAAGTACTAACTTCAAGCGTTCTATATTCAAAGTATTTAGTAACATATATTCTCGTCCAACTTGCTTCTTCCTATCGCTTTCGCGAAAATTCACACGATGGCTGAGAACTCTAGGAGGTGGTTAATACACACTAAAGCCTCTTCAAGATATTCCGTCCAAAAGATCCTATCTCATCCAACTCGTATCCCATTCAATCCTCCTCTTGCTTCCCGTTCCAGTGTCGTCATACCTCAATAAATATGGCACATTTTAACACATCCTCATCTCCCCTAGTATCAAGTAAATACGCACCCATCTTTCAAGGTAACAGAGTCAAAATTCTCCTTCTAACTCCTTCCCTCCTCTCCCTCACAACATTATTTTCAGATATCGGGTACACTACCTCCATCAATGATACAACCACTAGATCCATCTCCAGCTACCATCCATCTCCAACTAACAAACCTGTCATCTAAAATCCTCCTTCTTTTATACCGAACTCAGCTAGTTCCTCGACCGCTCTCTTTAAAGCTTTCCTTACTTCCCCCTTCACATTAATATGTATACGTAGAACATAAGGCAGAGAACAGTATCGGGTAGGATACCAAAAGCGCTAGATTTCCAGCTCCTGAGAAAATACTTTATACTAATGAAGAGGCGAGAGGAAGTATCCTTCATCATGTGGAAATTCTCGTTAGGGCGTCGGATGTGTATGTAATAAAAGATGAACAAGAGGAATGGGAAGAAAGATCTACTGGAATCTAACTAATGATATTGTGTCAAGGATTGGGAAATACTTGAGAGTATGAATATTAATGGTCCAAGTATTGGGTTTTGTTAATGTGATAAATACATTATAGGATCTATGTCGACACCCATAATAATAAATACACAACTCAAAAGATATAACTCAAAACTCGAGCATTTCAGTATATCCTCCCCATTCTTCACATCTTAGTATTCAATAAAAGATCTTACCAGTAAACCAATAAACAATAATCTCCCCAAGATTAGAAATCCTCACCACTCACCAGCAAGATTAACTTCCTCTAACAAACCTTCTTCTAATATCACAACTACTAGATTAGATAGACACGATATACTCTGAACCCCTTCCCCTACCTTCCAAACTTTCTATTTCAAAATCCCCAACTCTCTCTTTTACTATTCTGAGCCTTCTAAGCTATTTTCACAAATCTTGACTTTATTTTCTAAATCTATATTTATACTTATGATCATATTTGATCTTAAACTTACGCTTAACCTCGCACTTAACCTAACCTCATACTTAATCTTAAACTTACACCAAACCCAAAACTTATTCATTTCCTCATATTGAAAACATCAAAACATAAAATAAATCTTACATTCCACATCTCCAAGCCTACCTCTCCCCACTTCCCCTCGTCAAACCCCGAATATATACACACTCACACAGTCACACACTCACACACTCACTCACACAGCATTAACGCACAAACAAAAACCAAACAATAATTCAAAAGTCTAAAAATCTAACTCAGTTATTGTTGGTATCACTTCGGTGATACGATGCAATGCATAGTAGTATCTTCTTGTATTTGTTCATGGATGATTATTATCTATCTAGAGGAGAGAGACCTATTTATATCGAAAGGGGTACGGGCTAGAATGCACTAGTCGTACGGCTCCCTTTCGAGGTTGATCACATGATGTACCGACAGTTATATAATTCATAATCAATTTTATTTTTATTTTTAAATTCAAATAATCTTTTTTGAAAAGAGTTGAGTAATATATAATATATAATATGTAATAATATAGGGTTATTATAGATTAGAAAATGGTTTAGAATATTAAATACCCGATATTAGATACCTGACACTATGTCGAGGAGGGGAAGAGAGGAGGGGGCGCAATTTAAAGCTCAATGTTTGCTATTTGAAAGGAATACACGCATAATATCTTACCGGAAGCGTTAGAGCCATGCCATTCAGGGCGCATTAGCTATCAACTACTTCTTTCCAGTATCACTCGCTCAAATTCTAATAGCCACAGTAATGTAGTGCACGCTCGAGAAGATCATGCATCGCCATTTACTAGCCTGCTCCTATCCACTTATATAGACTCATCTAGATAAACACCCAAGCATCGTCATTCCATCATCATCAATCGCAATCCCAATTCCAATCCCAGATTTCTCTATCTTCTTCGAATCCAAACAAATCTAACCACCCATCTATTAAAAACACCAAACCATTCATGATGACCCAACTCATTAATCATTATTAATAACACAAGAGCCCCCTCCCCCTCCCTCTCTCGCTCTTTCAAGGGACAAAGCCTTTCAAGAAAGCTTCCAATATGTCTCTTCTTCTCTCCTCCAAGATTCTCTTGTCTTTTTGATTAGTTGGTATACTTTTCCTAAAGACTAGCCCCACAAATGCTTCCGCAAAAGCTTTATTGACTTCCCTTCTCCTGACGGCAGCCGGATCTTCCGGAAGCGGTGCTGCTCTTCCCTTCCAACTGAGAGTTCTTTTCACCGAATCGAAACCGCTGCGAACTGCCGTATCAAGAGAGCGTCTCACTTTTGGAATAGGTGCTATTTCTCCCGCTACTCGTGACAGGGTCGATGTAAGGAATACAAAAGAAATATTGTGATGCGGTAAAGAAGATAGTACATCTAACACCCATGCTTTAGTTTCTTCGATATCAGATAAAGCATTTCCCGGTCGTGCTGCCATTCCTGCGTCAATTTGCTCGCATAGGTTTGTAGGTATAATGCCATCGGTGAGATTGCGCAGGAATATTATGAGAACTTCGGCCACAATCTCTAATCGGTGAGCAGCTGGGACCTCGACCGGAAATACATCAAATATGCTCTGATCGGAATCTAGGGCTGTCAATACCTTGCCTCTCAAAGTATCCCTAGCAGATTTGTCTTTAAATCGCCAAGTCTTCTCATCAAACGGCCAGCTTGGAGAATCCCTAGGTATCATCGCGCCTTCTAGCATGTTTGAATCAGCAACCACACGATCCGTGAGAGAATCGATGACCTGTGTGAGTTTAAGTAATTCTCGTGGTGCAGACCAAGTCACTTCTTGGCCCTTATTGACAGGAGGCCCTGGTTCACCTCGTGGACGTGGTGACAACGCTCGTACGCCGCCTTCTGGTACATGAATGAGTTCATCAACAGATCGCCCGAGACAAGATTGCTGCCAATTTCCTTTTATTGGAACAAAATGATCTCTTCCATCTGTGACTCGTAACACCAATACATCTTCGAGTGAGACATCTCCATCATTTAATGACTTTATAGAGGAGAAGTCATCGACTAAAACCTCCAATGTAACATTAATGGCATCTCCAGGTTCCAGAGTAATCTCTCGCTTGAGATTTTGTACAGCTCTATCATCTTCATCCATGGAATGCCCAGCAAACCACACACTGAGCCATGGTGGAGCGATTCTGTCTTCTTGGCCTTCGACCCCAGGTCTATCAACAAACGCGAATGTGGATATGACTTGACTAGTATTTGCGATCGTTATATTTCTACTTTTTCTGTGATCGAACTCAATGTTACCGAAATCAATTACTCCATTTCCATCATTAGAATTTTTCCTAGGGTTATCGTTCCTTTGACTTTCCTCTGCATTCTGTGAATGCTCTACAACAATGGTTATTCCAGGCCGGGATTCATTTTCTGCTCGATCAAGGTCTCTTGCAACCTCTTGCTGTACTTTGGATTTCAACTCCGGTACAACTGCATCATATTCTAATGTAAAGACAGCATCGAGTGGTTTGTGATCTGACGATAGGACTCGTTGATGTGATGTGTAAACATCCAGATTTATTCGATCCACAAATCCATCTTTGGTTATCACTGGTGCTGCTTCATTATCCTCCATCTCGTCGTATTCATCATAATCATCATTCTTAGAAGGTGTGGTGTTTTGCTCGCCATCTTCATCTGGATCGTAGCTGAAAAGCACATCTTCATCGTCTGCGGCATGGTCGATTCCTTGGGCCCTCATTTCTTCATCCTTTTTCCTTGCTAATGCTTCTTCATTTATCTTGGAATCGAATGCCAGCTTGTCTCTCCGTGTTCGGAATAAAATTCTATCACACCAACTTGGTGCCCTCTTCTTCTCACTGGAATCAAATATTCCCATGCTTCCTACATCGTATTTGTATGTTGGAAGAAATGTTACGGGTCCTTCTCTCCACCCATCGTGGAATGCCTTTCGAGCCCTCTGAACATGCCTCAATTGGTCATGTGGTAGTAATGAATCAATGGTAGCCTGTAATGAGGCGGGATCTTGGCTGGGATCTTGCATAAAATCGTCCGGATCTGGAAGCGTTGTCATAGTAGAGGAATCATCATTCGGATCGAATGTGCTACTGCTTTTGCGTGTCTCTTCCTCAGATTCGTCATCACTATCAACAGGCCTTATTACAATCGGTCCTTCGCCAGCACTAATTTCGTTATCGATCTCCTTTCTTGATTGCGCTCCTATGTCATATTCTCCCTTCGTATGAAGCATTAACAATCGTCGAATATCGTCCCCAGGTAACCCTTCCAACCTGAAGTTTAGATCTCCAAACCAGAAAGCAAAGTCCTCGTCCCCAATGCTCTCCTGAGTATCTTCTAGAACCCCACCTCGACTTATAGGATCGAAACGCGTTCTTTGCAATATTTGTGAAACATCCCAGATACGTCTATCCAAATGTGCCTTATCCGTTCCCGAAGCCAAATGTGAATTGACAAATACTAGTCGAGTTGTTTCGCCAAGTACTAATCTCGTAGTGACAGCGCCTTTGTTTCCTAGATATCCCATAAATCCAGTCCCAACACTAACAGTACTAACAGAGCTTATTGTAGGCGCAACAGTTGCGGAGGCAAATATGAACATGAGCAAACCAGAAAGTTGTTGCTCGGCTACCATAGTATAACCTTCTGGCAGAGCTGCAAGAAGGGCTTTCCTCCATGTGGTTGCAGGATCATTATTTGAATAGACTTTGCCAATATACTCCCTTGCAGACGTGAGCTCAACAACTTCTTGTAGTCCCAAAACATACAAGCCGATATCTTCTCCCCCAGCAATTATGCCCTCATCGCCACGAGGAATTGTGGACTCTCTTTTATTCCTTCTTGATTCCTGCTCGTCGACACTTTCTATATTTGCCTGGCTATTGTCCTTCTCAGTCGCATTGGTCAATTTAAGTCCCGCTAGCCGTTTGTCGATCCCTTTCCCTTGAACGAACCATCCCGCAAGATCTTTCTCAGTTCCGGGACAAGCAGCAACATTCCAGCAACCAATCTTTATTTTGATTCTCTGTGACCGAGTATATTCGTGTCGCCGGGCATAGACAGCTTTCGAGAGGGAATGTGGACTCGAGGTCATAGGTACTTCGACTTCAATCGGCTCCTCATCCATCGTTGAGCTCATGGCCATCTTTGAGTTTTGGTATTGTGTTGTGGAAATAACAGACGAAGCAAAGTTTCATGATACAAGTAGGAAGAAGGTTTAACCCAGCATATTAGTTGTGAGCGGTCTATTTTCTTTTCCGATTCTCTTTCCCTTTCTCCTTCCCTTTCCCGAGAGTTGTGCTCGAGCTTCTTCTTTTGCCCTCTTGTTCTTTCAAATGTCGGGGTAAATGACGTAGATAAGAAGTATAAGCTCACCGAAAGAACTTGGATTCAAGAGAAGAAGTGTGAGAAATTATAAGCGGAGGACAAAACGTTTACAGTTTGCATTTCAAGAGAGGGCAGGAATAGAATAAGAGAAAGATTAGAACAATATACGAGTTATTGGTAAGTGAAAGAGAAAGGATACCAGGTTCATTCGATTAGTTTACTCGAGTATTATATTGGTGTATTTGTAAAGATAAAGTAAAATAAAATAAAATAAAATACATTACAAGGGATGAACCCTTATCCCTCAGCTATCACGAGGCTGAAATGCTATATCTTTCATGGCAATGCATCCCACCCTGTGATGCGATACATGATACATTCACGTCGCGCATCATCTCGGTCGCATCAAATCTACAATATCAACCACCCCACCAACAAACAATACAGCTTCACATCAACGACTATATTATTAACTTACAATCTAAGCTACCTCAACTTCCCTCTTGTCGCAGAAATTAAGCCGTCAAAATGACACCACGAAAGCCTCGTCAGCGTCAAAACCATCCTGGACCTTCTCAGCTAAGTCAAGTTCAAGCCTCCGACTATGATACCGAAACTCCAGTACCGGGTCCCGCACCTCCTAGTCGAACGAACGAAGAACTCAATCTATCAGTCCTCAGACGATATCACCCCTCAATTCAAAAGATCAAGTCACTTGCTGCATCGGCTACTATGTACATGTTCTCTCTGGAATCAAAAACATGGGAGAAACTTCCTATAGAAGGTACATTATTTGTGTGCGAGCTTTTACCCTCGCCAACAACTGGCGCCGAAGATTACTGTATTGTGGTGCTCAATCGCAAAGGTCTCAACAATGTAATATACAATCTCAGCGAGATGAACAATGTGGAGATTACCGGCGACTATCTATATTGGACGGTTGAAAAGTCTGAAACAATTGGAGGTACTCCGGTAGCGAAGGCTTTTGGCATCTTTATTCATGATGATGAGACGAACACAAGAGTCGTGAATCAAACAGAAATCCTCAAAAATTGGAAGAAGACGCAGGCCACGATGAATGATGTGCAAGCTTTGGAGAACAAGGTGGAGCACTATGGAGATAAGGGATTCGAGGGAACTCACGAAGCGGAAACTGTGACTGAAGCACAAGGAGGTAGAAGATTGAGTATAACAGATTTATTTGGTGGTCGTTGAATAATTTCAGCAAAATGATGGATGATAAGAAAAGAGGCTATGGATTATGTGAAGAAACGGTTAATCACCAGGGAAACAACATGATGTTTCACCCATTCATACCTAAATGGTAGCTCCAAATGATCTCGCAAAGGATCATTGAGTTTCATATGATGCGTTGCCCCATGGCTGGTCAAATATTACTAGCGCCGCAAACCCGTGTGAGAAGAACAGTAAGGGCACACGCATCTGGTTGAAGTGCAGGGCGCGATGGCCATGTAAAATGCCAGGTTTGAGGAAGAGCATCAGTGCAAAAGGTTTTATACATGTTTGTAGAAACCGCAAATACAATAAAAGCTTACAAGGAGGTCAGTGACCTTCCAAAGAGAACTTCCAGTCCTTCCATCCTTTTGCGATGAATAATCTTCCAGACAGAAATCTCCCTCTCTAATCAAAATGTGATCTTCTGAACAAACCCACCGTCCCTAGTATCTGCAAACTTCCTTCTCTCCTTGACAATCACACTGGAAAACAGACAGACAAGCCACAATGTCATCGAATCATACTAGATATACATACTGGTAACCCTATCACTTATATCTATATCCAATGGACTCATGTAGTAACGTTACCTACCTAAGTAATCTAACATCTATATGATCCTCATAAAAATTAGGTATTCCCTCGCTTCTCTCCCTGACCGAGTTTATACCTATATCGGTATATATACACCTGTACACCTATATATATTACATAAAATGCAAAATGCAAAATGCAAAATACACACCCGTAAAAGCAATAGCACAATTGTCTTATTGATGGAGATGGAGATGGAAGAAGATTCTAAAGATAAGGTAAGTATCTCAGTTTTTGATTGTGGGCGTGGTGCAGGGGGAAGATGGTAGTTAGATACATAGGAGACTGATCACATCTTCAATGAAGGCATCGTCATATTTATAATATATTATCATTCCATTAATCATTAATATCACCCATCCCTAATTACGTACAAAGGACGCACATTAATAAATACTAAAGATATCCGTCCCATTATTATAATCCACGCCACAAACATCAACAAAAGAGCCCACGACCTCGGCTCTCCCATTCAACCAATCCTGAATATCTGCTTCCTTGCAACTTGTTCCCGGTCCTCCAGTACATGATACTAAATCCTGAGGACTGTTGTTCACAAGAACTCTGTAGTATGTTCCGGCATCATAACCAAAGCTGTCGCATTCCATTTTCTCAATAGCGATGTTTGTCAAAAATGGAAGAATGGCGCTGGATTTCCAGGCGCGGTTGTAATTGATGGTGTTTAATGGCATAGTACCATTGATGTTATTTGCTCCCGAATATGCGGAGTTGTTGAAGAGCCCCATGGCGACAATAACTGTTGGTGGGAGTTCTCGGTGAGTGAATGAGATATAAAGATCTTGGTCCGTCGTTGCATTCGATGCGTTGTTTTGCTCCGTCATCAATGTATTAAATGTGGCATTAACCCAAGGGAAACCAATTGCACCTGAAGCATCATTTCCATAGCCAGTATTATAGAAATATTGGATATCGTTGGTATATTCGAATCCGAGCCAATCGGTTGGTGAAAGTACGGAAAGATCGCAGAAGGGAGATGAGCCGCGAATGACAGTCTCGTAGCCGCACAGGAGGGACATTCCATAAACGTCATCAGCGGTGAAGTTAAAGGCCGGAGCAAGACTGTTGAAACGTGCGGTTATAGGCTTAGAATAAATCTCTTGGAATTGGCTGGACTGTTCGTTTCCACCAGAAGAGCTGTATGCCGGACAAGCCTTGTATGGAGTCAAAGAATTCGCACTGTCGTTCTTTCCTTCATATATCTGGACGATCTCGATGTCAGAAGCATCATTTGCGAGTCCGTTAGAGAATGACTGCGCAGTCTTCACAGTTCTCTCTGCAGTGGATGTCCATATCTTATTCGGTGTTCTTAAGCTTTGATATCTTTGCGCAATGTCCACCCCCAAGTTTGTAGCCTCCAATTTGCCCGACCTCGTTAACATTTCAAGTTCTGGGTCGTTGATAGGAGCTTGCCATGTGGAAAGGAATGAAAGGCTTGGAATGCTCGCCCAGTTCACCGATGTATTTGCTAGCTTTTGCACAAAAGGCTCGATGTATTCTTCGTAATCGAAGTCATTCGCATAAATTGCGGCATGGCGGACGAGATATGCAGCTCGAGTCACATTGCACCCTTGAGGAGGAGCAGGGTCGGTTTGTGGATCTTGAGGATCAAATGGAGGTGCGGTTCCAGCCAGATGCTCTAATGGATCAAAAGAATAGGAATTCGAAGAATGAGAGACTACATTAGTAGCTTGAAGAGCGAGTGTGAGGAGCACGGCTGAGGAACGCATCTTGAGATAGAAGAGAGGGAAATAGAGATAGGAGATGAAGGAGAAAAATTAAGCCCTACCGGTTCTGGTACCTTACCTTATATTCTTGTTCCTGAAAGATCTTCACCGCAAAGTTCATCATAATGATTTGTTTCCCACTCGGGTACCAACTAAACCAAGGCACAACAAAGTACCCACGGTAACATAACGATGTGCGCACAGCCGGCAGGTCCAGGGCTTGTTTCCGCCAGTTTTGCTGTCAGTGATTGAGCTTGATGTCAGCCAAGATATTTATATTGGTCTAAATCTCTCCTTATTAGCCACATTGTGGCTTAGTTATCCACATGATGCACGAAAAGCAGATCGAAATTTTGGTGTGAAAAAGTTACATGTTCGTACGCAGAAAATAAACATATGATGCATATAGTTTTTTTCTCCATTTTCTCACGAAGATTTTCTCCCGGAACTTAATATACATATGTATTTTATTTGTATGTACAATACACCATATCATCAAGCCTTGAGCAGCAATTCTTCCAAATCCAGCCACTTTCTAACCAAAACCACTAGCTCTTTTCGAAATGCAGATGCTCCCAGCCACGTTTCCCGGGAGTTCGGTAGTATGGATGATAAACACTGTGGAAGGAACCAACGATTGACCGTATCGTGGATCCTGCTAAGACTAGAAAATTCGCCAATTGTGGGGATGTCTGGTCTGTTTCTCGACTGCCAAACATTCCATTCTCTGTAGGCCAGCATAATGAGTGTGGCTAGCGTCGACAAGAAGATGAATTGGAGGATTAGAAAGATGTAGTTGAGGAAGGCTCGGATCCTCGAGGACCAACTGGAGTTAATACTTGCGATGACTTGTTTTATTGCATCGCTTTGGGTTTGTGATCTTTTGCGACCAGAAGGCAATTGTAGTGCTTCATGTGCATCATGCCACACTTCGTTTGATGCGTCCTCTGGACTTGATTCCTCGTCTAAACCTTCCACCTGGTCCGCCACTGTCAATATGTTCATGAAAATATCCTCCAAGTACACTCCAGGATATAGTTCAAAGTGGTTGCATCTTCCACTGGGCCATTGCATAGCCGCGATCGAATCATCCCACCATGTCAATCTGTGGGCAATCAATCCCTCTTCCTCCCCCATCTGGTCCCATCTCATTCTATACTCCTCCCTACAATCGTCGGTTGGATAAACGCTACTGAACGTCAAATCACTTGCAACTAGGAATTCTCCAACCCATCTCGGACCTCCAAGTAACAAAACACCTGGCTGTCCTGCAGCATCGGCAATTGTTTGCAGATAATCTGCTTTATAATCATTTGTGAAATCCAGTCCTTGAGGGATGAGTGAAAAGTCTATCACATGCAACCATTCGAATTCGCGATTAGCTTTCGCGGCAAGATGTGTCTTGCCAATGGCGGAGAACCCGAGGATGATTTTTGCTCGTTGCAGCTTGCCCTCCAATCGTGAGACCTCTTGTTGCCTTGGTCGAAAAGCCAGAGGTGGAGGCTCGGCCGACGGGTGAGAATATCTTGATACACTGGTTGTGGGTGATGCTGTTATTCTCGCCATCCGGACTTGATTTATACGATACAATGGTTTTGCAAAGGTAGAGTCATGTTTGAAGGATTGTGGGGATGAGAGAATTTCGAATAGTACATATTCTGATTTCAAGTGTTCTTTTCCGCGAATATCTTCGATGGTTTGGGCAGTCAAAACCCATTGCTCTCATCAATGTTTGTCTAGTCATTGCGAATGTTGACGCAAATGGTAATTTTCCAGGATTGAGACCTTTGAAAACAAATCTTCATGACAAAATGATTGTTTTCGAACAATCAGTCATGTCTCACTTTTTCTGGGAAAATGTCTTGGCAGCATTCCAAAAGCGTCGCTTAATTAGGGGATTCAAAGGTAACTTCTCAATACCTCAGCAATTTCTTCATTCAAGAATCGACTAAATCATGGCCTAGATAAATGTTTCACTATTTAGTGATGTTTTCAAATCATCAGGCTAGTTTCCTCGTGGATCGACGCTGTTATCTTGCCACTTACGAAGTTTCGTACTGATGTGAAGTGCAATGCCACTCAAATCACAATGCATACATGCACGACGCATTAATATTTCTAAGCAGTGAGAAACGGCGAGTGAAAGTTGTCTAGTCTGAATTACTGTTTCTAGATATCCTAGTGCATATCTGCAAGTGAGATTGTACGATGACCTTCCAAAATCTGCAGGTAAGCATCACCATTTCCAATAGAACAGATTGAGGTCCAGCAATCAGAGATCCTTACTTGTTGAATTTATTTGGAATACCAAACCTGTTGCAATTACCAAGCGTTTTCCGGAAATCTTAATCTCGTTGAGCAATTGCTTGAAACGTCAAGTGTATGCTCATGGCGATTCGACCTTGCGAGTGTTGAAAGCCTAGATTCGGATTACAGTCCCGACTGTCGAGAACCGCGGTGAGTATAGCTGTACTACGATGACACATTATCAAATAAAATCGGCGAGATTCGGGTCCAACTATCTGTTTTATCCGTTATTGGTTAACGGCCCAACCTTTTCCCTTAGCTTAGCAGCTGCGCACATAAGCTGAAATCCGACTATTTGGAATTATCTTGTTGTATGGGCCCCGAGTAAGGCTACATGCTTGGTAAGCGCGCAGCTTGAGGTCCTTCATTTTCTTTACCACCTTCTAAACTAGATAGGGTGGTGGTGAGCAATTCGATGTCCAGAATTGCATGAGCCTATTCTGTGGTTCACGGAATCAAGCACGGGTTTGCGTATGTACCTACGTTTTCGGGAATGATACCCCTGGTCTTGAGATACTCAAGCTCATTCTGGGATGGGAAATCGCCGTCTGAAAACTGAGTGTAGCCAAGCATTCTTTACTAATCGAGGAATACGTGTAGTATTCACGACTGTTGGCTGTCAATGGAGCTCTCAACACGAGACAAGAGAATGTCCCCATAGAACATCGCAGAAGTCACTGATTCAATTCAAATCATACAACAACAAATCTCCTTCCTAATCCCCACAACCACTCACCGAGATCGAAATCACAATCTATATACAAATTCCCCATCCCCATCAAAAGGGGCGCTCGCTTCATACCCATCCATCCTACCACGCGCCACGCCGCAAAAGCCCACATGCATGCTGCCTATCCACCACCATACTTATCAATCCTTGTGCTCTCACCCGCATGCGTCTTCGCCGTAGTCAAACACGAGTTTACCACGCATCTCACCATCTTATTATCTCACCCTGCACCCTGCAACTTGGCCGCAAACCAAGAAAATATCCAAGAAATGTACGTTCCCCACGACTTATTCGCCAAATTGGCCCCCAATGCGTTAAATCAGGTACCTGAAATCCTGTCTGTCATCCTCTTCTCAGAAGATATTCTTAGAGTTCCCAACTCGCGTTTTTTCCTATTTGGGTTACTTTTTTTTAGGAGGGGGGAATTTTGTCTCTATTTTGGTGTTATTATTATTATTTATGTATACTCTTTTTTTGTTTTTGTTTTTATTTTTAGTAGGTAAGTAAAGGTAAAACGTTCTGCAATTGCAATATCATTGGTTCATGATATTGAGATGTCGTAATATTCTAGAATGGAAATAGATCAGTCGGGGGGAGTGATGAAGTATGTAGTACAGTAGATGAATGGATGGAGAGGGATAGCAAGATTAGAGGATGAGTCAGGTTATTCGGCTGTGTAGGAGAGGTGATCAGTTAAGCTTTCTCAGTGGTAGTTATATTCTAGAACATGGTATGTAGTTAGGTTCTGATGTTTCTGATGGCGAATGCGAAGTCAATGCCGGTGTATTCGGACGTTGGGTGGGAATGCGGGTGGGAACTCCCTGATTGGGTTTAGTTTCTTAATTTGAATGATCCTTTGGAGATATAAATGGGAAGTGTGAATAATTCCGATTGGTTGCTATCAAATGCACAGCTGTTGGTATTTATTGTTACTTTTACTTCCTTTCTTATGGGGTTGGAGGAAGTGACAAAGATAGAAGATAGCAGCTTGGAGTTGTTGGTTTGGGACATATACGATGGAACTTAGGAACAGTGCAGTCGCATTGTATATCTCAAGTGTTGTGAAAGTCTATAGTGTACTCATATTCCGACCCATCAAATCGTAAAACCTTGTCACCGTCCAAGTGCCCACAGCCAGTTCGCACTGGTAATCTAAAAATCTAAAACCGAAAAAGCTTAACATAATGCATCCCTCATCCGTTGTAGTAATTGACCAATTCCCAGCTCCCAGAAATACTAATAATACAGATCTACACCATACGTCATGCAGAATCCCAATGCCAAAACAATGCCAGTTCTAAATGAATCCCAAGCCTCTAAAGTCCATTCCCAAGAGGATACCTGTGACCAAAACAGTATGAATTGATTAACCGATAATGTGTTGCACATTGCGAGATCTTTCTCAAGTGCTATAGAACCTCGATGGAGTACAGCACCCTGTCACAACTTCAATAACCTGCGAGAAACTTGTCAAAGATTCGTGCTAGTAAGGTGATGAATGCGCTTTGCAAGCATATCCGACGAGTAATGTTCTTTCTTCAACATGATGACCCCGTACTCCGTATGCAGGACACCTGTCTATAGCGTGGGTGTAGTAGATACATCCACAGACAGAATAGCGTTCGACGAGGACGTAGCACATGATCTTAGATTGACGTGACTTGATGATAGTTGTGATATGGAGGCGGAGCCGGTGAAGGATTTGGTGAATGTAACGGCGTTAGTCGTCGGGTTGTCAGAGATGATCAAGATGATCGAGGTACGAGTCCGGAGAAGACAGCGAGAAGTGTATGATTTGCAAGTTGTAGAGGAGAAGACCTCAGTCAGTATCAATGTCTTATATAGACTAAGTCCGTACTGGTCATTATAAATTTAGCAAGAGAGAAGGGTGCCTTGAAGAACGGCGATCCTTCAAGTCTTCGCCTCACTATTGTAGCTGAGATTAAGGCTGCCATGACTATAGTGACTTCTTCCATTATAGACATGACTCCTTGATGGAATACGAGTGTTGAGCCTCCACAAGTAGCCAGAACCTCTTTTAGGCTCCATGGTAAAGAGCCGAGGTATGGTGAGAAGCTGTAGTAGTAGTTTCAAGGGAGAAAGATAGGTCTGAGGAGTGATGGTAATCTTCTTAAAAGAATACAGGAACATTGACTATTTTCAGGGGGAGTGGCATAACTTTAAAGGCTGAGCCCCTTGTCACTCAGGCCATGCACAATAATGGCACTGAAGGCATTAAATAGAACGCTTCCAATTGGATCGAGCTTGCTCTATATGTCGCACCGCATGGAGTTTTGGTCATGTGTTTTGCAGTACCTGATCAAAATGCCCCAGCTGCAGCCCTACCATAGGGCTACGATCTTCGTACAACGTGTGTACATTATTTTTTCGGCCCTTCTACTGGTTTCCGGTCAGTATCTACGATCAGGAGTAGGTTCTAGAAACATAATCTGATGCCTCGGTATGTGGTCAGAATTTTTTTCCATTTGCATGCTGTTTTGTTGACGTACTGTGTATCATTGCCTGTTCTATTACTTCGAGTTCATATTTCCAAAATGACCGTAACGACGCACGCCAAACTGCTTTGCCTGAATGTATGGTTTGGTTCGCAAAGAGCCAGCACCAATTATGACTCTGAAAGTCAATATTCTGCGGTCAGCACTCTTCTTATCTCTCAAGGCCTTGGAATTGCTCTGAATACAACCTAATATTATGCACCGAAGACCTAAGCACGCATTGTTAGTGCTTTAAGATATACTCATTAATAAATCCCACAGGTTGACTGTACGACCTAGTGAATCTCCGACGTGCTATGCTGAGGCTTACGTCTCATTGATATTTGACTCAGGTAATACCAAAGTGGTTGTTTGACCAAAGTCGATAAATTGCAGATAATCATCAGTGGATGCAACGAGTGACTGGGATACTTGTAAAGGATATGGAGGTGAGGGCAACCTTGAGTAGCTAGTAATCATGCACAAGACCATACCTTTGCGAGAACTCATGCAAGTTCAAGGGTGTTGCATCAGCCTTATCAGTGTTGAGAATGCAACTCGCTCAGATGTCTTGTTGAATCGAATTTCGTGACTCTGATTAGTAGTAGCAAGAACGGTTGCCAAGTATTGTTTCAATACTCCTTTATTTGCAGTAATGGTTCGACCATGCTTTATCTGTAGTAAAGTAAAAATTTAAATAGTTCTCTGCTGTATTCTGAGATGTTAAGATTCTACCTCGCACGCTACTGGCTGAATATGTATGTCATACAGTTGTTTTCCATTGTTACTTCGAAGCATAAGTGCCGAGTCAGAGTGAGATACAACCGTTGACGCATCATGCAAGCACATGACAGGATGACAGCTCAAACCGTTCTGAAAAGGGATCAATACAGGCGCGTCCAATAGATACAGTTATCCGGCATGAAAAGAATGGTAGGTTGAAAGAACAGCAAAGTAAGCTCACTTGAATGCAGCCAATTCTCTCATACTTGTGAGCCCGGTCCCATGGAGGAGTACCGTCAGGAAATGCCTGTCGGCCATGCCATGTGGAAATGTAATGGAAAACCGACCACCCGGAAATCATAGGTATATTGTACTCTTGAGACACCTTTTGAATCATTGGAGCTGATTGAAGCATTTAACCCATCTGAAATGATGAATTATGTTCAAATAGACTTTGAAGTGTAGAATTCAACCAGAGCATTCAAGTGTTTAAACTTTTTCAAACATTGAAAACTTACATCTGATTCACTAGCACGGATTGCTGAAAACCCTCGTATTCTGGATAGCGAACGGAAATGTGGGATAGATGAACCAAGTGGTATATTGGACCTCAATCATATCCTGAAACTAAGGATAAAAATATTGTAACAACAAGAACAATAAAATAATACTGGACATGTTTTTTGCTCAATAGACCTGATGAAGACCTGTCTTGATCGTACTATGATCACGTGATATGGTGACCTTCAGCGAGGAACCCGGTTTTCGTTTATCAGTGTTCTCGCAACCGTTGCAACTCCCCGTCTAATATCTGCCTCTACTTTGATTGTGATACATTAATGACTGGATTTGTTGGCTCTGTGAATATATTCTATGATCATCTATCTGCATTCCATAACGGCCTGCTTTATCATGTCGTTGTTCCCACAGGGTGAGTGTAGAGGAAGGGCGTTTCTGAATCATTTCTTCTATTTTTAACTTGTATAAAAGGAATCAGGGACATGAACCGAATTGCAGATGGTCCCTCATCTTCGACAACAAGGATACTGAAAGAGAATTGTGAGCTAGCGATAACTCAATTCTTGAGCACTCGGTGTCATATTGTGTTTTTGATAGCAGAGGCCGGAGATAATAGCATCATGCACGCAGGTATGTTTTGATGTTGATGTATAGCATCTTCACGTTCATGCTACGGCAATAAGAGTTCGTGGGCTGTCGAATTGGTCTTGTCGACAGACCTGGCGTTTTGTACCAAAAGAAACATCAAGCATCAGTGATGAAAGGAAGGGATAAGACATATATCGTTACCATTTTCTAGGCCTGATCATCATTTTTCGATACAGGAACTCTTATTTCTTACTGCATAGCCACCAAAATTAGTTCAATTGGAGTTTGAAATTTACTTGTTGTTCTCAAGAATGAGGATTCAAAGTTTGATTGAAAGGTGTATTCACTTCTCGAGTTGGTGGCGGCGAGTGCATGGGGCTTATGAAATAATGGTTACAGCCTATCACAAGTGTAGAGGCCCGTTTATACTAGGCCTAATTGTAGTGGCATTATTTATATTGGTTGTTGTATGAGCTTTTACCAGTTGGATCAATAAGGTTGCAGGTCACCGGCCGAAATAAAAATAATACTCATTTCGCTTCACCATCCCGCGGTTTTCGACCAGCGAAGAAATCCCAAAGGAAGCACGTTGCCGAATTAGTCCAATATATTTCAACTCCGCCTAGGATTTGTAGTTTCAAAAATATAGGACGACGAAGACAATAAGCACTGCTTATTATTATTCCCCTGGGCAGTATCTTCTACTTATCTCAATTTCTCGTTTTGAAGTTCGCTCTCTTTCTCTTCCTTGGCTTCTTTCTTTTCAAAGCTAATCTCAACTTGTCTGAAATGCATTCGAAAAATCTAAGAATGAGGCTGTTGACCTTGTTGTCGATGAGTGTCTTGTTCAATCTAGCAACAGCAGCAACAGTAAACGGATCATGTGCAGCAATTGCTAATATTTTCAAATCATATAGCTCTGTCCATCCAACAGGTAAAGAAAAATTTGCCTGTCTACAGTTCGTGACTAATATAATATTCTAGCAACAAACCATCCGACCTTTAATGCATCTGTCGCCCTTCAGTGCCTTCAATCTGTACCCTTAGATGTGCAACGTTCATCGAATTTTGTTGATTACATAGAGCCATTCTGGCAGTTCCAGAGTACTCTAGCTTATCTCAAAGACCCTCCGCCGGATTATCCATTACCTGGGGCTGACATGCTCGGAGGGCTGGCGGAAATCAAAGACAGTATCAACTCAGGATATTATGCAAACCAATGGGAGTTTGAAAAGGACCTTTATGCCCTGGGAAATATTTTGCCTCATGATTTTCACGTCAATCTACCTCTCCCTCTGATGAGCGTCTTCTCGTTCTCTACTTTAGATGGACCGCTGGTATCGATATCATCCGATGGCTTATCACTTCCAGAGATATACTTTAAACGTATGTTCTGCTATGCATACCCTATTTTTATCATTCGGCGATTGAAAATTAATTTTGCACAGATGATCTTGACAAGCAGAGAAATATGACACTATCGAAAACGGGAAATTGGACAGCGTCGCCGCTGGTCAAAGTCAACGATCAAAATGCCACTCTATATCTTGAATTCCTCAGTCAGAACACGGGTATTTATCAAGACAATGACGCCAACTACAACCAAATGTTCTATTCGTTGCCAAATCTGGCATTTTTTGGAAGTAGTGGATCGTTCACCTCTGGAGGGTATCTTTATGGATTTTCAGCAGACGTTATAAGATACACCTTCGCCAATGGATCCGTCGTAAACGCGAGAACCCAGGCATCGACAAGCGTCAACTTCACATCCATATCTTCGGGACAGGATCTGTTTAATGTTGTAGATCTACCAAAATCAGAATCAGCTTCTTCGAGTTCCTCGGCCTCGGATGGTCGGCAAAGCACGAAAACCAAGACCGCAGTGAGATCTATTACATCACTTGCAGGCTATCCCGAGCCAATTGTAATGCATCCGGATGGCTACACAAGCGGTTATTTCTTTGAAGACACGATGACTGCAATATTAGTGATGCAGGGTTTCATTGACCCTTACGAAACGGACAGCAAGGCAGCACTCGAACAACAAAGAGTGATTAGTGAGTTCTTAGCAGAATGCAAGAAGGCCAAAATGGAATACTTAATCGTAGATGTACAAGCAAACGGAGGTGGTGATTTGTTCAGCGGATATGATGCTCTTAAACAGATTTTCCCAGCCCTCGAACCGTTCGGGGCATCAAGATACCGAGCTACACCGCTTGTAAACTACATGGGTACCATATTTACTGGCGCCGGAACTTATGATGCTAGCCATGATTATGTCTATCAGACACAGTCACAGCTTGATGGCAATGGACAGCCATTTCAAAGTTGGAACCAGGAAGACCCAAACACACCAATCTATGGTGACAACTTCACTGCGGAACTTCGTTACAACCTCTCAGATCTCGTCACGATGGTAGGCTACTTACTTGGCTGTAATTCAATTCATGCTAAATATTCCCATAGTCTCAATCAGGTGGTATTAATGTAACAGGCTACCTAAGCGACAGCAACCCTCCTCCAGCTGTCTTCAATGCCTCAAACGTTGTGATGCTCATGGATGGTGGTTGTGGTTCTACTTGTGCCATTTTTGCTGAGATGATGAAGGCTCAAGGTGGTGTTCGAAGTGGTACATTAGTAGATCTTCAGCTGCATTGATTATTTCCACTGACAGATCTTTAGTTGCAGTTGGTGGTCGCCCGCAACCAGGCCCTCAACAGGGCGTCTGCGGCTCGAAGGGCGCGCAAGTGCTTACATACAGCTCTATTGCTTCTCACATTGAAGCTCTACCAGATGCGCAAGCGTCTTATCTCCAGAAAGGCCTCCGGTTACCCGATTATCCAGCCCCGGAATATATCCCAAATATTAATGCCAATGTGTCTCTTGGGTTCACTTCGACCCTAATGTCTGGTGGACGTTTCAACCTCCGAAACAATATGCATGATGGTGATGAAACATTTACACCCTTACAATTTCAATACGAAGCTGCAAATTGTCGCTTGTTCTATACAAAAGACGATATCTACGATATCACGGGATTGTGGATGAGAGTTCAGTCAGTTGTATGGAGAGGCCAACCCTGTGTAGCGGGCAGTACTATTGTCGATGATGATACAATGCCCGCGGGAGCCTACGATACGGTACCATTTGGGGATTCAGCTTTACCAAACATTGAGCTACCAGCACAACCAGGCCTTGTACCTATTGACAAAGGAGTCAAATCTTGGGCTAGTGAAAGCGGAAGTAGAGAGGAGACTGCACAAAAAGCATTTGTTGGAGCGATCTGGAATGGATTACAATAATCTCTTCGGTGTATGGAGTGAGACTAGAGACTTCGAATATTTCTTGCGTGGGCGGTATTAATAAATATATGCGCTCCGAATTTGAACCATTCGGTCATGATGGAGGGAAATGTTGATATTTCACCTGGTATGTTTTCATAAACGAACACCCGGGGAGTAATAGCATCACATATATTGGTGTAGGGTTATAATAGAATTCAATGAAGACAATATCAATGTTTGATGAAGAAGATGGACTCTTACTCAGCTGTTTCCCCATGGGGTGAGCATTGCAATAATAAAGAAAAATGAAGACGAGCAATCATGATCAATGAAACGATCGATATTCCACGTTAAAAAGCCAACAAATACAAATAACAGATATATACAGTAACCAAATAGGCCTAAAGTATTAAACTCTTCCCAAGCCTTCATATAAAAATTATATCCACTTCTAGTAATATTTTCTGGTGAATATGGTATGGAACTTGATAGTCATGTGATACAAAAACCTGAGGCATGAATATCGGCTCGGTAAGCTTTTAGCGTCAAAAATCAATCTGGCGTGCTGAAGTTTTCGCGTTGCTGTAACTTATGAACCACCAAAGCACTGCCTTCGCACCTTTTTGCGCTTCTCCATCATCCATAGTAGATAACTTTAACCTCTACGACCGATGAAAAGAACCGCCTACCAAAGTCGCCAATCCCCCTCATCCCCCCTTGACTTCAACGATATCAATTTTAATTCCAATCCTAACCAAAATTTCTGATTCTTTACGATCTTCCTTTTCGTAAAGAAAATAATTCGCACTTTTTCTTACAGTTCTCAATTTTCTCTGTTTGTGATCGTCGACTTCTCTTTTGGGTCCATCAATTTTACACATCAACTTTATCGAGAGAAGCATCGCGCCAAGTTGTTGCATCTATCAAAGGCTCGTTCAACATCAACACTAAACGCGCCCATTCATTTGGTCGTGCGATTACAATCATCTTTTCCTATCGACGTGTCCACACATTGTCGAATCGTTGTTGACTTGATCAATACATCTTTTTGAACCATACGCGCCTCAACATAACATCATACCTCATGCGCAAGGCTACCTTTGATATGTGCTGAAGCTTACCTTGACACCAACAAACACAGTCCAAAGTCCACTTAATACGCACTTTATATCCTTAGGCTACCATGGCCTCGACAATCCAGAACGCGCCGGCTGTTCAACAGCCTGGTTTATCTATGTCTAATGAGATGAATCCGCAAATACAAGCTCTGTTACAGGTAAGCTCCTCCCACACTATATTATCGATTATTTCCCACACACTGTGTCAATTTGCATCTTGCTAACTGTTTGGATTTCACAGAGATATAAACAAATGAAAGAGCAAGGCGTGTCAGAAAAAGATCCCGAGTTTATAAAAGTCCACCAAACTCTCTCGACCTTTCGCATGCATCGGCAGAAAGCTGCATTTGCACAACAACAGCAGCAGATGATGCAACAGCAACAACAAAATGCTAACAGTATCGCGGCAAATGGCTCTGCTCTGCCCCGACCTCCATCTACCCCTAGCACGATTTCCGGCGCGCAAGTACCTGCGACATCCTCACTTGGCCCTTCAGCGATTCCCGCGGCTGCAGCAAGCTCTGCCGCATACAAAATAGCCGCTGGCCCACAGAAACCAACGGGGAGCTCTGGTTATTTTTCGCCAGAACAGCTGAGCATGTTAAAGCACCAAATTTATGCATTCAAATGTTTGTCGAAGAACTTGGGAATCCCGTCACAAACTCAGCAGCAACTATTTGCGTCGCAAAAGAAGCCGCCTACGCCCATCGAACAAGTACTAGCTACTACTCAACAGCCTGGCGAGGATGCCCAGCGTACCGCCAATGGAGTAGAAACTATCCCGGCCCAAAAAGTTGAGGGGCCCAAATTTCATCAATATACCGGATTTGAAGACCCGCGTGAAATACTTCTGAAGCAAATTAGCTATAGCACGCACAAGCTTCGAGGACAACGTCCTATAATTCCATCTATCTTTCCGACGGGTGTCAATATTGAAGAACTTCGCCAAAAACGAGCTGAGATTATCCACAATCGTATGAACGCGAGACTTAATGAATTGAGATCATTGCCTGCAAATATTGCGCATGTAGATGCACGAGATGATGATATGGTCCCAGATGACTCTCTTAGGCGTAAAGCATTGATCGAGATGAAGATGTTGGCACTGTACGATAAACAGAGGGCGTTGCGTGAGAGAGTCGGTAGACAGATGATTCAATACGACAACCTAGCGATGACGGCCAACAGAAGCATTTATCGCCGCATGAAGAAACAATCACTCCGAGAAGCTAGGATTACCGAAAAATTGGAGAAACAACAACGTGACGCTCGTGAGACACGGGAGAAGAAGAAACACACCGATTACCTGCAAACAGTCCTTAACCATGCTCGTGAGGTCAATTTAGCTGGCCTGAACCAGAGACAGAAGATGGTTAAGTTAGGCCGTATGATGGTAACTCAACATCAAAATATCGAGAAGGAAGAACAAAAGCGCATCGAGCGAACAGCGAAGCAGCGTCTTGCAGCTTTGAAATCGAACGATGAGGAGGCATATTTGAAATTGTTAGATCAAGCAAAAGATACTCGTATCACACACCTGCTGAGACAAACAGATGGTTTCTTGTCTCAACTTGCTGCATCCGTCAAGGAACAACAACGAAAAGCGGCAGAGCGTTATGGTGATGATGGTGGTGACTTTGAGGAGGATGAGTCTGAAGATGACGATGAAGAAGAACCAGATACACGCAAGATCGATTACTATGCTGTCGCTCATCGCATTAAAGAAGAAGTCACCAAGCAACCTAACATTCTTGTTGGTGGCACTCTAAAGGAGTATCAATTGAAGGGTCTGCAATGGATGATTTCGCTATACAACAACAACCTGAACGGTATCTTGGCCGATGAAATGGGTCTTGGTAAAACTATTCAAACCATCAGTTTGCTCACATATTTGATCGAGGCCAAAAAGCAGAATGGTCCTTTCCTCGTAATTGTTCCGCTGAGTACCTTGACGAATTGGACTCTTGAGTTCGAAAAGTGGGCCCCGTCGATTGGAAAAATTGTTTACAAAGGTCCACCAAACACAAGAAAACAACAACAAAATCACCTTCGTTACGGAAACTTCCAAGTACTTTTGACTACATACGAGTATATCATCAAGGATAGACCAATTTTGAGCAAGATCAAATGGGTGCACATGATCATTGATGAAGGTCATCGTATGAAGAACGCACAGTCGAAGCTCAGTGCTACTCTCACACAGTACTACACTACTCGTTACCGCTTAATTCTTACTGGTACTCCTCTTCAAAACAATCTACCCGAACTCTGGGCATTGCTCAATTTCGTTCTTCCAACCATCTTCAAGTCTGTCAAGTCTTTCGATGAATGGTTCAATACTCCATTTGCCAACACGGGTGGTCAGGACAAGATGGAGCTTACGGAAGAAGAACAAATTCTTGTTATTAGACGTCTCCACAAAGTTTTACGGCCTTTCTTGCTCCGTCGTCTTAAAAAGGATGTTGAAAAGGACCTCCCTGATAAGACTGAAAAGGTCATCAAGTGTAAATTCTCGGCCCTGCAAGCCCGTCTCTACAAACAAATGGTCACCCACAACAAGCTCGTTGTTAGCGATGGGAAAGGAGGCAAGACTGGAGCTAAGGGTTTGAGCAATATGATCATGCAATTGCGAAAGCTTTGTAACCATCCGTTCGTGTTTCGCGAAGTTGAAGATCAAATGAATCCTAACAATTTCATCAATGATACTTTATGGCGAAGTTCAGGGAAATTCGAGCTGCTCGACCGTATTTTGCCAAAGTATCAAGCAACTGGACATAGAGTTTTGATGTTTTTCCAGATGACGGCCATTATGGATATCATGGGGGAATTTCTAGATTACAGAGGCATCAAATTTATGAGATTGGATGGTACGACTAAATCTGATGATCGTTCCCTTCTTCTCAAGGAGTTTAACGCACCAGATTCTCCATACTTTTGTTTCTTGCTGTCAACTCGTGCTGGAGGTCTAGGTTTAAATTTGCAGACCGCTGACACTGTCATCATCTACGATTCGGATTGGAATCCCCATCAAGATTTACAGGCTCAGGATCGTGCCCATCGTATTGGTCAAAAGAATGAAGTTCGTATTCTTCGACTAATCAGTTCCAACTCAGTCGAGGAGAAGATTTTGGAAAGAGCAAAGTTCAAGCTCGATATGGATGGCAAGGTCATTCAAGCTGGTAGATTCGACAATAAGTCATCCGAAACTGATCGTGACGCAATGCTTAGGGTTATGTTGGAAACAGCAGAAGCCGCTGAGTCTATGGAACAAGACGACATGGACGATGAAGAGCTCAACGAAATCTTGGCACGATCTGATGAGGAGATTGTCAAGTTTCGACAAATGGACGAGGAACGAAACAAAGATTTACTCTACGGCAATAACCCTCAAAGCAAACGTATTTCTCGTCTAATGGTAGAAAGTGAGCTTCCGGAAATCTACATGTCAGACGGAAACCCCATTTCGGACGAACCTGAGGCGCCACAAGGCCGTGGCGCAAGAGAGCGCACTCGCGTTAAGTACGACGACGGTCTCACGGAGGAGCAATGGACTATGGCTGTGGACGATGATGAGGATTCTCCAGAAGCTGCAGCAGCCCGCAAAGCAGCTAGGGCTGATCGTCGAGAACGAAACAAGGCAAGAAAGCTTGGTCAACTCAATGGCCCTCTTTCACCTGCTGGTAGTCGTGATAGCTCAGAAGACCCTGAACCTGAGCCTGAGCCAACACCCAAGAAGGGCCGTGGTCGCAAGCCGGGTGTTAAGATTGAGAAGCGAAAGGCCGATGAGTTTGATGATGAACCACCGCCAAAGCGAAAGCGTGGCGGTCCTGGGCGCCCACCAAGAATTCCGAACGGAGATATCTTGACGCCCAAGACTCGTATGACTCTCCAAGCCAGCTTGAAGATTGTCTTTGACCATCTGATGCATTTGAAGTCTCTACCCGAATCTCCAGACTCGCAAGGGGAGCAAACCGCACGGGAGATCATATTTCCATTTGTTTCCTTGCCATCGAAGAAAGACTTTCCAGACTATTACGTGATTATCAAGGAACCAATTGCTATGAAGCTCATTGAAAAGAAAATAAACAAGAGGGAATACAACAGTCTCCAGGATTTCAAGAAAGATATTGACACTCTCTGCACCAATGCTAAGACGTATAACGAGGATGGCAGTTTGATCTATGTCGATGCTGTTGCAATTAGCGTAAGTTGAATTGATATCCACACACATTACAATACTAACAAATACTAGGAGGAGTGTGAATCTCGAATTCAAGATGAAATTAACGAGCATCCGGAGCTTGGTGCTGAAGGTGATGAGACATCACGAAACGGCGGCTCAACAGCCCCAACTACAAGTGCCGGTACCCCCATGCCAGCACCAGGGCCAAGCACGAAGCTGAAGCTTACATTCAATAAGCAGGCGGCTAATGGAAGGAATAGTAGTATTCAAAGTGACGACGATGACGATGATGAGTAGACACTCATACATGAGATTCATTGTGATTATGATTGGGGGAGGTGTAAAGGGGCGGGCTTGTCAGGTTACTTCTCTCGCGCGTACGACCCCGTGCATGTTGTTTTAGTGGCGTTTACATCACATGGAAAGGCGTTAGTTGAAAGGGAAAAATATATTTGCGTATTTGACGCGAAGGCATAACAATGGCTTTTTTTATTCTATCAAAGGGCCCTTGCCTAGAATGTATTCTAATAGAAGAGAATGAGATGCATGAGAGATATTCCATAGTGGTTGGTAGTCTATTGACTGAAATGAAGAGATTGTATAAAAGTACTTATTGGAAGGAAGGACTCCATAATGAACTCACATTTGACTACAATAGTGATGAACAAGCCAAATCTTGTTGGTAGCTATATTATGGTGTTGTTAAACTATATCAGGTTTAGCGTAACTCTTCTCAGATAAAGGTCCGAGCTTAAATTTATAGCGTTGGCATAATATCCATATTCAAAGGCTTTCAGGTTTATTATCTGCAATATTTCAGCAATTGCATACAGCAGAAGAATATCAGCTCACCAGTCCAATTTATTTGCAAATTTCATCGGTTTGTTGCAAGAAATTTTCGCACATGAGGAGATTTTGAACTCGATGAATCCTTAACTCAATAGGTTGATCCTCGACGCGACTTTCCCCAGTTCTTCGATTGCGCCAACTGCTTAGGCTCTTCAACACTCAACAACGCGTAGGATAGCAATCTAACATGTCTTCCAACAAGAACGGCCATATAAATGGCGGCGCAAATGGCCATGATGCTGGGAGTACAAATGGAAGAATGATTAGCAAACGATTTTCCGACATTCCCTCAGCTATTGATATTCCAGTCACTGGAGAAGATGATGATCAGGCAGTCGAAATCGATCTCGAAGATTTACTGGACGACCCTACCGAATTATGTACATTACTCGAAAATGAAGGCGCGGCTCGCACATATTGGATGACTGTTGCATTGGCATACGCGAAGCAGAAGAAGGTCGATCATGCCATTGAGATGTTGACGAAAGGCCAATCTGCTATGCGTGGTGGTAACAAGGAGAGACTAAGTATGCTCACATGCTTATGCTGGATGTATCTGTGGAAAAGTAAAGAGGCGCCTCGCCATCGGCCAGATAACTTGGAGGATGGAGATGAGATTAAAACAAAAGAGGATTGGTTGAAGATGGCAACCTCGAATTTAAACGATGCTTCCCGGATTAATCCATCCTTTCCACCACTATTCCTGGCTCGAGGTGTTTTGCAGCTCCTCCGAGCTTCCACTCGACCGTTCCCTAAGAATAATACAGCTCCCGGCGCACTGGATCCTGAGAAGGCTGAGCTTTTGCGAGGAGCTCAAAAGTCATTTGAGGATGCGATAAAGGCCTCCCATGGCAGGAATATGTTGGCAGTTTTAGGTAAGGCGAGAGCTGCATTTTCAATGGGAAAATATGCGGAGGCCTTGGAGGGATACCAAGAGGCATTGCGGTCAATGCCCGACCTGGTAGACCCCGATCCAAGAATTGGAATAGGCTGTTGTTTCTGGCAATTGGGTTTCAAGGAAGATGCGAAAGCCGCTTGGGAACGATCACTAGAAATCAATCCGGATTCGAAGGTCGCAAACATATTACTTGCTCAGTTCTATCTCGATCAAAGCGCACATGTGCCAACGAACAGCCCCGAATTCATCCAATTATACAAGAAAGCCATGACCGAGTACACCCAGAGATCCTACAAGGCGGATAAAGATATGCCCTTGACTTGTGCTACTTTTGCCGGATACTTTTTGTCGCGAAAATCTATGCCAAATGTCGAAGCTCTAGCCCAAAAGGCCATCCAATACACAGACGTCAACGCGATTGCAAGTGATGGATGGTATTTGCTTGCGAGGAAGGAGCACTTTGATGATAATTATGAAAAGGCTTTGGATTACTATGGCCGTGCCGACGATGCGCGTGGTGGTGTTGATAGAGGATATATGCCTGCTAAATTTGGAGCCGCGCAATTATCTGTGCTGAAAGGTGACTTCGGTGAAGCAAAACTACGACTCGAGAAAATCATTCAACAATCCAAGAACATTGAAGCAATGATTTTACTTGGAACTTTGTATGCGGAAGAAGTGTTCAGCAGTCAGGAAAGTGGAGTAAAGGAAGATAAGACCACGGAATTCAAAAAAGCTATAGGTTATCTGGAGAATGTCCGTACAGCATGGAAAGATCCCAAGAAGAATCTCGTTCCTGATGCATCGGTTCTTCTTAACCTTGCGAGACTTTACGAAACAGAACAACCCGAGAAGAGCTTGCAATGCCTTCAGCAAGTGGAGCAGATCGAGTTTGACCAAATCCCAGCTGCAGATAGGCCAGAGGAGACGGATGATGAGGCTGTATACAAAAGTGCTATGCGCGAAAACTTATCCCCTCAGCTACTGAACAACATAGGATGCTTTTATTATCAATCCGAGAAATACGATCAAGCTCGCGAGACGTTCCAATCTGCATTAAATGCTTGCGTTAAGGCAGGTGAAAAGCTTGAAGGCATGGATACCGATGCATTGGTCACTACTATCAGTTTCAATCTCGGGCGCACGTATGAAGCTAGTGGTATGCCTGACGAAGCCAAGACTGTATACGAAGGACTGTTGGGCCGCCACAGTGATTATACTGATGCTAAAACACGTTTGGCGTATATAGCACTGCGTCGGGACCGACAAGAAGAAGGCCCTAAAGCTGTTTCCACTCTATATAAGGAGTCTTCGGCTGATCTCGAGGTTCGAGCATTGTACGGGTGGTATTTGGGACGTATGCACTCCCGAAAGAGGTCCAGCAATGTCAACGAGGATCCGGAATATCGTCACTATAAGCATACTTTGCAGCAGTATGACAAACATGATAGGTATGCTCTGATTGGTATGGGTAATATCAACCTCATGGCCGCTCGCGAAATGCGTCGTGATTCTGAATCAGACAAGCAAGCGCGAAGCAAAACCTATACTAAAGCAGTTGAATTCTTCGACAAAGCTTTACAACTGGACCCGAGGAGCGCTTATGCTGCTCAGGGTGTAGCGATTGCACTCGTCGAGGACAAAAAGGATTTCAAAACTGCGCTTTCTATCTTTGTGAAAGTACGTGACACAGTCAAGGACCCAAGTGTATTTATCAATCTTGGTCATATATTCGCAGAATTGCGACAATATACCAAGGCTATTGAACATTACGAGGCTGCTTTGACGAAAGATCGAGCTCACGATAGTCACATCCTGACTTGTTTGGGACGGACTTGGTTGTCAAAGGGAAAAGCTGAGAAGAGCTTATCAGCGTTCAAGAGTGCCCTTGATTATTCATTGAAGGTGATTTACTTTTTTGACATCCAATCTTTCAATACTAATCCTTCATAGGCTCTTGAGATTACACCTGACCAAGTTCACTACAAGTTCAACGTTGCGTTTGTACAGCTTCAACTGGCAACAACGATTTACAACCTACCAGAAACCCAAAGGTCTCTTGATGAAGTCAAAGGTGCAGCCAAAGGTCTAGAGGATGCCATTGAAGCTCTTGATGCTATTGCCCAGCATCCTAGTCCACCGTACCCTAAACACGACATTGAGCAAAGAGCCAACATGGCACGGAATACCATGCGTCGTCAATTAGAACGTTCAATACAAGCCCAAAAGGAATACGAAGAAAATAATGCTTCGAAGATCCAGGCAGCTAAAGAACAGAGAGAGGCCGAATTAAGACGCAGGGAAGAAGCGCGTGAGGCAGCCGAAAGGGCAGAACGTGAACGTAAAGCAAAGATTGCGGAAGAGCGACAAAAGATTGCTGAGAAGGATCGTGAATTGGCGCAAGCGAGAGCTGCTGATGACATTGCTAGAGAAGCGACGGTGAGACGTGATGAAAGTTAAAGGGTCAGGTGGTGGGCAAAAGAAGAGTCAGGATGAATCAGGTGCAAGAGGGCGAACAGAAAGTAAAAGCCAGGATGGTAGGAAGTGATGAAGAGAAGAAAAGAGGAAGAGAAAAGAAAGGAGGTGGAAGTAATGAGAGAGGGGATATGGTGCTGAAAGGAGGAAAGCAATGGAGAGAGGAGATAAAGATGTGGAGATGGAGGGACAAACTACTAGTCAAAATGCGGCGGGTGGTGATGGATGAGGAAGAACAAGTCGTCAAAAGCACGAGGAAGAGCAGAAGAGGTGTCATTGAAGATGATGACGATGATGATGACAATGCCGATGGTAATGGTAATACTGGCACTGCGATTCCACAAGAAGACTCTCCGGGAACAGCAAAAGGGGATGGTGATACACCAATGGCGGGGATGGCGGCAGGAAATGATGATGATGATGATGAGTAAATTTACTCGTACTTGTGAATCTGAATTTGAATCTAATTCTGAATCTGAATCTGCGTCTGATTTTATTGCGCGAGAACGGTGCGAGGATACAATAAGATAGATAGTTGAGTTGAGTAGAATGATAATTGATAAAAGCGAGTTAGTACATCATGCATGCATACATACATACATACATACATACATGCATTTAACTGCTTAGGAATGAAAGGGAAGGAAAGGGAATGGAAAGAAATGGGGAAAAAAAACCTCTTTTGAGCTGTATATTATAATTAGAATGAAATGAATGTGGAAGGGTGAAGAGAATTAAAATAAATATTTTATTTGGTACTTTTTCTATAGGGGTGGGGAGGAGCGGGGTTTCTTCTTTTTAATATTGTGATGTTTTGATGTTTTTTAACTTGATAATCTTTTAATATTTATTTATAATAAGAAAATAAAAAGACGAGAGAGAAAGTCACAGAATAAAAAAAGATAAATTTTTTTTTTTTTAAATTATTAATTTTTTTTCTATTCTTTTTTCTATTTTATATTTAGATTAATATAATTTGATTATTTTAAATAAATTTCTATTCATTAAGATTATCAGTGATTTCTTATTTCTGATTCAATTGCTTAATTTAGTTTTACTAAGTTTGGTTTAGAAATATCATATCATATCATATCATATCATTTCATTTTATATAATATCGTGTGAATAATCTGTCTTTTTCCTTCTTTTCTTTTCTCCTCTCATTCATTCATTCCTTCCTCCCTTGTGCAATAAATGGGATATCAAAACCAAAGAGAAAAATGAACATAAATCTGATGCCCTGCCCTTTACGGGGGGAGAACATAAAAAAAACAAAAGGAAAAATAATAATAATAATAAGTAAATAAATGCGAGGGATATCGATGTACCCTCCCTGCCTTTACGCCGGTTGAATGCTTGGATGGATGGATAGTCGAGTAGACGTCTGGGGTTTGGTTGAATGGGTGAGGATGAAAGGAGAGGGAAGGGAAGGAAAGAACAGGAAAGTATTATATCCGTTGTCGGTTCCCGTCGACTGACTTTGTGTCTATTGTCATGTGTATTCTGTTCTGTTCTGTTGTGTTTTTTTTGTTGGGTAGGTGGGCGAGTTGAGATATAAGGACTTTTACGATTCTTCGTAGAACCAGTATCTGGTTGATGTTAGTAGATTGTTCATGATATTGGAAAACCAAAAATGTAGTAGAAAGAATAACATACTCAGCAGCATACTGAACATCAAAGCTACTTCCCAAATTATCCTTACAAGTCGTTGGTGGATTTCCCCCCGCAGTATTAACACGATAAACCTCCTGCAGACCACCAGTTGCCCCATCTCTAGCGGACAATTTTAACCAAGCTACCGCTCCATATCCTTTATTATTCTGGCCTACCGATGCGTCAACCGGAGCAGCTAGGCCATCTGTTTTCGCAAAGCCTCCTCGACCTAAATTCCAATTCTTGGTGTTGAGATCGAAAAATGGTGTGGAGGAATTGGTGAAGAAATGATGGCCGCTCATCATGAGGTCGGCGGGATTAAGGTTCTGAGTAGAGGATGCGGCGAGATTGAGATCAAATTGGAGGGCTACGTTGGGGAGGATGGAGAGGAGGTCTGGATAGGTGGATGCGATGCAGGAGGCGTTGAAGAGGGTTGCTACTGCGCCGACGGCGGTAGGTGCTGCTGTTGCATTGGTGCTGCAGGTGTAGTTTTGTGTTCCGCGGCCGATGGCTACGTGTTTTAGTGTTAGACCTTTTGAAGGTCCGGGCATTGGTGTTGGAGCTGTGGTTGTTGAATTAGTTTTGAGGACTTTGTGTGACTGTGTGGAAAGTGAGGAGGGCATACATAAAACTGGTTGAACGGCCTTGTTGAGATTGCACACTGGAGCGTGAGACATTTTCCTTCCTGCTTGAACTTTTTGACCCAACATGTCGAAGTATTCGGATATCACTTGTTTTTCGGCGGGATATGCAGCACCAGATGAAAAGGTATAGGTTGGGGCTGGAAGAGCCGCTGCTCCCAGAGCAAATATGGCCCAGAGGAAAGATGAAGAAACCATGATGAATATGAATTGGGTCGAGGAATGGTCGAAGAAGCAAGAGGTAAGAATATTAAAGCGGAGAAGGTCCAGAAGGAAAGAAACCGAGACGTCCAATCCCACAGTTTATGAAAGAGATGGATAAATAAATATGGCAATGCAGAATTATCCCTCGATGAAAAGTCGAATATATAGAATCTATGAAGCCAATGGAAACAAGAAACTAACAAACAGACATAAAAACTTCTTAAGCGCAGCGAGAAGTTCAGCTGTTGGATGAATATTGGATATCTAAATTCATATCTCACAGGCGCTCAGCAGGCGTCTTATACAACAAACACATTGGCACGATTGGCCATAAGCATGACATTCGCACTTTGGGTGATACTAAACCTGGAAAACAGCCGCTTGCCACCATGTACGAAAGATGTAACTATACATTTTCGAACAAGCGGGAAAAGGAAAATCACCAAAAGATTGTAAAGATTAGCCTTGTGGATCCCCGAGTCCACCAGCCAGTCCCGATTCCCCAGACGGAAAAGTAAGACTTAATATTTTTGTTTGGCGGCAAGACAGGCCTCACGGACCAGTCGAAAGATTCGATGCGGGGGTTAAGGAGCATTAGTTTGGACATTTCGTCTGTGTCTTGCAGTTCGATCCTGGTTTCTACGCAGGGGCACAATGTAACTGTTGCATGGCAAGTCTCTGATTATTCTTCAGATTTACGGGTGATTGGTTCTTGATGTTTTTTACTTGCGGGTGTCTTGGAGTCTAAGTGTTGAATTGTGGATTAGATTGGACGTACATGGGAAGGAATACTCAACCGATCATCAGAGCGTTTTGGTCTATCTCTAGATATAGAACATGCTCAGTTGTTATATTTCTTGGTAAAACGAACGGGAATGGTGGATGGCTATCGTCTTGATATATTATGTACTGTATTATCGATTATTCTTGGTACACTAGCACGGCATTCTTGTTATAGATTTCCATCGCGGCTATCAGCTGCATCTCGGGATGGATGACTAGTGGATTTCTGAGATGAGGGTTATTGATGATGGAAGATGGCTGATGGATGCTATAATGCATTGGATTTGAATGGATGATTTTTTATCGATTTACCTATTCTGTTGTAAGGCTTAGCTAGTAGTTAGTACGTCTAATTACAAAATATTCACACACCTCATGATAATTAACTCTAGCCGTGTTACCACTCATCGAATCATCGTTCAATCGTTCTACAACATGTCGTACCATATAATAATATTTGCTGTTCATACATACATAGCAAGAGCATCTTCGCAATATATCTTCATGCCCGAACGGGAGCAGAAAGTTGTGAAGCAATAATAAAAGAATACAGTAGTAAGCATTCCATGTCACATATATATAACGAGATGAACTTAAGCACTATGTAAGGGCTGCTCACGCACAAGATAAAGAATAAGAAACCGCAACCATGGTCTTGATCAGTATCAGCACCTTGAAAAAAAAGCCCTCTAAAGGATAAAGAGCCCACGCAATCCCCTATCCATAAACTCGGGTTCCTATTATCATAATCTTACCATACCGACGGAAAGGATACCAAAGCCCCATACAGTAAGACCTTCCAGCAACCCATTTCTTAACAATTGAATCATCCTTACCCAACAATTAGAACCGCTCTTGAACCAATGGAAGGTATTCACAAAAAAGAGAGATCTGCATCTGTATCTGCAGTGAGAACTAGGAATCAAAACGTCTAATTCATACTGAGAAACGAACAAATTAACGCTAACTTAGCGATATATCAACTAAACTACCCCGCGTCCTCCCCTATTACTTATCCGACGAAAGTTTGATTCAGGAGAAATTAGCTCTGCTCCGCAATTTTGCCTTAATCCATATTCCCAAAGTGAAAGGTCACAGGAACTACTCCGTACAGCGTAGACAATTTATAAGCACAAAACCTGTACATCTATCTCTTATATTCCCGATACAACAATCGCATTCCTTCATAATGCGCTTCTCGTCTCCATATACATCGAATATTCTTTAGAGTGCATTGTATTTTCGATAACATCCATCCATCCATTCATCCATCTACTATTCATCCATTTTAATCTTCAACCCGCATACTCTCAGCCCAAAATCCCAAGACCACCAGTGGAGTGGGCTCTCCAGTCTCCATCTGCCTAACCGACCGAAGTAAACCCCCATTCCCATCCGCACCCCATAAAAAAGAAAATTATTTATAGATATGCAGAACCCCACACCTAAAATCTCCGATTGGATTATAACCATAGGATGCGGGCGCCTAGATACATATATATACCAGAAGCTAAAAAGCTAAAATCTATAAATAAATATCTATGTACTCTAGACTATTGAATCTGAATTTGAAAATTGAATTATGAAGATATGAGATGTGAGATACGACAAAATATAGGATGAGATCTACAATCTACAATCCAACCGATGAATAAATGAATAAATGAATCATTAGAGGTATGATAAGGATCAGTATGTACTATGTATGTATTTATGAATACCTACGGCTCCATGGCTCCACATTGAAGGATTAGAAAGGTCGCGGCTAGAGTTACTTTGGAAATAATCATATGCTTGCTACATCTAATACTCTTATCATAATTTGTTCGCACTCGGGTTCACGGCCGATCTACAAGATGACGAAATCTAGCAATCAATAATGAATCATCAGAAGAAATTGGCAAATGGGCCTCTATTATCATATGATAGTACAACATATTCTTTTGTTCATCTAGTAATCGAATTCATCAAGACACCTTCCCATTAAACCCCTCCTGATGCCAATCACCATGCGCAGCATCGTTCCCAGCATCCACCATTCCTTTAGCACCCCCAGCGGCTGTAAGAGCCGCTTGACCTAGATGACTTCCATGCTGATCGACATCAACACTACCTAACCAATATAATGAAAAGAACACCATCAAATGAAGGGCCACGCAATAACCTGCGAATAAGTTTCGGCTAGTTCTAGTTGCTAATACCATTCTTGTGATTGAGAATACTATTCTTTCCGGTAAACTCATACGTTTATACGCTCGAGCTGATTCTCGCCCACGGAATGCCGCAAAGGGCGAAATGTTGGATTCATATGCTGAACGGTATCGATTCAAGGCGAGACCAGAGGATGTCGATGAGGATATTTGTACCGTGGAAGGATTGGGGTTGGTAGCATAAGAGGACGCCGACGAGGCTGTTGGCCCTGCTCGATTATATGTTGACACGTATCTTGTCTTTTCATACAGATTCAGATTGTCTTTTTGTAAAGCAGAGATCTCCTGCCTAAGTGACGACACCGTGCGATGGCTTTCGGAAAGCTCATTCTCTAATTCCGAGTTGCGCTTCTTGAATCGATCACGCTGCGCGGTAATCATGGGAAGAATACCCGACCCTCCCCCTACAGGCTCGCCAGATCTAAGAACATCCACAGGTGTGCTGCCCATTGGCGTTCTGGGATCAAATCCAGATATAATTGATGATGTAGGAGATATTTTGCGGTTCCTCGACGCAAACTGGCCGATTGCTGACTGAGGATAACGGCTTGTATACGTTCCGGCCACAGAAGGAGCAGAAGGATAGGCGCTCACTCCGTTTTGCATGTTTGTAAGGTCGTTCTCTAATGTAGTGACCAAAGTTTGCGACTTTTCCAACTCGGCATTGGTCGTAGAAAGAGTTTCCTGCATATTTTGCAAGCGACTCTGTAGATCTTGATGTGAAACTCTCAGTACGGTGAGCTCGTCGCTCAGTTTCTTGTTCCTAGCAAGAAGAAGCTGCTCTAATGTCTCTCCTTTCACCTTTCCAGAACCATTTCCAGTCGGTTCCGGGGTAGTTGAACTAGCCCCATTATCTTGTGTTTCATCATCATCTCCCATAGAAAACTCGATACTCTTCAGAACTTCCAGTTCTTGCTTCACGTCTTCATAATCGCTCCACTTTTGGACTTTAATCTTAAGTGAGTCGCGTTCTTCTTTGAGCATTCCGATCTCCCTTTCTAAGCTTCGGAGCTTGGTGTCAAGATCGCGCTTCTTTGCATCTCTTTCCACTCTTGCAGCATCTAATTTCCTTAACAACGATGAGTTTTCCGATCTTAAGCGCATGTAGGCGGGTTCGTCTTCCAAAGCCAATGCTGGCTGGCTCGGAACTTGTGAAGCTGATTGAGCTAATTCTATTCGTAATTGCTCATTTCGAGCTTCGACTTCAGCTAAACGGACGCTCGTACGCTCCAAATCTGATGTGACCATCTCCAATTCTGCACTCGTAACATGCCCGCGACCTCCATCTGCATCTGCATTCTCGGATTGTCCCAAACGCTGGCTGACCTCATAACTTGCCTTGATTTCGCTCAACAAGCGGTCTTGGTTTTCCACCTTTTCTTCTAACGATTTCTCCTTTGCTTCCCAATTGTCCTTCTTCTCCTCTAGCACAGCGGCCCAAGAAGTTTCGACATCTTTGACCTTGGTTTCTAGGCCTTCCTCCAAATTCTTGCGCGCTGTTCTTTCCGCTTCTAATCTGGATTCCGTATCCTCCAATTGAGTTGTGAGTTTACTGACACTCTTTTGAAGATGTTCATTCTCTTGTGTAATCTTAGGGAGCGTATCCTCGGATAGCAGTAATGAATCGACAGATGCTTCCAGCAAAGGGTATGGATCTGGGGCCTCGGATAGAGATGAATACACTTGTAGGAAGGCCGAATTCGTAGACTTCGAATGGTTCGTGAGGAGATCTATAAAGGTTTGATATGCTATAGCAGATATTTGTGTCAGTAGGGCAATGCATTGCGCATCCCAGAAAAGACCAACCTTTCAGTAATCCTTTGATTTCAGATAGTTTATTTGAGTCTTCCAACTTCCGAAAGTCCTTCGTCTTCTGTGCCAACTCCTTGCGCTGCACAGTTGAATCCCTTTGATATTGAACGATTTCGGATGCGGTATTGTCAAGGGATGGAATCATGGAGGTAAGATCGATAGCTGTTGATGATTAGCACGAGTATTGAAGTCCTGTGGAACATCAGGGACTCACTCCTCCACGCCGATATTGCCTTTTGAAATTTGTTGTCTCCATCTTGTCCTGGAGCTATATGATCTGCAGGCTCAGATGGAGGACTTGACAACGAAGCTGCCAGTGCTGATTCTGCGAAGTCGGTCATCGCAGTATCGACAGGCAAAGGATTATAACCATTTGCTGAAGTGAAGTAGTATAGTCTTTAAGGCAAAGCCATAAGAGTGCCTTGGGAGTATATTTATCTTAATGTAATGGAAGCAAGTGAATAATGATTCGTAGAGTAAGTTCTAAGCCTCAAATAATATTTAGAGCCATGATGCCCGGTGCAAGGTGTTCGTTAATGCTTATTGGATAACCCAAGCTTCAGGGTCACTGGTGGGTGTTCCTTGGCGAATAAGCATCCCTGTAATCGCAGCCTTCCCGCAGGCATGAGAGCCTAAACCCATTGATAACTATCATCCAATGCGCCGGAAAAGCTCAACGGCCATGAGTGAGTACTTTGGCACTGGCCATGATAATTACAAGTTGATAGTAAGCCTTCCATAATGGCTTCAAGTGATCCAGAAGATATTTTGAGTTCGCGGAAAAGGAAACGAAGAGTTCCGGAAAATGGTCCTTATGTTCTACGCAGCCTGATGGAGGACGTGCCATTGTCTGCAGATGGAGATAGAACGGATATTGAGATTAATTGTGTGGAATTTCTAGGTAAGTTGCTGCTCTTTCTATTAGAAACCGTCTGATTATATTGCTAATGTGTATCCGCAGATCAGAACCTATACATTGGAACTTCGGCCTCTGAAATCCTTCATTTCGTACAGATTCCCCCGGATCCTGCCGACATCTCAGGAAAGCCCTCTTATATCTTAGCCTCGAGACTACCTCCTGCCTACCATGAGCCATCTAGACAAGATAGACCTGGTGTTCAACAGATTCTGCTGCTTCCTAAAGTCAATAAAGCTTGTATATTGTGCAACTGGACAGTTACCTTCTATTCCTTGCCAGAATTAAGCCCAGTCTTCGGGACAACACAGATTCGACCTTGCAACTGGATTGGTGGCATAGATTTGAATACAGATGTTATAAACCCTGACCAAGATGGCAGAGGCGTTACAGTGCTTGTCTCGTTAAACAAGAAGATGAGAGTTGTGAGAATTGGGGAAGATCCTCGACCTGTGAGAGTACGTTCAGTCGAGGCCGTGCATAAGTGCTGGACTGATGTACCAATAGAAAATAGATTTTGCAGGAAGCACTATATCCATCCGCCGTGACTCTTATGCTTGTGTCGCAGATTCCAGGTCGTACGCTTTACTTGATGTCGATCGTCAGTTGAAGATACCCCTCTTTCCTATATCGTCCTCAGATGATTCCGAATCGGGTAATGTGGGTGGGCAGGTCGAGGATATATCTGGTAATAGTGGTGGTGGACTTTCACGAAACACATCATTGACTCATCCGGGCTCATCCGATGACCGAACTCACGGAAGAGGTACAGGTCTTGGTGCTCCCAAGACCGGTGCGCGGCGAGACAGTCTACGAGCTGCAAGCGGAGATCGTTCTGGACGAGTTACCCCTGATCCCTTGTTTCAAGAGGCTTCACCTTTAGCTACGGCCGGTCCGTCGGACGCTACGCAAGGCGAACCTAGCCCTGAGAAGCCCTTACCACCTGCACCAGCTGAACCCTCAGTGACTGGCGCTCAAGCCCTTACATCTTCTACCGCGCCTATATACTTGAAGCCTCATATAGTTTCACCTTCCCCGCAAGAGTTTCTTCTAGTCACAGGCACAGGTGTACGTGATCATGGAGTTGGCATGTTCGTAAATCTAGAAGGTGACGTCACTAGATCAACATTAGACTTTGCAAGATATCCTGACGAGATTGTTGTGGATGGTCGTGGTGTGGATGTCGAACCTGTCCCTAATACAATAGAAGAGGAGGAAGAAGGATATGTGCTTGCTTCCATGGCATGTGAAGACGGCGATGTGCTACGACACGGGATTGAAATTCAACGCTGGGACTTGGATCCTGGGGAGGATGCTATACAGAAGTTTTGGTTGGAAGTGCCACCATCTGATGCAGCGAGTGACGATGAAGCAGAACATAGGATTGGATTAAGAACAGTTATTCAGCCGGGGGATATTTATTTTGACGATGTGGTCGACAAACTTCGGCTAAAGCGTTTTCAACCTTTCGCACTGAAATCTTTGAACACATCCACTCTATCTTTAAAGAGCACAGATTCTCCAACCGCAATTTCACTACAGAGAGTTACGGGCGAGAGGGAACTTTTTGAAGAATCGCTCTCGCCAGGCTGGGAAGCCCGTCGCAACGAAGAGGAGCAACAATTTGCTCAGAGACTGGGGAAATCACGAGCACGCGTCGTTACTTGGTCCGGAAAAAATGTATGGTGGGCAATTCGAAATCCACTTGCCCTACGTCTTGATGCGGAACTTGGCATGGAGACTGGAGATGAAGGAATGCCTTACCTCAACAGAAGAAAAGCTATTGAAATGATGAGTTCTTTACGTGGTCAAGAAGCCAAGACCGAGACCGAATTTGTTAGCTTAGGCTATATCCGACAGAAGATCGGATTCCTTATTCTAATAAGCCTATTGACGGCTCCGATGGATGAAGCTACGGAGACCGAATACGGAGCTGCCGAAGAGGCTCTTTTAGAGGGTAGCCTTGACCCTAGGGTTGTTCTTGCTATTGTTCCCATTCTACGAAACGAGATAATTGAAGGGAAGACAGGTATCTGGGTTCACGGTGGCTTAAAGGAGGCTGCAGACAATTTCATAACAAACACAAATGGAGTTTGGGATAGCCAAAGTTCAAAGAAACATAGCATAATGCCTGAACAAATCCTTCGCTTTTTGAGAAGATTCTTGCTCTCGTGGCGCAGAAGGAAAGGATTTGGCAGCATTTCGAATGAAACTGAGGTTTTTAAAAGTGTTGATGCTGCCCTCCTGATTGTATTACTACAAATGGATACATCATCTCCTCGTGGACCAGCTAGAGCTAAATCAATCCGAGCAGAACTGAACAACCTGGTGGATCATGGTGTGGATTGCTTTGAGCGAGCAATATCCCTGCTTCAATTCTATAACCGTTTATATGTTCTCAGTCGTTTGTATCAGAGTAGAAAGATGATTGAAGAAGTGTTAAGCACATGGAAGAGGATCATCGAGGGAGAGGAAGATGAAGGGGGAGAGCTCCTCGATGGGGAAAATGAAGTACGAAAGTATTTAATCAATGTTCGAAATCCGAATCTTGTGCGAGAATATGGTGTTTGGCTGGCATCTAGAAATCCCAAACTCGGTGTTCAAGTCTTCGCCGATGGGCAAAGTCGAGTTAGGTTTGAACCAACACAAGCTCTCAAAATATTACGCGAGGGGGCGCCTGGTGCAGTTAAGGATTTCCTCGAGTATTTGGTATTTTCAAAGCATCATTCAGAGTATATTAACGAACTTATTGCATATTATCTCGACATAGTCACCACCAAACTGGAAGAGTCTCCCGAAGCTCGAGCGATCCTCATCCAAACCTATGAGTCCTACCGAGCCCTCCGCCCACCCAAACCCACCTACCGTCAATTCATCACCGAAAACCCCCTCAACGAAGAATGGTGGCACAGTCGTCTCCGTCTCCTCCAACTCCTAGGCGGAAGCCAAGGTTCCGCCTCCCAATACGACGTCGCCGCCATCCTCGCCCGCATCGCACCATACACGCAAGAACTCGTCCCCGAGATCATCATCCTCGACGGCCGGCAATCGCACCACGAAGAAGCGCTCCGTCTTTTGACCCACGGCCTCGGCGACTACGATACAGCTATAAACTACTGTCTCCTCGGCGGCTCCAGCATCTACCATCCCATCTCCGGCACGCTCTCCCCCGCAACCCTTCCCACGCGTTCCGAACAAGCAGCGCTCTTCCACTCCCTCCTCGCGGAATTCTTAAAAATAGATGATCTCAGTAACCGCGTCGATCAAACTAGTTCCCTACTCGAGCGTTTTGGCGGCTGGTTCGATGTGGGTGATGTGTTGGGTATGATACCCGATACGTGGAGTGTGGAGCTGGTGAGCGGGTTTCTGGTTAGTGCGCTGAGGCGCATTGTGAGGGAGAGGAGTGAGACGATGGTTATTAAGGCGTTGAGTGGTGCGGATAATTTAAAGACGAGTGTGGTGCTGATTGATAGGGTGAGGGAGATGGGTCCGAAAATTGTGATGGAGTCGGAAGTGGAAGGAGGGGTGTAGCATGGGGGGGGGATAATTATATATGGGCATTTGGTTTCGTAGGTGCTTGTTGCAGATGAAGGATATCATGAAAAAGTTATCATTAGTTCGTAGTTAGGAATCAAATGCTACTGAGTTATTTGGCATTGTTCATTTTGCTATTGTTTGTAAGAACTTTATATTGGTATCAACGTACTCAGACTAAGCTACCATCTCATCATTAAAGTCTTCAACGGAGAGGTGGATTCGTACAAAACATGCCCACCTAATGAAATAAGAGAAATCTCCAAGGGAAATTCCGCCGTAGCCTCGCGCCGTGTGTTAACAACCAGTACGGAGGAATCCAACAAACCAAGAGTATCAAACAAACAGAGGTTGTCCAGGAGGTGCTTCGCGCTCTACCTCAGCATTTAGCCTAAGGTTCTCACCGCTCACATCTCCTCCTTCAACGGCTCTTTCAGGCTGCTGTTCGTCATGATTTCCTTCATTGGCGCCCTCTCCACGTTCTACAACATCACTTCCCGCATTCTCTGCTTCAGCGCGACGCCGTTCTGCCTCAGCCACCGCCGCCTCAACTTCTCTTGCCGCATTATCCCGAGCAGCAATGTGTCTCTCCCCAACGCCAGGAATAAGGCTCGCCACAAAGAGAAGCGCAGCATGTTCGGCCCTCCGTATCTGCGTCAGGAGCCAGCCTGGTTGTGCTTGTCTATGTCGCTGTTGTTCGAGTATTCTTGCGGCAACTTGAGACTCATCAAGTTGGCCATGCGGTAATCGAGCCTGGGGACCCGCTTCCGCCGCTCCATTCTGAGGCACGACCGCAGCGTTTGCTGCAGGTACAAGCGCCGCATCAGGTCCAGCTAGTGGAATCAAGTTTTCTAGGTGTCTTCTGATTGGGCCCCAGAATTGCTCCGCAACCCCATTGAAAACTCCTGTAAGAACTCCTGTGTTGATGAGGAAGACAACTATTGCAAGTCCACTCATCATCAGAAATCTTGACCAACTACTGTTTCCAGAAGTGAAGAACCACACGAACCCCACTAGTCTAATGATTAACCAAAGCACATTAAACACCTGGAGTGCGATAGGCACAGCTGGCCTTTGAACCCGATTGTGAAGAGGCTCGAATTCAACAGGTGGTGCTTCATCTGCTCGTGGTCGGTTTACACGCCCCATTCTAGCCCTTTGGGCATTTCTATTGCGATATTCGGGGAAGCCAAATAGATCACGACCACCAATACCATTGTTATAACGGGCTCTTGTAGGACGTGGTGTATAAAAAGTCTCGGAATTATTTATTAAAAGTGCGCGAGGGCCTGAGGGAGAGCTGAGTATATAAACCATGGGCTCAAAAGATGGGGAGGATGTGATTCTGGTGGAAGTTGCTGGGGTTGTAGTCAAGTTTGGTACAGACACTCTCGTTAATGGGTTGGGAGACGCCGTGGTCAAAGGTGTGCTAGGAGCAGATGTGGTCGCAGGTGCAGTGGTAGAAGATGGAGAAGTTTGAGTATCGGATTGTGCCGATGGAGGAGTTGATGAAGATCTTGACACCATAGGTACTTGGGGCGCCCTTAACCTATCTACGTTGCGCAAAAGGTTCTGTAAATCTAACGCGGGGTTTCCCGAGTTCGCCCCTGAAGGTGAAGGGTGTTGTCCATAGCTACGTCGCTCGGGTGATCGAAATGGGTTATGCCTCTCGCCGGATCGAAGTGTTCCTGCGGGAATTGTGGTTGTAGTCTCATTTACCGTCACTTGCCATCTCTCTCCATTTGGGCCGACACCTTCCCGAGTATAAGTAGCGCTGTGTTCAGGAGTCCTAAATTGGGGTGTTGATCTACCAGAGTTCATTTCGTCTAGAGCCGCAAACATGTTCCCTTCTCCGCCCAAGTCCTGTGCCGTAAGTCCGGCTAAAGCTCGCCTTTGTTGTTGATGCTGCGCAATGAGTTGTTGAATTGAGGTATGATTCTCGGTCGGAGGTCCATACGGATTTCGAGGGACAGCGGGCGGTTCCGGCATATTATTTCCTAAATTCATGAGACGTCCAACATGCGATTGATAAGCCCGAGTACCTGCATCAAGTTCCTGCTGTAAGCGCTCCGTATCCCTTTGTAATTGCTGCAACCTTTCCGTCCTCGTCTGATATGTGTGTGCAACATGGTGGAAATCACGGAGCTGTTGCGCGGCTAGCTCACGGAACTGAGGTGGAGGGGTTCTACTGGGAGGAACGGCTATATTCGAGGGGTTGTTTTGTGTGGGAGGATCTGCACTTCCCGTCGAAGTTGCTTCTGGAAAAGCAGGCCGGAGAACGAGATGAAGAGTTTGAGTATCCAGACTTGATAGCTAAGGTATAGAGTCAGCAAGCGTATTAAATTGTGTGGGCAAATATATTCTTACGCTCTCTTGACCAAATATTTCTAACATTGTTTGTGATCCCCTCTCCAGCATTCGACCACGATGAATCAGTCGTTGGGCTGAGTCGGTTGGCTTTGACTGCACAACATCTCTAATCTTTGCCTTCAATTCTTGTACTGTGGTGGTCGGCAACAACTGGGGAAAAATCAATGGACTTGCGACCTCTGTTGAAGGAGAGACGATGGAAAGAGTGAAAGTTGGTAATGTTGGTTGTTCCTCGTTCTTCGTGAGCACATCACTAGCAGCCTCATTCTCTAGTGATTGAGACATAATGAGTGCTTGTTGTGTAAGTTCGAAATATGTCCTTGATGTTGGCGATCTGGCTAACCAACATGAGACGGGGAAATTGAATTGGGTGAGATGGATGCTAGATAGCTCGGTTTAGGATGTAGCTTCTCTCATAGCAAATATGAATTGTTATGATGATACGCAAATGTGAGGATGCATATGGAGAAGTCTTGTTGTTTTAAAAACAAAAGGTGTCTTCCGTAGGTATTCTCTTGTTGATATGATGTTTGAAGTAGAGCGAGCTATAATTCGTAATCCTAACATCTGGTCGCAAGTTTCGGGACCACACATGCTTATCTCATCCATTCACTACCGAAAAAGTCCGCCGAATGGCAAATGGCCCGAGAATAGGCACGCACCCTAACAAGCCGCCAAAGAAAAGTGGCTGATGACCTTATATAAAACTATTTCATAATATTCTCAAACAGAAAGGAACTCAAAAACTACTTAGTTACGGAGTAGATGGTCCAAACCGTCTTCAAATATATTCACAGAAGAATGTAGTGCATTGTTCTCGAAAAGCTGCCGGTACCAGTGCAGGTGATTACATTCTATTGCATACCTAAATAGTTCAAGGTAAGCTATTTAGAGGTCGTTGATCATGATGCTATCATCATGCATTAACATGAGCTCAAGATTGTCTCATCTTTCTTCTTCACTTTCAGCTCTCGAGCTCATTCCCAGAATTATCGTCGCTCTGATCTAAAACATCAAATTGGTTCTCAACCCCCAGGCCCAATCTTCTGAAATCGACACCTTCGTTTTCTCCATCAACACTGCTATAACCACTGTCACGTCTTCCACCTTTGCTATCCGACTCTCCCCGTCCTAGAAGCTCACCTACCTTCCACTATGCATAATTAGCAGTTGTTCATAGCCCCAGAGACAGTCAAAGGAAAATGGAAACTCACGGCAATCCTCTCGGCACCCATTCTCGCTCCTTCAAGATTTGGTGAAGCCGGACCCATCCTCAAACTTGCTAATCTACCAGTAACAAAGAATGGTACCTTGTCACTCCAACTCAAATCATGCGTCAAGCATGGAAACCCTCCAACTGTCCCAATGCCATATTTCTTAAGCAACGGTTGGACTGCTTCAATCTTCTCAAAATTGATATCAAAACCTGTTGCATATATGACATGATCAAATGCAGGTAGATCCAACAACTCCGGAGAAGTCTCCACCTTCCACGATTGCAACACAGAATCCCAGGAAGCAGAAGTAATATTAGTATATTCGTGGAGGGAAACCCGACCTTTTAAGATATGGGTCTTCAGAATATGTTGGTACTCCGAGTTGACACTTCCGCCATTCCTCGCCTCTTTATACATTTCTAGTCTCTCCTCATCAGAATCCGCACTCCAGTAGCGAGCAAGGAAGTGATTCTTGAATTTTGCGACCCATCCTAGTTCCATGTCGAAATCTTTGACTTTGAGTGGCCCACGTATTATCTGGTATACTTTTGTGACGCCGTGTTTGAGTGCTGCATCTGCAATCTGGGCACTAGTAAGACCGCCACCTACAACGAGAAGGTCGGTTCGTTGTTTGCGCGAGATTTTACGGACCATGTGCGGAGGAAGGAGTTTGTCGCTCGAGCTGAGATATGAGGGAATAAGGGCGTGGGTTATGCTTCCTTCATGGGAGAATGGGCAGTCAGCTGGTAAGACTGGGTTTAAAGCAGCACCTGCTGCAAAAACAACGATGCGTGCTCGTTTTGTGCCAGTTGTTGTTTGAAGTGTGAATACCCCTGGACAGTCTGCGCATTCGTTGGGCTCATAATCAATGGAATTGACTTCGGATTTTTCCACAATATTTCCCAGATCATAACGACTGGCGATGTCTTCGCAAAAGCTCTTAAAGAGAGCGGTACTTGGCCTGAAATAATCAGGTCGATCTCGCTCGTCAAGAAATGTAGTTTCTTGTCTGCTTTTACCACTGCACCAGTTAGCATCACTATTTCGAGGATATTCCGCATATCAGGGTCATCAAAACTGCATACCTTTTTTTCATCTTCTGTTTCCTCTGATGTTTACTCAACTCTTTGCCAATAACTCCATGAATCTCCTTAAGTTCGTTGTCTCTCCCCTCCTTCCACGCATAACCCCTCAAACCATCTCTATCTCTGGGATCCGGGTGAAAGAACATTGGACTCCTCAAGTACCTAATCTCTAATTTCTTGAATCTCTCATTCCAAGCACTCATCCACTCGCCGCCGTGAGCGTCCAGTACAGTGATATCAAGACCGTTACAGCAAGACGCTCCTTGTACCAATCGATCGCTTGCTGTTTGAGAACGACGACTTGTTTTAAAAGGCTTAGAGGTTTGACGTGCTGAAGATGCTTTCATCCAGTGATAACGTTGGTGTTCGGAGTCGGTAAAGAGTGATGAAGGTGTACTTTCACAGAGACGTGCAGCGACAGCAAGACCGCAAGGGCCTCCGCCAACGATGAGAACATCATGAATATGGGTATCTTGGGTTACTAACATAGTTGTGAGTTTGCAGAAGATCTTTTATTGCTGTCGATACAGAAAACGAAGGATTCTATGTAATTAGGTAGTATATACAAGATTTGTGATTGGGCACCTTGATGGCCAACCCATCAAGGTTGAGGACCCTTATGATTGATTCTAAGCCACTTTTAACAACTCAGAAAGATACCAAATTCTCCAAATTCTCCTACATGAGAATGATCTACTAGGTACATTGACCTGCTTAAGTAATCTTTGTAAGATTCTCACTCAACTTTCCTTTCAAGGTTACGCTTCATCGACCCATCCTAATTGTTCGCCCATTTTAACCCGTTGACCCTTCTCGATGGCCCAGTTCCAACCTCCTTTTCTCTTTTGTCCCATCCAACCTTCATCAAGACTTGGTCTTTCTCCTTTAGGTGCCTCAAACACAAGTACAACTGTACTTCCTAACTGAAATCCTCCCATTTCTTCACCCCTCCTTAAGGCATGGCCGTGGAGTATGGGACTCGCAGCCTCGTAAGAAGCTTCAGCAAACCCGCTATAAGACTCCCCGCGTTTCGCGGCTTCATCAGCAGCTCTGTCGGCAGCAGTATCCGTTGTTAAAGAATTTGTTCGTAGCTCTCGATCAAAATTGATCTTAATGGAGCCCACATTTGTGGCACCGACAGGAATGTAGGAGAAGAAGCCCCACCTCCATCTGCCAAGAAGTACAACCCGCTCATTCAGTACAAACAACCCTGGTAATGTTCGTTGAAGATAGGGAGATACCGAGTATAATTCTCCAGCGAAGTGACGTCGCTTCTCAACAACCCAAGCAGTTGGAGAATGGAAACGGTGGTAGTCACCAGGTGCCAAATATACAACTACATAGTACAAAGCGGTCCTATTCTCGGAAGTAAGTCGAGAATACCATGGCTTTTCTCCAAGAGCAAGGTCAGCGCGGACTTCTGCTTCAGAAGCTGCCTTTGGTGTAGTGGAGGCATCACTTGTCTTCTTTCCTAGTTGCTTTTGGGGCGGTCCTGAGAGTAAGTTTGGAAGAGTATATGAGATGCCATTGACGGTCGCGAACTTTTCGTCTTGCTTGATAATCTCCTCATCTCCGTCGCTATATCTCGCCCTGCTTTGTTTCGGTTTGGTATCTTGAGGTGGGGTGAATATGTTGGAAGGACTCGCAGGATTTGGAGTTGTAGCCGGTTTACTGGTACCAAGAAGGGCATCCAGACTATACGTCATTCCCTTGACTTGCTCTACCTCGCCACTTTCGATGACACCAAACTGAAGAATTCGACCATCAGATGGGGAAAGCAATGCATTTGGGTTCGGATGAAGTGGGCGAGCTCCTGGCTTCAAGGTGCGATAGAAGAACGAAGCTAGATTAGGATATACGTGAAGATCAGGCTCTGCTACTTCAGAGAGACTAGCAGACACAGAGTTAGAGATTGTATATTTTGGGGATTGAGAAGTGCACATACTTAACGCCGAAAATAAAAGAATATAATTTAAACCCGGGTACTCGCAAATAGTAAGGTATTTCCAATTCATTAAATCTGCCCCATATTCTTGACATAGCTTTCAGAGGAAGTGTCGACATTACTTGAACCTGCCTGTAATTGTGTCAGCGGAACACTTGCAACACCGGAAATAACATACCATGGTCCTGAGGGCCTTACTCTTTCTCTCGTTTTAGGTCGTCCTTGATAGTCTCTATCGTTAATCCCATCTCCGTCTTCTTCCCTCCTTGCCTTCTCCCGCTCATTCAACCGATGTATCTGAACAAGCCCTAGGAAGCCTATACCCAATCCTACAGGTATATGATACCATGTTATTTTTGTGTCATTCAGAGCCCTCCGTAATCTCGTGCCAAAGGATTCCTTGTACTCGTTGTTCTGACGATAAAATCTTGCAGATGATGAAAAATTCCGAGACCGATGACAGCGGCATATGCACTGCGATTGCCCTAAAATTGACGAGTTTCGTAGAGTGAAAGCGCCTGCCCGTGATAATTGAGAAGGCGTTGCAAGCGCCGCGACGAGTCGATACGCCATCAAGGAGACGATAATAGATTATCTGGTTCAATTGTGGTCAAGAATTGATTGTTTATGAATATCCAAATAACTCAAAATCAAGCAATGACGAAATTCATTTATTTTGCCGCCACTGATGTTTCACCGCTTTCCAGCACCTTCTGCAGGTCAAAATTATCTTCCAACTGAAATCACAAATGCATCACAAGTAAATTAAGATATTTAAACAAGTCATAACAAAATTCGGCCTGTTTGTACAAGAGTTAGTATAAGATTGTATATAGTTGACAGGTTGAAGTGCATGAAAATGACATGAAAATGGCATGAAAATGGCATGGCAGTAAAGTTGTATCTGTGTATCGGTTCCGTCCTCCACGTATACCCCGCCAACCAAAATGACGAACATCTACTCGCTCCACCACAAACATCTCTCAATACCTAGCAGCATCAGTAAAAAAATGGCGGATTCAAGTACAGCGTTCATGGGCGCGTCACATCCATCTATTCAGATCTCATTTCCTCTTCCAAAAGCTCCAGAGACCAATATTCATCTGCACTTGACAATCAACAAAATTTCATTATTGTTGTTCCTCACGACGGCATTGAATGGTGATACTTCTACAGCACCACCTCTGGGCTCGTTTGTCTATGCGCTTCCCAATGTAAGCCCGATTCTTTGTTTTCGCTATCATCCTTTCGCATTAACATGTATTTAGAGAATGAATGCTAGTCAGCCACTTTCTACACCGTTGTGTGTCTATGAATCCTCAGTCGAGTTCACCACTCGACTTGCAAAATTGTTGGCGCGCAAAACAGGAAAGCCTGTCTACGTTGGCAATTCTATCAGTTTCGCAAGTGCAGGAATGGGCGGAACTGTGGAGGAGGAGATGGAAGGTTTCAAGAAGGTGGTGGAAATTGTCATGGAACAAGTGCGAAAGACTGAAAATCAAGGTACCCATGGCATCTAGATCGAAGCGGTCATTGTCTCCAATACTCCATCAAATTTAGATGAAGCACCAGCTACTACACACATTATTCTAGTTCGTACAAGGAGAGCGGACGATACCGAGAATCGGGTTCTTGCAAAGCAAACTACAACTTGATAATTGTGTGCCCTGCAGTTGTACAGATGCCGGTTCCAGAAATGCCAATGAGCTATTCAAGCCATCTCAAAGATGGTAATACCTAAGATCAAAGATTTATATGCCAAGCGCCTTCATCGAGGCTTGTATCGCGATCACTTGTCGGACAGCAATAGTCGTCAGATGTACGACCTGACAAAGAACAGGACCAAATCCTTGGGATCTAACTTGCACTGTATCATTCTGCGGTGGAACAATAATAGCGCTAGAAACTTACCAAAGGTCCACTATGTTTCTGTATTCTCCTGAAGACATTCAATGACCCACGGCCCGCTCCGCCAATACTTCATTGTCTTTCAAATCTTTCATTGTGTGTAACCGACAATCTTGTCTAGCAATCGCTGGAGTCTCAATAATGACATTTGCATTCGCTACATGCAAGATTCCTAGCCAACTTTCAATTCAGCACCGATTTAAGATTCCGTCAAGACAATGAGCTTATCCATTTATTTCTATTGAGTATAAGTAGTACAGCTTGCCGCCACACTGAGACCCGAACTTTTGAGGGACGGGAATGAGTTGGCTTCATGACATAAGGCTGGGGGCTACAGCTAACGAGATCACTACATGGACTTTCTCAACTCACGTCCGCAGCAGTAGCTTGTTGGGTCCTCACAATAAGTCAATTAAATATGGAGGATCGTGCGATACGCCGACCCATTTAGCGTAAATCCTTTGCTGAATGAATAGGACTAGATATTCGCAATCTAAACCGGGACTTTAGGTTCTGAAGTTACACGATGTCTTAAAACTCTCTCTTCGCCTTGGGGACAAATTGCATTAACAAATGATAAATGTATCTACAAATATCTATCATGAGATAGTAAAAGCAAGATCAATATCACACTTGAAGATACATTGATTTACCGACATACCTATATTCGCCTAACGATGTTACGCTTCTATTCTTCTACCCAGTCCATTCTCCTAAATTGATACCGTCAAGTATTGCTTCAATTGCCCTCCGCAGAAGTTATACTTCCAAGCGAAATGCTTATTCTTTCACATGCGCCCGATTTTGCCTACAATTTCTTCTTCGAGCCCAAGTGACGGGTACCCGTGTGTACAATCGCAAGAACAGTTCAAAGAACCCGCTAGAAAGGTTTTTAAAGAAAGTCCCTTTCGAAGTTTAGTAGCCGCCAAAAACCCCCATAATTTGTAAATTTTTAATTATTCACTTGTCACTTACCTATTTACCTATTTACCTATTTACCTATTTACCTATTTACCTATTTACCTATTTACCTATTTACCTATTTATTTACCTATTTACCTATTTACCTACCTACCTACCTACCTACCTACCTACCTACCTTATCTATCTACCTAGTAGCTCCTTGGTAACTTTTATTTCTTTTACACCAGTCACTAGGTATCTTATTATAAGCAAGATCTACCTTTCCACCACCACATTACCACATCATCACAGTCTTTGATCGGTGCAGTTCAAAAGTTTGGTCAATTACCAAAAAATCCCGTCGACGAAAAAGCCAGACAGTCAAAAGAAGCTTTTAGTCGCACAACACAACCAATAACTCCCCTGCAAGCGTCATATGGGTGGGCATTTCGTACTAGTACCATATCGAACCCCCCAAGTTCTAACACAGCTTTTCTCTACCGCACAGCGCCCGCAGATCCAGCAAACAAATTGAACACCCCACCAAATTCCGACTTACGTTGAATCGTAACACACTTCCACATTCTACCCTTTTTTCTTCCTTTTTTCTACTTTTTCTGCCTTTTTTCTGCTTTTTCTGCTCCTTCAGAATTGCGGTTCGTATGTCAAATTTTCTCTTTTAACTACACCTAAGTCCAATTCCCCGTCACATCCACAGACGCTTTTATATCTATCCATCACAAGCTAACACTTTAACCTTTGCGACAGATGTCGAAGTACCTCATCTAACGTCCCACAAGTAAATTCTTGTGTGACCCCTAGAGCTTCTATTCCTTACCTCGAAGTGCGTACCTGCATATCGGAATCTTTAGAATACCCCAAATCGAACGTGCGACAGGCTCACTGGTGAGAGGGTGACAGATATGGCGTGGCAGCCGGAACAAGAGGCTTTGAGGCAATTGTCAGGATGCTTAAAAGACTCGTTAAGTGGCCATGACAAGAATGCTCAGAAGCAGGCCGAGATTGTAAGCTTTCTTCTTCGAGGATACATAACCTACGATGTCGTCGTTTTTGCAAAGCTCGATCTAATTATCATACCAAACAGATGCTGTCCCAAGCAAAGTCTTCTCCCGATATCAACAATTACCTTACCTACCTGTTTTCGCACTCGGAGGTCCCATCAGGCTTGACGTATACTCACAATGAATACTTTGCGATTCGATCGGCAGCAGCCGTAATGCTGAAGAATAACATCAGATCTGGGTACAAATCAATACCTCCTGAAAGTCTATCTCTTATACAATCTTCTGTTCCATTGGCCCTCCAAGATAAAACCCCAACCATACGAAACTACGCTGGAAATGTGATCACAGAAATTGTTAGTAAGGGAGGGATATTGGGTTGGCCTCAGATATTGCCAGATTTGCTGGCTTTGATTGGGAATACAGATGGTACAATTTCACCAGAGGCACAGGAAGGTGCCATGGCAGCTCTGTCGAAGATCTGTGAAGATAATCGAAAAATGCTGGACAAAGAGTATCAAGGGCAACGACCACTCGCTTTCATTATTCCGAAACTTATTGAGTTTGCTGCGAATGAAAGGCCAAGAATAAGAACTCTGGCCTTGACCAGCTTGAATATCTTCATTCCGCACAAACCGCAAGCCTTACTTGTATCTCTAGACGACCTTCTTAACCGCCTCTTCCAGCTCGCCAGCGACCCCTCAAATGAAGTTCGCCGACAGGTCTGCCGAGCTTTTGTCCAGATTGTGGAGATTCGACCTGACAAGATCCTCCCCCATATCGGTGGTCTGGTTGATTATATGATAGCACAGCAACGAAAAACTGATGACGAGGAGTTAGCATGCGACGCCGCCGAGTTTTGGCTTACTGTTGGGGAGCACGATGAATTGTACACTGCCCTAGGTCCATATCTTGACAAAATTATACCTGTGTTACTTGAGAGTATGGTATATAGTGAAGAAGATATTGCCATGCTTGAAGGAGGAGGCGATGATGCCGACATTGAGGATCGCGCTGAGGACATCAAACCAAAGTTTGCGAAAAACAAGGCTGCTAGGATGCAAGCAAATGGTGCAAACAGTGGCGCTGCAAACAGTGATTACGCCAAGCTCGCAGGCATGGATGACGATGACCTTGATGACGGGGAAATAGGCGACGACGATGACGATGAAGCCCCCGAAGACAGATGGAATTTAAGAAAGTGTTCAGCTGCGGCACTTGATGTTTTCGCAAACGATTTCCGCGAACCAGTCTTCGAAACGATCCTTCCATATTTGATGACCAATTTACGACATCAGGAATGGCCATATCGAGAAGCAGCGGTTCTGGCTCTCGGCGCTGTTGCTGAAGGCTGTATGGCTGTCGTTACTCCACATTTGCCTGACCTGGTACCCTACCTGATCTCACTCTTGAACGATCCTGAACCCTTACTTAGGCAAATCACTTGCTGGACTCTTGGTAGATACTCTGCTTGGGGTGCTGGGCTTCAAGATGCGAATCTTCGAGCACAGTTCTTCGAGCCTATGATGGAGGGCATCCTGACAAAGATGTTGGACAACAACAAGAGGGTACAGGAAGCTGGTGCATCGGCCTTCGCACATCTCGAAGAGAAAGCAGGTGCCAATCTCACGCCGTATTGCAAACCAATCATTCAGCAATTTGTCACGTGTTTTGAAAAATACAAGGACCGTAATATGTTCATTCTTTACGACTGCGTTCAAACACTGGCCGAGCATGTAGGCCAAGGTTTGGCACAGCCAGAGCTTATCCATCTATTGATGCCGGCACTTATCCATCGATGGCACAAAGTTTCTGATCAATCACGAGAATTGTTCCCACTCTTAGAATGCTTATCGTATGTCGCTACTGCTTTGGCGGAAAGCTTCGCCCCATTTGCCGCCCCCGTTTTCACGAGATGTGTGACAATCATCCATCAAAATCTGAAAGAATCCGTGGCGGCGGTCAATAATCCAGGGTTAGATGCTCCGGACAAGGATTTTCAAGTAACTAGTTTGGATTTATTGAGCGCTATTATCCAAGCAGTTGACGATAAGCAATCTGCAGCGCTCGTATCCGGCTCGCAGCCCCAACTTTTTCAACTTCTCGTATATTGCATGGAGGATCCTGAGAACGACGTCCGCCAATCATCCTACGCATTATTAGGTGATTGTGCAAAATACGTATTTTCACAGCTACGAGATTTCCTCCCTACGCTGCTCCCTGTGCTAATTAGACAACTTGACCTTGATTCGATTGTTGATGAGCACATTGAATCGACTTTTAGCGTGCTCAATAATGCATGCTGGTCTGCAGGTGAAGTTGCGATGCAATACCAAAATGATTTGGCTCCATACGTCCCCGAATTGTCCAAAAAGTTCCTCGAAATACTGACCAATCAAATGGTGCCAAAGTCTGTTAATGAGAACGCAGCCATAGCTCTAGGGCGAATGGGTTTATTCAACGCTGAGATACTTTCACCACACTTGGCCACCTTTTCTCAACCATTCCTGAAGGCTCTCGAAGGCGTTGATCAAACCCTGGAAAAGGCTACTGCTTTCAAGGGGTTTTTGTCGATTGTTATGTTAAATCCACAGGCCATGGAGAAAACTTTGGCGCAACTCATCACCGAGATAGCAAAATACGGAAAGGATGCTGAACCTGGCGGTACGTGGAATGCTGAGTTGCAACAGGCATTCCAGCAGGTAAGATGTCGAATTTCACCCTGATGAATTTTGAACGTAGCTAACATCTGTGTCTCCTGTCGCAGGTACTTGATCTTTACAAAGGTTTAATTCCGGATCTCAATGCATTTCTCAGCAGCAATATTTCCTCCACAAATATCACTGCGTTGAGATCAACATACAACCTGTAAATATCGACATGAACAAGGTGGCTTCGGATTCATTCGCAAATCCAAGCATATTGCAATCTCGGAATTGAAATGTTCACAATATGGGCAGGCTGGCGTATACGGGCTATGAGTTGAATAAGGATATAAGCAAGCTAATACTTGCCGTTTGATGTTGAAAGGAGAAAGTCAACCAGCAAGCAGGCAGGAGCTTGTGTGCAAAACATGCATGGAACATTTGTATTTACAAAAGATATTAACGCGAGGAAGGTTACGTCTTATGGGATGGATGGATGGTGATGATTGAAGCGAATAGTATTAGTGGTTTGGCGGAGGGTTTGATGAACGGATGAGGCCTAGAGGAAAATAGCACACAACATTGTGGCTCAAGGGATGGCATAGGGATCAAAATTCTCCTTCCTTATTTTCTTTCAGTTCAGCTTGCATAGGTGGCCTGGAGTGGCGGACAGGTATGATGTATGGACTGATGCTAGCATCTATCATCATGCACGACGATGATCATAGGGTGGATGAAACGGCGAGCAGGACCATTTAGATAGATATACTTGATCTCTTATACCTCTTTTACCTTCTACCTCCTCGTCATTCTTAGTAGGGTGGAGACCGAAGGAAGAAGTGAAAGCATCTTGATGAAGAATGAAGATGTGAAGGACATAAAAAGGGTTGAAGGCATGGGGCTTCGAGGTGGCAATCCTTTTCTTTTGGCAAGCATAGCGATGAGATTTGTTATATCACATACTTAGTTAGATACCGTAGATAGATATTAGTTAGGAAGGATTGGTATGATGGATCGATCGTACATAGTGGTATAGAGATTTTAAACCATTAGATCGGGACGTTTTTTTGTGGTAATTTTGATGCTAACGGTATGCGAGGTGAATGTGGTAGTAGGTGCTTTCCTGGAAAGGTTCTGGAAAGGTTCTGGAAGGGGGATAAAGGGAGGTATCTTGTTTGAATAGTGAGTGAGTGAGTGATTTGATAGTGTGCTGTGCTGCGATGTGATGTGATATAAATACCCCCGTGAATGGGTAGAACACCAGAAGTAGCACCCTGAGATGGTGTGGATACGAAGAAGGGGCTGAACTTAAGAATAGGGAGGGTTTGTGGATCTGGTGTGTGTGCGTACGTATGAAACGAGGACAAGACAGGGAGCAGGGAGGATATGATATCTGCAAATTGAGTTGTTGGTTATAGTTGAGGAAGGAGTTGAGTGGTGGAAAAGAATCAGTTTTAGGTTTTAGGGGATGGAAGAGGGGATGGAATCAAGGAGGTAGATTGAATCAGGAAAGTTGATTAGGTTTGGTTAGGTTACGTTACGTTCGGAGAAGAACGTCGGTGGCGCTTTTGGGTTGGTTTGTGAGATGCGTGGATGGGTGGATGGATGGATAGATGGGTGGATTTTGGAAGGTTTGTTGTAGGGGGTTATGGTGAATACCGTTATTTGAATAACGGTTTGAGAAATAACGGCTTGCGTAATGTAAATACCGGTTCAGGTTCTGCAGGTATAATTAGACGGAAGATAGGATAGGATGGATCATATAATTTAATAGAGTTTTTTTTTATAATAAATGGATGAATGAGTGGAGAGGTGGAGAGGTGGAGAGCTCTGAATGTAGATCTTAGGTTTGTAGAGGTGGAGGAATGGCTGTTTCCCCCCTGGCGGAAACCTCGTGTTCGCTTGGGCTGGGGATCGGGGTGTCCGGTGCGCCACTTCGCGGGTGTTTCGTGTAGCGTGTTTCGAATTCGTGGGTGTTTGGCCGAGGAGTTTCTTGAGGTTGTCGCGAGGGGTGGAGAGGAAAGGGTAGGAGAGGGTAGCGTAGATTAGGGTTGGTTGGGGTTGGGGGAGCGCGGGCTGCGTGCTGCGTGCTGCGTGCTGGGTACCGGGTACTGGCTGGGTGATTACGTGGATTGTTTGGTGTGCTGGGTTGCTTGTTAATGTTGTAGGGAGGATATGGTAGGGCGTTTACATGCTTCGTATTGTGTTGCGGGACTTAGAGTTTTGGATGGCGATTAGTTATCCAGTTGAGATATCTGCCGATTCGATGAATGGTAGATTCCGTATGCGAGGTACCCTGAATCTCCGGGATCAGGTTGGATATTTCGTGTAGAGTTTGAAATCTACAACGAAACGAGTTAGACTTGATGATGTATTGAAATATTGATCATGAAGATCAAGACCTGAGGTGGAAATAAGATGAGTGGATGTACGTAAGAAACACTAGTTACCTAGTATAGCCTTTTAGATCGCCTAGGACTTACCAGTCTTGAAGTCCTGTCAATTCTTCTTAGAAGTGTATCCTATATTCAAGACTAATTAGTATTCATTTCTTCATCTTATGAATTCCCGGCGAGGTTACTGGATCTTGAGATGAGGAAATAGGTGAAGGGGTAGTAAATATCGGGCTGTTTAACTTTACCTGAAAGCTACCTATACCTACCTTAGTAGAATTGAATGAATATCCTGAACAAGTCCCAGCTTAGCACAATAAATAATCTTACTACGTGAGAACTGGCTGGATCCCGAGTAAGGAAGGAAATGAGCAGGTGTTATGTATTTCTGATAAGGAAAGAACTGATGCTGGCAAGAATTTTCGCTGGCGTGTGAGTTACGCTTGAGGAGTTTCTAATAGTCTGGAATAGGACGATGGGAGAGCCTTGTTTATCAAATTAGCTCATGTATTGTATGTCTTTGGTATATTTGTGATCATTGCGAATACTGAAGACACTTGGGATATTGAACGATTTTGACAGATTTTGACATAGTTGAACGACTTGAGGCATTTTTTAGAACAATGAAACTAAATGGTACATTGGATTTATTTTAATCAACAATTCAATAGACTCACAGCAATTCAAATATTGAAAAGCTTCGTTCGAATCGTATTGATGTAGATGCCGAGTATACCGTGTATATAATATAGGACTTGGCTAACACAGTGATACCTACCTACTGAACCTGGGAGGCCTGCTAAAGTGTATAAAGACGGATTTTTGTGTTGAAAACTCACTCAAGCCTTAATTGAAGCTCAAGATGCCATCTCTAAGAACGCAGCTTAGGCATAGTATCCGAACACAAAGTTTTCCTTTGTAACGTTTAATGTGATTGTAAATCCCTCGCTCGATTGTAACCAGCTCTGACAGTAACATGTGCAATATAGAATGCCTCTTGCATGCTGACTCAATGGGCCGATTACTGCCAACGTACATTCCTTCTCTATCCAGCCTCGCCTCCCCTCTCATGTTGTTGAATCTTTGGACGACTACGGATTATTACTCATAGCTGTAAACAATCAACCAGCGAAAAATCCAATTCCAGACCGCCTGAGCGACTTCGCCGTCAAAGTATTTGAATTACTGCCATCCTATGTTTACACACCACGCAGTCGTGGTGGCTCATCGAATAACAGTAAGAACTCTACTCAGAATTCTTACTGTAGCCTTGCTTGCTTCGAGGCTGCCGTCCTACAGTTGGGATATGTTGTTCAAGGAAATTATTCTTGAATAATGGTAACGATGACTAAGACGACGTGCTTAAATACCTCTTTCTGATCCTACCAAACTCGGGTAGAAACGTTGGTGATCGCAACTTTTACCTCATCGGGCAGTTCCTCGCTTTCCATCGAATGATCGAATGATGTGGGCGTTGTTGACCGTAAAGAGATCCGAGTGGCACCATATAGGGTTTCTGCGATACTTGCATATGTAGATTACTGGAGAAAAGTTTGGGAATTGCGGTAGCTTTGAGGGGGCCAATCATGACTGGATATGACTGATCGAATCAATGCAGCGTGAGCATCCTCTCAGTTGATGGTAACGTACCGGATCACTACACTCTGCCCTTCCATATCTCGATCTCTAGTGCATAGTTGCAGGATTGAAAACCATTAATCATTCTTCCAATTCGTCTTCCAATAGAAATGAGCTCACATACTGCGGTGATACATGCGAAAGAGAATCACATACGTTCACCGCCTATCCACATTGGATCGAGGGGGCTGGGTGATACATAAATGATAAAGCATACATGAACATACCCCGCAACCATTATTGCTTTTCTTCGCGAAAGTTCTTTTGTATTCCCCTTTCCTGTATGTTTGATGCTCTACAGCAAAAGTATGCCCGTAGATAGGCCATGCCACAGATCTTGCCTTTCCAGTAACATCTTACTGTTGCAGCATATGCATACTTTTCATTCGTCCGTACTTTTCTGGAGGGATTAAATGAATATGGATGAAGACATGAAGTGGAAGCTTTCTGCTTGAAAAGGTGCCGAGTCGACTGATAAATTATCTAACGACATGACATGAACATCAGTGCGGTCCGAGTAATGGATGTTACCGGATGTAACAACGATTGAAGCACACATTGAATTATCACCTGTCGTCATAGGCCAATTCCTAGATCATGCAAGTATAGGATAGGGTTGTAAAAGTTAACAAGGTGCTCTGCATGTGTAGTTACATTTTTCGCACCCCTCCTTCGTGCAGCCTGAAAGGTGGTTCTAGTGAGGAAGCGGGATGCGGCGGACGTAGTGATAGTGATAATCTAAATCGTTTGCATTAGCAGACTATCTAACTTGAAGCAATTCCTGCTGCCTTGGTCTAATGTTTGGTAGACTAGTAGTGAAGGAAAGTTTGAGCTGGTAGCAAATGATAATGCAGCCACAACGAACGATTTGCTCGTCTCCTCCTTTATGAAAGAAAAAGTCGACGTCCAACAGTGGGCATCGAAATTCCCGTACATGCAGTTTAGCGAAACAGCGAAAAGTCAACAATTTTGAAACCTATCATAATTCTCTCAATTTTGGTGAGCCTTTGATGCGGGACCGAAACACCTTTCTGGTCATTGAATCAGCATCGGCGTCCCCGGCATCTAGGGTTGCTTTTCTACTCCACATATCGGATTTGCAGGTAAAATCTCGGGACGATATCACGAACCCTTTCAAAAGGTTCGGCGACTATAATAACGATTCATGCCATATGCCATCGGCGAAACCCAAATACCATCGTAGAGTAATCGGTATAAAGTTGAAGCGGTTAGATTAACTCAATACAGTCAATGTATATTGTCTATTTTTAGTAATTTTCTCCACGCACATCGTGGTTTTCGCACAACTAGATACCCTTGTCATTCAGAGAAGGCAAGACCAAAAGCTTGGCCTTTTAGGGCTTAAGATTTACATTTTGTCCCCTGTTCGAACAGAAGTTCCAAAAGTTAGAATGGAGCTAGATCACTTACAGGGTCACTGACAACTGGTCTTTCTTTCTTACGACCGGCTATTCAGTGTAAATACTTCGGTTCAACAGTGTAAATGCTGGATAGACTGGTCCCGGATGTACATGACCATTTCCGTGTTTCGGTAATCCTCGATAGCTACCCATGACTTTGACTTCCATTCAATGTACTCTGTTCTCACCGCGTTTGCCCGTAATATTCTCAAATAGGAAATCGGAACTTCGGATGACTATGATATACCAAGAGATAGAAATGGAAGGAATTGGTTAACAGGACACTCCGAGTCTAAGTTACATGGAGTAGTCGCATATAGAACTCTGAGCTCTTCAAGCTCCTCATTGGTCGTCGCAGGCTGTGAAAAATATGCAAGACAGCTTCTCTAGGAATAACCATGTTTATTAGCCTCTTCAGATGGTCCCAAAATGCTGTCATTGATGCAGAAATCCATTCAAAGCAGGTTGAATCATTGAACACGGCAAAGTCAGGGTCCAGCTTTGTGGATTGGTATTTGGAGCCGGATGGCCTTTCCTCAATTAGAGCTTTCTCCGGTAAGAAACCAACCTCACGTTCAAGGCTTTAAATCTTCACGATGCTTAATTATG